TTCGCGCTTCTGAAGTTTACAGTGATAAGTGTACCACTACATAGAGTACTAACTTGTCAGCTGAACCTGCTTTCAACCCTCATATTAACGGATGGACCCTTAGGAACTTAGCGTAGACGGCTTTCTATATCTTGTACTTACCTACAATCTTTTTTACATGGAATTTTAGTCGTAAATAAGTAATTTATTCATATTTTCTTCATCACTATCAATTTTTCTTAGTTTGCTCCTCACAATATAAATCGTCAAGTCTGAATAAGACGGGCGTATTTTGGTTTTCAAATGAGTTTATAAAATATTTGTTACAAATTAATATATGTATTATAAGTATCATATAAAGTAGCGACTGGCACTTGATATTAATAATAATAGAACCAATTTGAGAGCTTGACCAGCTTTTAAATTTGTCTCTGTATAGCGACCTTTATAAATTATTTTGGGTCTATCGTTAAAATGAATCGTTCATTAAAGCGGAACGAATTGTTTATCCCCGGTATTAAGTCGTGGCGGGAGTGTCGACGCACATATTGCAGACGAAGGAATCCCTGTGCGAGATTGAGTCCCTCCGTACAGCTCACCCTCTCTGATTTAAGCGAAGGGATCACAATTAAAGGAGCGGGCTTTGTCAACATGAGTCACTACGCGTCATGTGCCGTGCCGAGATATTTTATTATCATAATAATATTACACGGCTACGAACCGATGAAAATTGAATCGAAACACTTACTCTATATTTCTCGAATAAATTCTCTAATGAAAGTCTCTCGTTATCACTGACTTTAACTTTATATTATATTTTGTTCGGTGCCAATTTTCCAAACGAGTTACCTTTCAGTACGACGACGAAACTCGATTCGGGGTAATTTATTTAAGTAATTTTACAAAAGCGTGGCTTCGTACACCGTATTAAAATTTGCCTCGAGACCGCAAAGTAGACGCTAACACAAAATTAAAGTCGTCGACACTTAAGGGCTTCGTAGTTTCGAGGGGAGTTTCCGTGAAATTTCTCTCGGAATGTCGAAATGGCGGATGAGTTTCGCAAGTCAACTCAATTATCGTTTTAATTAAGGCGCCGTGCCACGTGACATTTGTTTGCGTGCGTGAAAGCGATCGTGCCCCGTTCCCCTGCGCCCCTCCCGTGCGGCGCGCCGTCACCCTTCGCGCCTGCTCCTGTTAATTGTGCTAATTACTCCTGTAATGAAGCAAGGGGCGGGGTGAGATTGCTTATCGACGGCTTCCACGGAATTTACTTTGTGTGATACATCTGCCCGACTTCACTGTTAATTTGATGTAAATATACCTGCGTAGAATTAGGCTAATGACATAATCATATGCAAATAAATTTAAATTAGAACTATAAATTACCGTAGAAAATTCAATTATATACGAGACAAGAGTTTGGGATTATTTATCATAAAGTTGTATAAAAAAAAATAACTGGAAGAAATCCCTTTAAGGGAAAAGTCAGTGTACATTTTCGTTGTCTGATACATACCGTTAACCTAATATCTATATTAAAAGAGAACGTACAAAAACATTTAAATAATTAAAAAGATTTTACTTTAAAAATATTTGAGATGCCCACTTGCCCCTTGTAAGGGGTAATCAGTTCTTTCAAGACTCTATTTTAATAGCTATTTGTCTTCACTAACAATAGATAACAAACATTGAAGTAATGAGCAATAATATCGGGCAAGTTTCCAAATGTTTTTGCTAGTGTGCAGCGAAGTTCCGCAAAGTGTGCTTATAACGCGAAGCGGGATAATAACGGTGCACTCTGGCACTACTTCAGACAGGAACAGATTTTCTGCACCGAGGAAGGCGCGGGCCGTGGGGAGAGAACGGTACTGCGGCCCAGCACGTCAGCTCGACAACGAGCACCAGGCAATTTGGCTATTTGGGGTCGGCCATAAACCGATAGCGAGCGCAGTAAACGCAATCCTCCACTCGCGACTATAAACTTTACGAGTCACGTAAAAACGCGCTCGAAACGCCGACTTGCTACCATAAATTTATGCTAATGTATTCTTTATAGGAGTTTAATGTGTATTCAGAAATTCCTCCATTATTTATGTATACGAATGAACCGGTAAAGTTAATTTTAAAGTCGCACAGCGCCCCGCGGTTTACGCGCTCGTTGGCGATTAATTTTTTGTATCGCTTTTGTGGCCCATGTTTCCGACGAACACAGATTCTCGTTTCCGAATCTTTATTTTTTTTAGGGACCGATATATTGTACAGATAGCGATAAATTACATAATTCTTCTTATGAATGAGTTTTAACGTGAGCCAGTTTTATCGCGTCATCAAACGTACAAAGTTATAAATTGACAACGTAATGGGACTTAAAAATAAATGGTCTGCAATAAAACTTTTCGATGATAGTATCATAAAACAGAATCGTCTAGAGCGGGTAGTCTCGATAAAAGACGAAAACGTCGCGTGTAAATCACGTAACTTTTCAAAACTATTATGCCTGAAATATAGTCCGAACTCAATCCGTACATTTCCGAGCGGCGGGCGGTCTATTTATCTATTTCCCCCGCTTCCGCCCCCGAGCGTCCGGTTAACCGCCCCCCTTCCGGTTAACCGGGCGGCGGCACGGCGCGCGCGGCTAAACGGCTCGTCGCGTGACCGCAGACAATAAGCCCGGGCGGCGTTAACAGCGCGCCTGTGTGTTGCCACTTTATATGTTACGTCACAGTACCAGGCTGAAGCCCCCCGACCCCGACCCGCCCCACTCCGCCGCGACACATGTCGTGTGCGGCGACCTCCGCGAGGCGCATGGAGCACGGTAGCCGATAAGTCGTGTTGTCGGAGCTTGTAGCTGACTCGTACTTGTTTAGCAACCGAGTACCCACTCCCCGCCCGGCCGACCCTTCCCCGACTCAATTGCCTTTTTCTTGAGGTCGACCCGCGTAATGGGATAAAGTAAAGATTAGCTCTGTTCGCTTTTCTGTTGAAAATGGAAAAGGTTGCGACTACTCAATATAGTGTATTTTCTATTTGGATACATATAACTGGATGGGTATTTGAGCAGTAATCCTCTTATATTATGTATGTACTTACATTGTGCATGTGCTTAAGCACGATGCTATATATATATATATATATATATATATATATATATATATATGGACGAAATAACTTGCTTCGAGATTAAATAAAGGGGATATACGTACCCACCTACCTAATTGTTGTTACTTTAATTTTTAACTTATCTAAGCAAATAGATGTTCAAACAAAAACTAGATAACATTTTTTTAAATCTCTAATTTAGTTATTTTACTTAATTATTAAAAGTTGTAAAATAGCTTTTAAAATAGGTTTTCTTCAATTCTAGACTTTATTACAATATCCAATACATTTATTTGGATGTATATTAATACAACTTATTATATTACTGATCGATCTACAATCCATTATATTAATTTTAGAATATAATAAATCTAGTAAAAAAGTATAGTTTAGTAGTAAAATATTCACATGATTCTACATATATGTAATGTAATAAGCCCCTAATTATAACAACTTAACTCACTATCAGCAGCATCCAACCCCATTTTCCATCTATTAAATTGACGATTAACCACAAATATTCTACCCCGAATGAATGACACGTATAGGTATCATAAAATCCATCCAATCGAATCCGGCATGTCACATTACGTCTGGCACTGTGGGTCTCTCGAAATAGCACTTGAAATTCGATATTCAACTCGGTGGAGATCGGGCGATCGTAAAATTAGGCCTTCGAATACAAGATCGACTCGACCCCCACTAGTACATACCTACACACATATATAAGGCCCGTGTGCCCATGTGGACACCGCTTTATGTTCCCTTCCACGCGACTTGCGCCAATAATAAAACTTTATTGGTTACATCTCGCCTATCAAATATCCAATAACACCGCCGCAATAAGCTGCGTCGTCCAGTTTATCTTACAGACTATACACTCGTCCCAATTTTATTATCTAATTTCTTCGTCGTAAAAATGGAGCTCTTTGTACGTGAAAATAGAACGTTCGCACTCTTGTGAGCCATTAAATAGAACTGAATCTATTTGATGTTAGCCGTATCGTATTTCGAGTAGCGATAAATAGATGTGAATCGCAATGTATAGTGTTATTGTCTTGGTCCGAGGCGGGTGGGCAGTAAGTCACAGCGGGCGGCGACAGGTTGGCGGCGTGGAGAGCAAATTAACAGCCGCTTGCCACTCGCTTCTAACTTAGTGCCTCGTAAAATTATACCCCGTTACACCCACAAGCAGCGAGGCTTACTACGATCTCCGAGGAGAATTAGAATCCAAACGTTTCTAATTCAACAACAATTATGTTTGTAAGGAAACTAGTATAATTCTTAATGTCATACCATTCTACGGTTTTTATGGAAGTATCTGGAATGTGATATCTGAGATATATAAAAAGTCGCGCAATATACCCATATTGAATCTTTCGGGAAGCGAAAGCCTTTCCGCACGAATGGCCACAACGTTTGCGTGTGTACACTTGAAATGGCATCTGTCTAACAAAACTCGCCGCAACCATTCAATCGAATATTGATAATCCGAGCACTCAAAACCTACATTATGTATATGGAAACGTCACATGAACTAAATCAGTGAGCGTGGCGGTCGTTCGTCACGTATATGATTATTTCATTAGTCCGTATTTGCGCGCTCATCCAAATTTTGCGGTTCCTGTCCGCCCTCCCCCTCCCCAGTTCGACTCGGACAGTTGCGAGGGGGCGATGACCACTCCCGGAGCTAATCATGCGGTCAGTTTGTTCTGCCTCAGCGTGTTTTGATATTGATATTGACTGTAGCACTCGCCTCGCTGCGTGCCGATTTATTTGCGACCAATGATCGATTGATTGCTATAGGTACGTAAGCCCGGCCGTAAACGTTTTGATTATGTTTACTAACTCGTATTTACTGAACAAACAAAACCAGTACCGCCGGTATTATTTTATAAATGAATTCCGCTTTGTTGTTACAGAGGAATTCCATATCACCGGGTGAAAGAGAAAAATATAGGACGCGAAGTCCAGCAGAACCTGACCACAAGAAACTCAAGAAAGAAGAAAAAGATATGGGCCATGTAAGTTGACATAGTATATTTAATCATATACCAATTAAATTATTTATATATTTAATATAAATTATATGTAATACAAAATAATTAATTATCAGAATATTAATCAATATATGAACATTCTTCAGGAATTAGTGGTGGATGACGCCAGTGAAGAGCCTACGTCACCGCACAACGGAGCACCTTCACCTAGAGAAAATGGACTAGACAAATTACAACCTAAAAAAGAACATCCGCCACATAGCCCAAGGTACATACATATAAACAGAAAATAGTTAAACGAAGTCGCAAACCGATTCTAACCCATTGGATCCTTAAAATGTGCTCTGCGTAAAATTATTTTTTGATGTCTACTCGCTTATATCCTATAGGGGATTAAAATTTTAACATTTTATTTGTTACATTTTGGGTCATTAAATTATGTTTTAATTTTTCTTTTTGTAATTACTGAAATTAACTACTTCACATGAAATCTGTTATGTTCATGGTACTGTTTAGGTCTATAGGCAATGGTTACAACTATCCATCAGGTGAGCCGTCAGCTTGTCTGTATAAAAAATGTATAATATATAAATGTCTTTTGTATAAAAAATACTCAAATCTACTCATTTATGTAAATGTAAACTGCAATTGCATAAATTCAAGGGTTGAGTGGGACAGTGGTACGGTTCAGTATTAAGGTTAATTGAGTCAGAGACTGTGCTAACTAAAGTACAATACAACATAAATCTTATTCTATTTATGTAACACAAACTATTTAGAATCCTGAGAATCTTCTATATCGAGACGATTATTACCAATATTTGAACAATTAACAAAACTAAAGGTCTTAGATAAATAATGAAATAGGCTCGATATACTGTAAATTAAATATAACACAACCTTAATATGTGCAATTCTAATAAGTAAATTTTTACACTTGTCAGCAAATTAAATTACAGTGGTTTGTCGCCAAGCCCAAGCGCACCGTATCTCCTTTTAATAGAAGCCTTATAATCATATTGCTACACCTACAGAACATGCTACTTAGAAGGTCAGCGTACGACACAAGACTTGCAGAAAGTTAATCCGCCCCCACACTAAATCAATTAGAGCGTTCAGAGCCCCAGTCGAAGATTTAGTGTAGTCCTATTAAAGACAATAAGATTAGAAACGCCATCGTGGATAACTGATTATATTGTACTAAAATCAACAAATTGCGTGCATAAGCTTTTAAGAGAACACATTTTCAAGTTTTATTTGTTAGTTTTTTTTATTACGAGATTTCTTAAACCTGTAACCTATTTATGTATATGCATATACGTATGAAATATCTTCGTTAGAGGATTTTTTAAAATAAAATCTTTATTTATTATAAATAATTTTAATAATTTTAATTAAGATAGTTAAAAATTTTTATAATATTAATATAAAAAATATCAGGTCGACACGATAAGGGATCTCTCAAACTTACTCCTAGACTAAGTATAAATTATTGTAAAACTTTTCACTGATATAAAAAGTAAGTCACTAGCATAATAAATTCATGGAAGTTATAATCCTATAAATATAACAATCTAGTTGAACAATAAATTTAATAATGATTATTCCGAAATTCCAGATCGGGTACCTCTAGCAATGCATCAACGCCGTCAGCGAAGAAGTTGGACGAGAAGCCTAGTACGCCGATCTCGAAGCCGGTAACGCCGACGTCGGGAGCGAGCGGAGCCGGTGCAGCTGGGGCACCCCTGAAGGCCGCGGTGAAGCCTCCTTCACTCCAGTATCCATATTTGGGCAACGGAGCGCACGACGCATACGGCCTGGCTGGATACTCCGCGCGCGCGGCTCTCGCATATGAACCGCTACGACCACCTATTGGCCCAGCTGCGCTTGCGCCAATACCTGGTGGCAAACCGTAAGTTCTGTTTTCCTAATCTTTTTTATGAAATTTAGAATAACAAACTAGCTGACGGTCTACTTCATAAATAGCGGTAATTGTCTCTTATCGACATGAATAGTACCACCGACATATCAAAGTACCTACACTTCATTGCCCTCGGCACATAAGTGTGAACTTTAGTTATGTTTCCACAACTAAAAAAAACTTAATTTACTATGCCTATTTAAGACAATTCATATTTTAAAATATTCATACTAACATGAATTATTTCTCATTACCTCTATTATCTTCGTAGCGGATAACATACTTATTGTACTTTACAATGTCTATTATCTATGTACATAAATAATTTACATATCGTTACGACTCATAAAAATTATATAGACGTTGTAAAATCTTTTATATCTGTAAGTACACACATACATATATCGTTCTGCGTACCTTGGCTTTATCTATCTTCCCACAAAATTCCTTGAGATAAAAAAACTTTATTTTCTAGACGTACCTGCGACTTTCTCCTTATAAACTAGATATAATCAGTTTAACCTTTGTTGTTAATAATATCAAATACTACATGTGTGTCAAATTTCATGATAATTAGTTGAGGTTTTAATACACATATATGGATACAATATTGTATACTTAAATTATACCTACCATATAACTAATATAAACTGCATAATACATATTTTCTCATGTACTCGTATAAATTTATTTTTGGACATTATCGCGTTGCTTTTTCAATTAACTGGTATCTAAATGTCTGCATTTCATTGCTGACCAATTCGTCCGAACCCAAAATGAATCCTTATCTATATGTTACTAATAATAAAATTATATAGTGAGTTTATTTGTCTTCTCTTGGCGCCTTAAATGATTGATTAATCGCTATCAAATCTGGTATACCAGTATAGCGGATGGAAAAGAACATAAACTACTTTTTATCCCTGTCACGCAGATAAAGTCGCGGGTAAAAGCTGCCAAATAACGCTTTAGAGAGATGGCTTAAGTTATTTGTTAAATGTTCCAGGGCATACTCATTCCATGTATCGGCTGAGGGTCAAATGCAACCGGTACCTTTCCCCCCGGATGCTCTGATGGGCCCCGGGATACCTCGACACGCACGACAAGTATCCGCACTGGCCCACGGTGAGGTGGTATGCGCGGTTACCGTATCGTCACCCACCAAATACGTGTATACGGGCGGCAAGGGCTGCGTCAAAGTATGGGACATCAGCCAACCCAGTAAAGCGCCCGTCAGCCAACTGGATTGTTTGGTGAGTGGGTAACTGTCTCTGGTTTACACGACTAATTTTTATACTTTATATTAGCTTTTGTACGCGTGGATTATGGAAGTAGGAAAACCAATTCAATAGACCACTTTTTAACTTAAATATATACCATATTTTAAGTTCGAAATTCGAAAACAATTGTGAAAGTCGCATCTAAGATTGATGCCGGAGCAAACATATAGACAGAAAAATTATAAAAAATATTGTTTTGGTTTCTATGTCACTGATAACAATTAACTAACAAAGCTTAATCTAAAGATATAAGCTCGTTCATCAACAACAGTTATAGACTTTTTCTAACCCCCTCATTAAGAATTACAATCATATTTATTCTATATAATATTTTAATTGCAGCAAAGAGACAACTACATAAGATCGGTAAAGTTGTTGCCGGATGGTCGTACGTTGATCGTCGGCGGTGAAGCATCCAACCTCTCTATTTGGGACCTCGCGTCGCCGACGCCGCGCATCAAGGCAGAACTGACGTCCTCCGCGCCAGCCTGCTATGCACTTGCTATTAGTCCCGACTCTAAGGTGAATAATTTTTTTAGTATATATTACTTGTCACCAACTCCCGAAAAAAAATATCGATGGAATCTATCGGTATAAATAAGGCAGGGAAGGGATTGTTAGTAAAGGCAAGGGTAATCTTCATTGCTGATAAAATGCCCTGTCAGGTCAACCTATACGCAATTCGCCCCTAGAATCGTATTAATACCTTGGAAACCATCACCATACATTAATACCCCGCTAGTGTATACCGATAACACAGGCGAGCTTACTATTTCATTTTCATTCTTTCAAAAAAAGTATTTGTTTTGTCACATTATGCTTAATTAATTGATAACATAGAAAGAAATAATTAAATGGAAACAATATCTCTCGTTTGGCGCATTTGGTTTAACGTTTGGTTGTATTCGTTGCAGGTGTGCTTCAGTTGTTGTTCAGATGGGAACATAGCTGTGTGGGACCTTCACAATCAGACGCTGGTGCGCCAGTTCCAAGGCCACACGGACGGCGCCTCCTGCATCGACATCTCCGCTGACGGTACCAAGTTATGGACCGGTGGACTCGACAACACTGTGCGGTAAGCTACTATCTTACTAACATTATAAATGTGAAAGATCATAAAGATGTTTGTAATGTTATAACTCCATAACGCTTAACGGCTGAACGGACTTTAATAAAATTTCTATGGCTAGGTAATATTCTAACATAACACAGATATTTTAAATACTGATTTACATGCAAATAATAATGTTTTTTTCTTATTATAATAAGAAAAAAATTGCATAACAAGGAACGTGGAGTGATTCCACAAAGCGACTGTTATATTTATATTTTATAAACTCAAATCATTTTCGGTGATAGAGATTAAATAAAAATTTGTATTTTTGTTATAACTTCCTTTCATACCCAGCAGATCGTAAGAGGTGATTAAAAAAAACAAAGCACTCTTGTGAGGAAATACCCATAACCAGTGTTTGAAAGTATCGGAATGCAAACTCGCCATATCTATAGTCATTAAACAGTCTTATTCACATTTAAGACAGCTGCAAATCTAATATTTGTTAAACTACGTCATATCCTTTTTAGACTACACGTATTGTGTCAAAGATCCGAGAGCAATACAAAGAAATTAAAAAAATTGATAAATGCACTATTAACAAATTTAAAGAATCTGTGTTCATTGCATGTATTTTGCATTCCAATTATATTATGATGTTGAAATTATCTCATGCTTATTGTACTGCAATAAATTATAAAAGAGCCCATTGTAATTACTCTCTTACTTCAACACCATACGAAAAGAACTAATAATTATTAGTTAATTGTAATTAAAAAGCACTTTAATTTTAATGCAATCTTTTAAATTTACAGGTCATGGGATTTAAGGGAAGGCAGACAGTTACAGCAACACGACTTCAGTTCTCAAATATTCTCACTGGGCTACTGTCCTACTGGTGAGTGAATAATTGAATATTGGTTTTATAAATTTTACATTACTTAACATAATTATTCTATCTAATCATCTAGATTAGATATAGAGAATATTGTATTAATTATAAATTATAAACGCGATGTTGACCCACTATTTTTTAAATTATTTATAAATGTCTTGACAGACTTAAATCACTTGTTCATTACTACTATTATTAATTACAAGGTTATCATTGTGTCCTCATTTATTTAATATGCATATATTTAATATTTATTTTTTATGTACGTTTATGTTTATATGTATTAGCATTGTATATTACAAATATAGATATACTAGCTGACTTGGTAAACGTTGTTTTACCATATACATTATTTCTAGAACTATACATGAAAATATATCGTACTACAATTATTATATTCGATTGTCATCTTGCAACCCTATTGCGGCATATAAAAATTGCGATTAAACAACAGGGATTGATCGTAAAAGCATAAAAATTTGAATTTGTATGTATTTTTCAGTGCTAAATCATAATAAAATAAAAATAAAAAAAATTGATAAAAAAATAAAAATAAAATATTTAGAGGTGGGTAACCCCTATCATTGAGGGGTATGAAAAATAGATGTTGGCCGATTCTCAGAGCTACCCAATATGCACACAAAATTTCCTAAAAATCGATAAAGTCGTTTCGGAGGAGTTTGCTAACAAACACCAGGACACTAGAATTTTATATATTAGATAAAAAGTTACAAATAAAAATAACAATGTTGGATTTACACCTACTTCCACATGATCAATGACGATGTTTTTTAAGGCATGGTAATGGAATGGTAACCCCGCCTGCGCTATCGGTGTATACGGGCAGGGCATCAGTGAGGGTTGATATGTGAAAATGAAGTAGGTTAGTTCACCCATCGTGACAAATTCAGCAATAAATTTATCCCAATGGTTTCCAGGAGGAGGTCAACCTGATAGGGTTTATTACTAGCAATGGGGTTGTTAATCCCCATTTCTAAGCATCGCTTCTCCCCCTAATTTGTAGGGAATTCCTCAGGTGATCCAACCTAACTTTATCCACGACTATCATCTATCACTGGTGCCCTGCCAACATATACTGAGAAAGAAGGCGGGGCTACTATTTCATTAAAAAAATACCACTAACGAAGGTATTGTTTTGTAGGCGAGTGGTTAGCAGTGGGCATGGAAAACAGTAATGTGGAGGTACTGCATGCGGTGAAGCCGGACAAGTACCAGTTGCACTTACATGAGTCGTGCGTGCTGTCACTCCGGTTCGCCTCCTGTGGCAAATGGTTCGTCTCCACGGGGAAGGACAACCTGCTCAACGCCTGGCGCACGCCCTACGGCGCTAGTATATTCCAGGTAAATAATATTCTCTACTGTGAATAAATATGTATACTGACGACTATACTACCCTGAGGGGACGTTCAAGTGTCACGTAACGTAATTTTTAAAGATTGTTGAACCTCCCTCCGTGTAATGAGCCGTAACATTTTGTGTACACCCCAAGTTACACGATAAACAACGTTCTGACTCGAAATTCGAAATCGACTTCCCTAGAACTACACGATTCCAAAAAATTTTACATGGACTTGTGTATCTAAACCAAGATATTGAAGTAGTATGTAAATGTAAGGTTTTGTCAATCGCAATATATATTTCTTTATTGCATTAATATTAATTAAGTATTTTATCTTAACGGTCTAAATAATAATATTAATAATGGATATTTAATTTACACAAATGATAATTATTTATTTTTGACACGCCTGTATTATGTATAAAATGACTAGGTTATAGTATTTTAATAAATTTTGCATACCAGTATTTTGGTGAAACATATAGCTCGGAGTATACAAAACTGAATATCTATGAGTAACCATGTTTAACAAAATACAATCGAATTCAGAACTACTTCTTTTTTGGAATTATCTTAAATACGAGATATCTTTTTGTCTCTTATCTCTTGGTCTGACTATTTTAATTAATAAATATTTTAAATATTTATTGTGTCATTTCTCGTTTACAGTCAAAAGAATCTTCATCAGTACTCAGCTGCGACATTTCATCAGACGACAAATACATTGTGACGGGCTCCGGCGACAAAAAGGCCACAGTCTACGAAGTGATTTATTAGTGTAAACAAACAAACATACAAACAAACGAACAAAATAGAAACCCAGTGATTTTATACTAGTGAGTGACGTTCCGCGAACATAGAGTTGCAAGTGGTGATATAGCTTTAGTGTATGTATAGATTATATTATATTGGGAAGCCTGTATGTACTTATGCGACTTGTTTATATAGATTAGTGTGCGCGGTTTTATGTTTATTTGTTGAGCGCCCGTAGTGTATGTTGGCAGCAGATCTCAAAATGACGATTTCGTTTCAATATTGTTGTAAAATGCTCGTATTAAAGAAAAGATATGCGCAATCTATTTTGTATGTTTTAATTATTTTATTTCCTTAACTTTTTTATGGCCTGAGATAGAGCTGGCTGGAAGAAGATGCATGAATTAGTTGCATCGACAAATGGAAACTTTTAAATGTAAAGAAAAAAAGAAACTTTTTATGAAATGAAATTTGAATGGTTATACCGTCTAGGCGTCTGCGCTATTGAAAGACGCTGGCGGGGTAGTAGTGAATGATGATAGATGAAGATGAAGTCAGGTCAATTGATCCATCGTGACGAAATCATTAATAAATTATGGCGATAGTTTCTGTAAAGAACCTGATATTTTAATTACTAAAAGTTTTACTTCCTTAATCTTATCTTCTTTATATATAAAAAAAAAGAAAAATCGTTATAAAAATATTGACATAAAGGTACATTTTTTTTTGTTTGGCTCCTGGAAGGAGCCAGCATTTGCCCGGATTTTTTTTTTTTTTTTTTATAAAACTTAGAATGGCAAACAAGCTGACGGCCCACCTGATGGAAAGTGGTAACCGTCGCCTATAGACATGAGCAGTACCATGGACATAACAGAGTATACTGTTTCGCCCATGATATCCCCCATGCGTTGCCATTCCTGAGGACTAAGGTGTTATTCCTCTGTACCCAGTAAATTCACGCCATATCCCACCCTTCAAACCGAAACACAGCCATGCAAACACAACTGCTTCACGGTTGAAACACGAATGGGACAGAGGTACCCAAGCAATCGACTTTTGTACAAAGTCTCCCTCTGCGAAAATATAAATAAAGTTATATGTTTTATTATTTTTCCTTTCTATTCATCTTCTTTCATTCTTATTTTGTTCCTAGCGTGTTGTAAAGGTACATTGATATAATCAACTTTATCGTCCATTATTATTATTATAGTTAATAATAAAATTTAATCCATAAAATGCTAATGTTAAAACTTATGCTTACTATCAGACAGATGTCATAGTATTAGAGTTGGAATATTTCACATGTAACAAATGAAATATCATATACTACGCAAAATCATACATCACTCCGGCGACGTTGCTTCATATACACTGTTATGAATTACACTAAGGTAACATCGCAGACAGTCACTGTTCGGATTTAGTTCAGAGTATATGTACTTGTAGGATTGTAGGATGATTGGTGAGGATGAAGCAGGTCAGTTAGCCCATGGTGACGAATTCAACAAGATTTGTTCACGATGGTTTCCAGGGGGAACCACCTGGAGGTCGACCTAACAGAGGATATTGCCAGCAATATCCTCTGTTAGGTCGACAAACAGGCAAGACTGACAGACAGAACTGACAGGGCTGTCAAACTCCAACGCTAACAATCTCTTTCCCACCTATGTACTTGGTTAGCAGTGAAGTGATATCGCTGCAGACGGTCGACTAGATCGTACAGAGCGAGCGAATAGAGACTTTACTCCACTGCTTTAAAATCTTTATTCGGTCGCTGTTATCATAAAAATCATAATTCATATTTGACATTCAATAGCAAATAGTAGCGAGGACGACATTAAGTTATTACAAGCGAAAATCACTTTTTGTGATTTGTCTTTGGTGATATCACTGTGATTAAAAATAAAATATTCACTAAACGATAATGAATTAAATCCAGCAATAATTTTCATGCCTAAATAGTATGAATAAAAACAAGATAAATGTTGTTTCACTTTGCCAAAAAAGACTCGAGACGACTTCAGTCGCAACAAAACATGGGACCGACACTATTGGTCGTATAGAGAATTATCACAATTGGTGAAAATATCGCAACAAATATATAAACAATACATGCAATTTAATATCAATTTAAATAAGTTATCTACCACTAAACTAAAATCCGATTATGCAAAATCTAGACAGGTCTCAGTTTGTTATTACGAATATATATTACGAAACGTGCAACAGCATTCGTAACACTGAACAACACTTTTCCCAAATATCATAATCAGTCGAAAAATCGATATATGACAATATTTTTTTAATTTTAGATACAAATCCCATGCTTACGTGATCATTTTAGTAACATTTTAAACATTATTTTATGTCGTTGTGTAAATTTTCCTTTATTTGTGATGCAAACCTACTTCACAATGCTGACACATTTCTCGACTAACCAAGTAAACATGAAATTAAAAAATGACATTATGACAGGATGGCTTCCAGAATACAAGTATGGTTAATAAATTTTAAACTAGAGAAGTAATAAAAAATAAATAGACGCGAACATATCACTAACTGCCATCTACTCACAAACAAAACACAGCTTGTTATTTTACCATACAATACATAAATAAATCCTAGATGAATGAATAAAATTTGTTCTAACCAAATTTTCATATCAGTCTATAAGTGTCCACTGCTGAACATGAGCTTCCCCTTTAAGATTGGCAACCAGAGTTAGGCTTTGGAGATGTTTAAGAGAGACGCAGCTGCCCATCCCTCGCCCTCCCTTAGTCGCCTCTTACGACATCCATAGGAATGTAAGGGGTGACCTATTCTACGCAGAGACCACACGGCGAAATAGTTCTAACCCAATACAAATATTTTGAGCACAAATGCCTATATTATGCCAGAATCGAATTTACAAGTATCATAATACGGAAAATCTGATTTATAAGTATTATTAGACATAAAAATGTCGATTTCACCAGTAAATAACCACTATGGTATGCCAGGTGAACATTGAATTCAAGCTATATTGTTACAGTGGTACCGATAGAACCCTTCATAAAATCCTCTCCTTTCCACTTTCCTTGTCATAAAGATGTTTGTCACTTGTTATTCAATCACTCTTAAAAGTTGAACAGATTTTAATTAAATTCAGTAGAATTCAAATAGAATAAGTAACTAGGTAACTAGATACTTTTATTCTAATTCACATAAACAAAGTCGTGGCTTCCAGGTAATTAATATAATAAAACTGAAATATTCCAAATGTATAGAAGAGTAAGATCATCTGTTGACTGTTGCTATTATCAATTATTTAAATACATACATAGTGGCAGGAAACAAGCTTAGCGACGGTCTTGAATTTATTTACGCTAGTAGGTAAAGGTTTATACTATCACTAGGGCGGAGAAGGGGTTTTTAGTAATGGGGATAAGCATCCCCATTGCTTGCAATAAACCCTATCAGATCGACCTCCTCGTGGTTCTCCCTGGAAACATTCGTGATTGTTTTACTGTTGAATTTGTCACGATGAGCTAACTGACCTACTTCATTTTCACCTATCATCCCTCACTGGTGCTTTGCCAACGTATACCGATAGCGCAGACAGGGTTACCATTCTATTATCGTCCAGTAAAAAACATCATCACTAGGGAGTAAATTTTAAAATATTGATTGACAAATTTTTTTGTTAATGATTATTGGTAGCCACGAGTCGCAACCTACGAAACTTAATAATTATAATCATACACAATTCAATCTAGACAAAAGTAGTAAGTAAAACAAAACACAAGCAAACTCTTTCGATTAAGAAAGAATTCTTAAAATCAATCACTGCTTAACACAGTAATAAGTATACTTATAGCCGGTAGAGCTGAAGGCCTACCATGAAATGTTTTCCGGAATTTCGGGACCGAACTAAACACAAAATTGATATAAAAATTACACAATACATATTGTTTAAAATTCTTAAAATATCGTTCCTTTGGATTTTTATGGTAGGATTTATGACGAACAAAATTTTAAGCTCTATTTACTGGGCCGATTTCGTTATGAACGAAAATACGAAATTAAATCCGAAAAATTTTATTTTATAGTAGACTCCAGCTCTCGATCCAACACTACGCCGTGTACAGGTACAACATAAGCAGGTACAATTTTAACAATAGGTCTAACAGCCCCATCAGTCGACCACCACTCGGTTCGCTCTTGATACTACCGTGATTAATTCTTGTTAAATTCATCACAATGTATTAAATGACCTGAGGGCCTACTATGAAATGACTTACGAAATTTCGGGCGCGAATGAAACACAAATATGATGTTAAAATTACATAATACATACCGTTTAAAAATATTAAAATATCATTTCTTTGGACTTTTATTATAGGATTTACGACGAATGAAATGTTAAGATTAAGTTCCATTTATTGGCCCGATTACGGTGTGAACAATAACACGAAATTGTCTCCGAAAATTCGAAATTTCATTTCATGGTAGACCCTCAGCTCTCATCTGCAGTTATCATCATTATATATATCATTCATTGGTGCCCCACCAGTGTATACCAATAATGCAAGCGGAACAACCAATCCATTTTCTTCCATTAAAAAAAATCATAAAAAACGTAAGTGGATAGGTAACTGCTATGTACAATTACATACTATTTGATCAAGCATATGGTGTTATTTGGTTTGGATAGAATTGTCTTATCTCTTAAAGCGTAGGAATGCGACCATAAAAGCACGCTCATTTATTGCCAAATGAGACAGGCCACTCCATGGTGGCTTAATGACGTTATCACAGCATATTTTATTTCCGAATCACTCGACAACATAGCTAAATTGGTTTTCAATGGCTGAAATTCGAGACATTTTATCAATGAGTTTGCTATTTATTTTTGACACGTGAATACCATACCCTTCTTATCTAAACGGTTACAAAAAATGGTTGAACAATTACCATTTATAATATTTTCATAATACGAAGTCATATAGATACAAAATATATGAATAAGAACTATACAGAAAAACAAAGCTAGTTATTTTGCTTTTTATTTTTAACCGATGATAAACGAATGAGATTTTCAAGTCAACCCCTATGTTTAATAATAACCGTATATTATTATTTTTTATGTGTGATCCCGCGTAAATTTTTATTGTAATCCTATTTGGATATTTTTTTTTCTTGAATAAGGTAATAAAACTATTCTGAGGACGTGTGAATCTATTTCTCTTTTTATTTAATTCTAATCTTTTATTTTTCTCTACAAAAAGATTCTGCTACATATCGTTTTCTTATTCGAGAAGCGTTTTCATCTACTCATATTAGTACAAATAATAATAAAGATGTTCCACAAAAAAAGCCGACATTAGTCGTAAAAAGACCAGTAAGTATGTATATCCTTTCGAATAAGAAAAGAATTTTCCAAATTAGTTTATAACTAAAGGAGCTACGAGGCAACAAACAAAAATAAAATACAACCAAATTGAGAGGCTCAGTTGAAAAAAATACTGTTTATACATTATGTTAATTAATGTAACTCATTCCTTAAAACTAGTGTTATTATCCATTAATAGGTAATAATATTAAAAATATATTGTTTTCTAGAAAAAAAAAATATAATCAAAACATAAGAAAAAATTATCGAAAAAAAGATTAGCCGCCAACCATTAGTCTGTACCAAAAAAGCTTTAGTCACAAACAAGTGAAAAAAATAAAAACTTTTTACAGAAATTTAAACCTACGAAAAAAGGGACTAAAAAGCGAAAAATAAAATTAAACTTTAACAAAAAAATAAACCGTCGAACAAAGAAATGAACTGAACATAAATAAATAATGCTGTTAATCTTTTTTCGTATACTAATATAAATATACTTACCTAAATAATTTGTTTGTTTATTTATACACTGAATTTTAATATTAATCTTCAGGAATACAAATGTAAAAACCGCATCCAATTTGGTGTAATAGTTTTAGCGTCATACCGGAACTGTCATACAGGCAGATAGACAAAACCAAAAATTATTGTTTTGGTATCTACTGGTATTATTCAGATCCCTGATATTTTTTTAATGTATCCCATATATAGACGTCATCTAATTACAATTTCATTTTATTAGTAAGATTATTTAACATTATTTAGTAAAAAATATAGATTTATAAAATTGTATTAAAATCGGTTGAGCGATTTCGAAGATAAATGGTAGGTATGTCTTATGTTCCGGCATAGAATGAGCCACACTTTCCTTTCCCGTTCTTCTTAAAACATCACCAAAAACCTAACTGCGTTTGCCAATTCGCCTGCCAACCATGGCAACTTTTGGCAAAACCCACCTTATGGTGAAGGCTTATGTTCGGCAGTAGACAGTATACCTACTCGTACAGTAGATATGAATTAATGAAAAAAATACTTAAAAATTACAAAACTAATAATCTGATGTTTATATGACACTATTATACGCTTATTAATCAAATACATGACATACTTATCCCAATTAGAAATAAACACATAAATACTAATATTAAGTAACCGGATCGCGGCGGCGCGGCGGCGGCGCAGACGCTGGTGGTGCCAGCCACCGTCTCTTATCAGTTATCACCCATGGTTATTGTACTCCATGTAAATATAACAAATCGTAACAAAGGCGCAATATATGGAAAGAATATATTGCGAACGTCTGACTAATTAACATGTTTTATTACATACTGTGATGAAAATCTAATTAGTAATAGGTAATCATTAATAAGGTTTCATAGGTATAGACGAAGTCAATCATTTGGCCCATCGAGGAAAGTTCCTGATAGGGGTGGCGTCAAAGTTAAAACATCACATTTTCTATGGCCGCATGAAGATCGACCTGACATATTGTTACTTATCGGGCCGCTAATCCCTATTGTACTTATAATCCTTTCATCCACTTAAACGAATTTGAATGCTCAAAGACTATAAACAAAACTATAAATATGTAGCAATGGAATTAAATATGTAATTTAAATATTATTAAATTAAAAGTAAATTTATAACATTTCTATTTATATTACATTATTTTGATATAAAACATAAATGTTATAATTCATACCAAAATTTAAAATTATCGAAAATATCCCTTGATATACTGTTTTTTTTTTGTAACTAAAATTAATCACATATTAAAAAAAAACATACTATGGAACTGAAAACTATATTAAATTACTAGCTGTATCTCGCGGTTCAGCCCGCATGAATCAGTAAAGTATTTCTATGTACTAAATTAAGATATAACCTACACGTGTAACAAACTTCATTCGGAACTCTTAAGTAGTTTTTAGTTGAAAGAGAAACAAACATATATCCTTTCATCGTTACAAACTTTTGAATTTATTATTTAATAACTTATCCCAATAACAAAATACCTACCACGTGCATCATTTACTGTTCGTCCCAAAAGTTGACTAGTAGAGAAAGCTACTAGCATTAAATCCGCCTTTTATACCATAGTTTCGTTTGCTCAATATAGTTGTTTAAATAAATAAATATTGGATTATTGGACATTAATTAGCAGTCTTATAGTCAGGTTAAATTTGTAGTTTTACTTGTTCATTAAGTTCCATTGAAACAGACTAAACATAGATTGTACTCCAAATTACATGGGGACCTGAAACATGAGCAGATAGTGTGCAGCACCATATGTTGGCACTGCCAGCCACCGAGCGCGCGCGCCTGCCGTCGCGACGCCGCACCCTGTTGACGCCGGCTAGCACTCAGCACGCGTGAGTCGCGTCGCGCCGTGACGCAATCAAGGAAAACTAATTATGATGTGTTAAAGGTAAACAAATTTTGTTAATAGGATCACGAAAACTCTCACTGAATGATATTAGTAAGAAATCAAAACATTCTACCAATTAATCGATTTTGGATTTACTATTATATACTACTATTGGACATCAGCTGTCGTGTCAGTTATTAATTTGTTTACATTTTCATTAATATCTATTGGAACAGATTGCACCTACAAATTTGTAAATGATAATCGATTTACTTAACATGTTTTATAAGAGAACAGAGATCAAATTTATATTTATTCTATATCTTAAAATGTTTTTCTTTAGTATCAAAATGCAGTTTGCACATCGTAGCGAATTCAGCTGGAATTAATCACGATGGTTTCCAGAGACGATCTTGTGGGAGGTCGACCCGATAGTACCTATATTACTGGTAACGTAGCTATTAATCCCGATTACTAACAAAATTTAATCTCAATTTGATACCACGTGGAGGTCGACCTGTTAGGATATATTGTTAGCAATGGAAGTGATATTCCAAATTTTAAACTTCTCTTTCCAGACTAAATAATTTTGGCTATGTGTTGATACATTGTAACGTAAGTTTCCGAATTTCAAAATAATTTTCATATATTTCATTCACATTGAAAAAAGTTATTTGGTATACGATTGGTATGTTATTATAATAATTAAACACTATGCCCCACAAAAAAGCCGATAAAACAATTTCAATTTCACCAACAATTTCCTTCACTTGTAACAAAACAATTTATTTTGATCTAAAAACTAAACTACTGATCCAGTTATGATAAAATTTGTATGAGACAAATCTGTAAGTATATATTTTTAGATAAAAATAAAGAATTTTCCAAATCAGTGTACAACTGACGGTGTTATAAAGTAACAAACACAAAAAAAAAAATACATTCTATTTGATGTCGGTTGAAAATATCTATTGTTGTACATACTCTTTTCATTAGGCATACAGCCCTTCCTAATTATGTAATGTGAACATGTAATAAATAAGAACAGTATTTTGGACATTTGAAAGAAATAGGGTTGATGGAACCGGCGTTAGCACAGCCACGAACGTACAATACATTCAGTGCCTTGAGATTTCCTTATAATCGTAAGTAGTAAATTGACCACTATTATGAGTGACATCAAGTAAGTTAACTATACAAATAATATATATATATATATATATATATATATATATATATATATATATATATAACCAAAAAAAACTATATATATATATATATATATAGTTACCTATGCGTGATTTCAGCTGACCCGACTTCTGAAAAATTGCTGAACGGATTTAGTGCACATATTCTCCATTAGACAGAGCAACTACCTAGTTTTTCATAAGAGGTTTGTGTGTAATAAGTATGATTTGTTAGGTCTGTATTGTAGCCACTATTGAAGTCTTATATATCTGAAATTACTGTTACTCAAACAACTGAACGTATTTCAAATATTCACTAATATCTACAAGAGAATAGAGAATCTATTAGATTTTGTGTTGATTCTTCTTTATTTCGCCTTTAATGTCATAATTTTAAAAATTTTAAAATTTATTAATAAATGAATCATTATAAACATGGTTAACTAAGATATTTTACAGTATTACAGGATTTACATGTAATGTGCGTACGTAAAATGCGTAACGCATTCGCCAATGATCATGCAAATCATCATAACCGCGCCAACAATGACAACAAACCCTATCGTCTACTGTGCGCCTTATTCATTGTTGTTTATCAAGTAACTGTAAGCCTGGCAAAATATATTTACTTATCTACGTAGTTCCGGACAGCATTTTGTTTTTGTAATATTTCCGAATAAACCGACAGGCGATGACGACTGAATTGATATATTCATAATCCTGAGAATTGTTGTCATTATATTACTTATCCATTTTAGGGTAATACTAATTTTATGTGCTTAGTGCATTTCTTTTGTAACAAGTAATTATAAAATGATCATTAAGAGCGCGTTAAAGAGAATGTTTGAAATTATGGATTGTTTTTAATATAACGATAATATCCTCTTTGTTTTTATATTAAGTTAAAATTATCTCTATGTCTGTATTCGTTGTAAGTTCTTCTTAAATATTATTATTAAATTATGTACGTGTGAAAATCAAATCAATTTATTATCATGTATTAAAAAAAATAGAATGTAGTTATTTATAATTATTATAAGTTGATTATAAATTGTCTGCTTAGGTAAAAGAACTGTAGGACAAGTCATGCAAACAACCGCGATAAGAGCAAAGAAAGTGAATGATCTACAATTCCATAATCATATTCAATAAACAGCTTTGTTAATTGACACTTGTACTATTATCTCAATAGCTGCAACTGCTTATTGTGTTAAAAGAATGGCAAAATAAAAACAGAATATCTAATGACGTGCTCAGTAATCAACTACATATACAAACATAATTTATTCCCAAATGAGTTTTAATTTGTTTGGTTAATTTCATATTTAATAAGGATCGATAATAGTGAGTGAATGTATATATGACACATGTGCGTGCGTGGATCCGTCGATAATCGCCGATCGTCGTTATCGCGTCCGTCGTGGTGTCCGGAGCGCTCGAGCGGCGGTGGCGGCAGCGCCAGCCTCACTCCAGCCTCGGGACGCGCCACAACCGGCTGCCTACTCATCCCGATCAGAATAACATCCTCGCTCTATTATCGCAGTTCCGTCTGCTATCGAATAACAACCAGTAAACTGGCCTTACACGACATACCGCTTCTGCTGGTGAGTACTTTCTTTCCTAAATAATATATTTATTTCTCTTTAAAAGTTTTTAATTAGCTCACAACTTTGTTTAAATTAGGTATTTTATTGTTTTCAGATTCGGCATGTATTGTGATAGCAGTGCCAGCATCTTTCAAGATGCACTTGTTAACGACCAGCTTCTGTTCGAGTACTCTCCGGTGGAAAGTCTCATTAATTTTGAACTACCCTCTATTGATTCGGACGTTAACGACTGGCAACTTAATAACTTGGATTTTCGTTGTGATACGTTCGTGAATTGTGGTAACGATGTAAATAAAGATGATTTCAACTTACTGGATTGTTCATCACCCGTGTTTGACTTTGAAGATTTGGACAAGAGTATAATAGACGAATATCTACTTGAGGCTCTAAACAGTGATCTTTCCAACGATGCATCGCAATCTTTAGAAGATTCGGCCGGCAGTAGCGAATCATTATGTGTGTTGGCTACCCACGACTATGTCACAATGCACACAGGCTGGGAAAAGAAACAGGCTACTGCGGAAGAAAATCTCACAAAAGTGCAATCATGGGGTGAGCCAAAGTTTTGCCCAGAGCTCGGAGCATTTCGCTGTCCAGTGGAAGATTGCGGAAAATTATACGCTAAGGCGTCGCACGTGAGGGCGCATTTGCGTCGGCATAGCGGCGAAAAGCCGTACCAGTGCACGTGGGGAGGATGCGTGTGGCGGTTCGCGAGGTCCGACGAATTGGCGCGCCACCGCCGCAGCCATTCTGGGGACAAACCGTACAGGTGCGCGGAGTGCGGCAAGCGTTTCGCTCGCTCGGATCACCTCGCCAAGCACGGGCGCGTGCACGCTCGCCGCGCCGCCGCTGCCGCTGCATCCGCCGCCGCTGCACGCCGTATCAACACCACACAACGGACTAGACGACTATTGTGATTCTGTAGTGCATAGACCAATGGACGTTAATTTTAGTGGTGTAAAATAAACTGATGTATGTATATTTATTAAAAACCCAATGAATGTTAAATAATAAATAAGTAAGTATAAAACTTTTGAATATGTAAATCGTGTATTCAAATGACATTAAAAATTAGGTACGTTTGTAAAAGACATTTCTGAATGTTTTGTAAAGACTACTTAATACCATTAGATAACTTTATAATAGTAAAATATGAAAGTTACCTAATGGAAATAAATAGTTCAATATCAAAAGAAGGATAGGATTATATCTAATATTATATTCTATTATTCTAAAAAGGTAGCATATGAATGTTTGTTTGTTTGTAACGGATAAACACAAAAACAATTGATTTTAAAATTTCTTTCAGCTATAGAGATAAATTTATGAGCGAGTAATATAAGCTATATAATTATTTTCAAAAATTCTATCTACCCGTGCGAAGCCGGGCCGAATCACTATTATTTAACAATTATGTAATACACACCTACTAATTAAATATGTTTTGTTTCAATTCCTATAGGTGTTCATATGACAATAAGTTACTACTGAACCTTCTATATATATTATATATAGTTCTTATATTTTTATTTATGATGGTGGTTAATAAATTGTTAAAATACATATCTATAACTATATAATTAATACTAACATACAAACAATAGTTTGTATTCATTATAAGCCTAAGTGAGAAGAGAATCCGGGTAGGACATAATATGTATTAGCAAACTATACCTACCTATATAACAAAAACATACTTAAATATAATATTACTTTTAGGTACAATATACATAATACCTAATACACGATTCTTCAATATCACGTAACAGGAATACTCAGTGAGAAATCTTCCATTTTTGTACTATCTATCAACCAAACAACATATACCGGAAATCACATCTGTCAACTATGGGCTCAATTGAATAGGATAATTCCTCAAGGCGACCGCTTGGGTCAACCGTCTCTACCTACTTATCGTTTCATAGTATTGGATTCCCTGCGGAACACATTGAGAAAATTCAAGCTATTAAAGATATTATTAAGTATTGAAAATGGAATAATAATCCTGGCGCTATTGTTTTATACACACTTATATGTAAGTACATTAATGAGGAGCGATAGATGAGTACGGATTTATGAGATAGATCAACGTATTCACCAAGAATTAAGTATCAACCTTGATTTCCAATGGAAACTGCTTGTTGATTGACCAATATACACTTATTTATATAAAATTAATAAAGTAATTACCAAATACATTTGTTTAAAAATTTTGCAAATAGATATCGCACCCATAGTTTGCCCATAGTAACTCTGCTCAGAATTCGGCGTGTTCAATACACCCAAAATAAAATACTAAAATAATATAGACTACGAACATAAATAAATCCTTCCTTTTTAAAATCCGTTAAAAGGCTTTATATTCCGTCAGTCTACTCGTAGAACCAGTTAAGAAAGTGACTTTTTTCGCATAGTGAACTTAAATGTGATTATTTTATACAATACAGCTACATATAATTGGCTATTTAATGGGTTTTCTTATGCTACAGCCAAGCTAAAGTAAACCTGGTCCAGCCATGTTCCCCATGCGTTTCACTATTTAGTTTATGTGTTTATCAAATACCCAATAAAATGTGGCCAAGATTTCAACATCACGGAGTTCAACTATAAAAAAACAGCGTCAAGGTAAACCAAAAGATATCAAGGTGTAATTAAGAAGAAATGGTCAACAGCCGGTATAAAGTGAGAAAAGTGCAGATAATGATGCTCTCCCATCTCTTTAACTTTTCTCGAGTCATAGGCCTTCGCTTTTGCAGTGGGACATATAGTCATTGTTTTACTACAGTCTAAAGAACACTCTTACATTATGATGCTACTATTTATTATATTAGCTATAAAGAATTACTTGTATTCTTTATTATGTTATTATTTAAATAACATAATATGTATATGTTTTCTTGTGTATAATGAATAAACTCAAAAATATTTAATCAAATTTAAAAATTCTTTCATCTATGAGTAACGATATTATATATTATTAAATACCGTACGAAACCAGAGCGGGTTGCAAGTATACCATGCTCTTAGTAATAATACAGTGTACCTAAAGAAATTCTTTATATTATAAATGTGAAAATTAGTTAGTGTGAATTGGCAAAAAAATTGTATACACGTAATATTTTAGACGGGGAAAGACATGTGGTAATTTTTATTCAGATCGCTGTATATAGGACTAGAGGTAAAGGGGTCGTTTTTAAGGCGTCATTTCTCTAAACAAGTTTAAAATTTAAATTTTATATCAGAACGTAATCTTTATTTTTATGAGGAATATGAACTAAGCCCCCTATTTATAAAACGCCAAACATCTCTTAAACCTATTGTAGCTATTAAAGTATTTTGTCTTTCTCTGTTGCGCTAAATTCCCAATTGGAAAGAAAGTGAAAAAAACCCTCCTATATTTAAAATAGGTTTGTAAAAGTTTTTAATTTTTATGAATAAGTTTAATTTTTAAAGGATTTAAGTAATAATTATCACAAATTTAATTTATGATGGTTCGTAAAACCGAGAGCAAGTGTTTTGTCTTATGGACAGTCCCTACAAATTACATTTAGCAAATATGTCTTACACCGCGTATTCATTTTATAGTAGGTAGGTACACGGAGTGACATAAGAATGTATAAAGGGTCAAGAGACATAGTTTACATTCATCATGTCTCGTCAAAGGTATATTTTGTAAGGAGCTTCGAAGCTTTATCGAAGTATATAATGAGAGCATATTAGGTTATAGTTGATGACAGTTGGTAGTTTAAATAATCCACCTCTGCTCCTATAAAACCGCTAAAGTGTACCCATAGCTGTAACCAAGAATCGACACCATAGCCATTTCAAGTACTTGACAAGATGGTGCTGGCAGTGGTAATAATCTTTTAACTTAATATTTTTCAAGGCGAAATCATAGACTTATCGTATAGTGATTATAAGAAATTATATATCTACTAGCGATGTACCTAGGCTTCGTACAGGTGCGTTATTTGTTTGTGTAACTTTTAAACTTTTCAACACATTGTAGTAAGGCTGGTATTTTGGCGTGTGTAAAAATACTGCACTAATTTGCATACCTCTACGGGGTGCAACATGTTATGTATTTGTTTGTATATGTAACACCTTATTTTACCATGTAGCAAGCTAATAAATGTAATTTGATTTAATAATATTCTCTAAGTTTTTAAAAAGAACGGCCTATTTAACAATTTGTTGTGCACGTGATAGCATAGGTGCATATATTGACTCAGTAAAGTCAATATATGGCCTTATTTATAAATTGAATTAAGGTACTATTTATCCAAGTATAAAATATAAATTATGAATGTCAGAAAATATTAGATATTTGGTAATAAATGTAATATTATAACATTGTGTTGATATTGCGATTTAGTGTAAATATTGTAAAAATGATTTGAATGTTGTTTACAATAGAATTAATAAAAATGGAATCATGTAATTAACGTATTAACTTGTATTTTTTGTAAACTAATCTAAATATAATATTTAAGATATGAATGCCATATTACCGATTAATTTTATATCATCATCATTACTTTCACTTAAAATATTGTTAATTATGATTGATTTGATTGTTGTTGAATTACATAACAGAGTATAATCATAAAGAGATAATAAACAAGTATTGTAATGGAATCAATTTGTCCTTATTTATTCACTTTTATATACATTTTGCTAGTATTATAGGTTCAGTATATATTTAAAATTTATAAAAACCCATTCCCTGATGTCAATAAATTTAACACGGTCGTTTATGTAGTTCCTCCTGCTTCATTTCGCGCCTCCCCCCCCTACTATTCTCGCACGGTCACTGCCAACGACAACGCAATATTTTTACCGACTTATTGTTTTTATTTCGCATTATGTTTTGACCAACTATATCAATGAGCATGTTGTAAAAAGTAAACATTGTCTCGTAATGTTTGTAAGAATTTGTAAAGTATACGTCAAATCTGTATCTAAAATTAATTTTGTAAAATTTATTTTACTTTAAACATAAAAACCATTTTTTGGCCTTAGATATATAGTGTCGCAATTTTTTTTTGTAAACTTAAAAATAATGAATATTTGTGCTATAGATTTTAGTCCTTTACTTCAATAATAGTATATCTTTTTTCATTTAGCTATTTATAATATTAGTATAGATATAAATTTGATACTATTAAAAATTACATATACATATATATCAATTCTGTCAGTATCTCGTAAGCATGTTCGTATGTTTTACTTCGTAGACCGTGAATGGTTAAACTCTTGGAAATAATATCTATTGCTTCTCATGAGATAGAAAAGATCAAACATCTTTGTTTTTGTCAGAAACTAAATATTTGATCGTTTATTGAGGTCTTAAGAAACATTTCTGAACGTATAACCATAAATTCATAATAGGTTGTCTACTAATACTGTTCTTTTGTCTATGATACTATGCTAGTAATTTCAGAAGTCTTTTATTGATATACATTTCTATACAATTATAAGTACTTTGAAGTGGGTTTTTAATAGATACACGATATACAAGATACACGATTCAATTCGACACAAATAAAAATGGTGGTTCAATAGATTAAATTTCTCTGAACAAAGTTAAACTCAAATATTTTACGCACTTTTTTGCTAATACGTTACACAGTAAAAAACGTTTTAATATTTTTACTACTGTAAATAATTATCTAGCATAAATATATGGCGTGTTGCGGAAAGTTATGTTTGACAAATAACAGGTTGTTGAAGACACCGATTTCGCTTTAGTTTTGTGTTTAGTGTTGTTTTTTTACTCGTAAGAGGCCAAAATCAAGTTTCAATAGTTCTGTGCTTATCACATAAATTGCTGTAGAGAGCAAAACTGCAGTGAAGAAAGGAAATCCACTAGAGCATCTCGAAAAGTTCGGTTATTTTATTCAATCAGCATGTGACCCAAATTTATGATTTCTCTTCTTTGTGTTACACAGTAAAAGTTGTTCCTAGAGTCCTGGAAATATAATAAACTTACAAGCAATAACCCAACCCATGAAGTAAGTAATCATTAAAAATGTATCCATTATGTTTTTCCTGTCATGGTTGAATTCAACCTGTGCTCACAGGGGGTCAGGTGCATAACACAGAATTATTGCTTATTTCAAAAATAATTATAGACAAATATAACATTTATTCACAGTAAATTTATTATATTCATTACAATGTTGTAGGACTACTAGTTATTTGAATTAAGTAAGAAAGTAATATGCATTACAAAAGGCATATGTATGTGAGGAAACTAGTCAATGGATATGATGTGGTGAAGGTATCTGGAGATTGATTGAAGCATTTTAGCAAAGAAGAGAACAATGACACAGGATGGCTAGTACTGATAGATTTATTGTGCAGGTCAGTATATAACTGTTATCAGAAACCATTTTACTTATATCTATAACATGTATATCATAATTTTTACTATTATTAAATAAAGTATCACATTAAGTAAAATTGATATGTTAGTTGTCATTAATTTTTACTATGCTATATTTTTTAGTGTTAAAACTGATACTTTTATTTTAATTATTAAACAAAATGCAAAATAGGATAGGTACTTATTATTGTCCCTCTTTCAAGTTAGTGTTAATAACACAATGTCTTAAATAAAGATAAGCCGACTTAACACCTGCCAATTAATGAAATACCAATTTTTGAGTGTAAAAATATACTTTCTTATGTTTTGATATTGGTATTATTATATTTTTAAACTAAATATATTGTTAACTTTATCAAAATTAATCCAATATCCCACCCAAATCATTTACATTATTTTTCCCTTATCATTACCAGTAGAACCTCATTGTTATACTTACATATAAACATTCAAAATATTATTAATTAACAAACACCATACAGATATTAATCACAATTGATTAGTTTCATAATAACTACAGTACCTCACTTCAGAAAGGAAGTAAAGAGGTTTTTTAATAGGTGATCATGATGATAGGTGAGGATGAAAGCTGTTTAGTTGATTCATTGCAACAAATTAATCATAAATTAACTATGATGGTTTCTAGAGGGAACCTCCTGAAAAGTCAACCTGTTAGGGTATATTGCTAGTAAGGACACTGTTAAACCCTATTAATAACAAATTAAGGAGTCAATAGATAATAAGCAAACTTACTTTCATGTATATATATGAATAAGGATATTCCATGTAAATTATTATTAAATTCAATAACAGGTTTTTGTTGGTGCACTCTCTGCACACTATGAGGCATTATCAGTGGAAGCCTCAAAGCAGACTAGTTCAGAAGAAATTGTGTCATGTATAGCTGACAAATTAAACCTCAGTGATGGATCGGGAGGGCCATATGAATTGGCTGAGGTATTTATTGTAAATTCAATTATTATGTATAGCTATTATACCTAGTATAGTTTATTATTTTGTAGGTTTCCTCTCTGATTATAATGCTATTTCTGTGTAGTAATAAAATATAAAATTTTAAGTTAAATATTCAAATTGATTCTGTAGTGCTCTTCTCTATCTTTAATACTTTTGTTTAAATATTTCAGAAAATCATTATTATCCACTTGAACCAAATTTATAATAAATATATATAACAAGAAGTCTGTCTTCTTTGTCTCAAATATTATGTGGAGAACTATATACAATATACATATCACATTCCTATAAATTAATTATTATCAAATTAAAGGATATTTTATGCAGTAATTACATTACTTTGACTATCAAAACAATAATAGTTTATATGTAGTCACTGGATAAGTAGTAACAGTATTCAGTTATCTTGTTTATATTAAAATAAAAATGTTCCACTTTTACAATTTTTGCAACAAAGTTTTATAATAAACATTTCATATAATATCAATGAATTTATTATCAACAACAATCATCCTGGAATGTTGTAATTTGTCATAAATGTACAACCACTTCTTCACAACTATGTTGCACTTGCATAACAATCTCTTTGTTCATTAATTAATAATTATAATTATTGATCCATCATATCAACCAAATAGGCCTTGCCCTCCCCAGATATGTCTGGTGAGGATCCATCTCAGGATTTTAGCAGAACTTTCACCTATGTGGCAAGGATACATCTAAAAGTATATTGTGTGTCTTAAGAGGCCAGGCTCTCCTTGAGAGATTAATCTTAAATATACCAATGTTTATGATTATAGATAACATTCAACTAATAAATAATTCCTGATTTGGCTTTTTTATCAGTGGATAATTTTGTGTTTCTATAACTTAAAATTAAACAAATTGATTTAAAGTCTGTAGCTAAATTAATTTTCAACCATCTTCAAAAAAGGAAGAGGTTCTCAATTCGGTTGTATACATATCTTTATATTTAATACCTCGTAACTCTGTCATTTATAAACTAATTTGGAAAATTTCTTTTATATCTCTATTATTGGTTTCAATGAAATTTTATCAAAATCAGTTCAACAGTTTAATTTTTAAATCAAAATAACTGATTTCACCAGAATTGAAGTTGGTGTTTTTTTTATGGAATAAAATCTATTTGAATCAATCTAAAATATACGAGGTCTGTCCGGAAAGTTCGTATAAAAGTGTTCTGGAATGCGAGAAAGAGGAGTGGGGAGGCCAGGTAAGCGCAGGACCCCTTCCTTATGTCCCTAACAATGCTTCAGTTCTGGTCTGACCGCCGTGCGGTGCGAACTGGCTTGTCACGCCATCTGTGAAGTTACCTCTTAACGAAACCCCGTCGGCATGGAGCCCGCTTCCGTTGAAGAGCAGCGCGTCGTAATCAAGTTTCTCTCGAAACTCGGCAAGAATGGCCGTGAAATTTTTGCCGATCTCAGAACAGTTTATGGGGATGATGCTGTGAAGGAACCAACCGTCCACAAGTGGCTAAAAAGATTCAGAGATTTCGATTGTTTTTTTCGATGTTCGGGGGATTGTCCATCAAGAATTCGTCCCTCCAGGCCAGACAGTTGATGGAAAATTCTACGTCGATGTGCTCAGACGCCTCAAAGCTCGTGTGGCACGAGTTCGTCCAGAATTGGCGCGAGAGGGGCGTTGGATTCTTCACCACGACAATGCCCCTGCCCACACCTCTCTTGTTGTCCGTGAGTTTTTGAGTAAAAATTCCATTACGGTGACCGAACACCCCCCCTATTCGCCGGATTTGGCCCCGTGTGACTTCTTCTTGTTCCCAAAAACCAAATTGGTACTTCGGGGGCGGCATTTGGGGGACATAAATGAGATAAAAAAAGCTACGACGGGGCAGCTGAGAAACCTACAACCAGAGGACTTTCAAGGAGCCTTCTCACAGTGGAAACGGCGTTGGCACAAGTGCATTATGTCACAGGGGGAGTACTTTGAAGGGGATAAAATTGATTTACCTGAATAATTGTAAAATAAAATTTTTAAAAAACTTTTATACGTACTTTCCGGACAAACCTCGTAATACCCCACTGATGGGAACAGTCTCTCCATAACAGACATTTAGTTCCCAGTCATCAAGCTATCTTGGAACATTAGTCATAAACACTGACATGTTTGTCATCTATCATTTTTTGCTGTAAGCAGCAGTTCTTAAATGACTCACAAATTGGATGCCATTCCCACTTCCTTTCCATGAAGTTGCATTCTGCATAATTGACTGAAGATTGTATAAAATTCCAATCTCAAGTATATTCCAATACACTCTGATAGCAATGTAAACAAAAATAACTTGTATAGTCTTTGACAAAACATAAGATTGTAATGTTTTACATATTATGTTATAATATTTTTTTGCTAATTATAATACGTAATTTGTAATGCCAAGAAATTTTTAGATAGAAATGGATCAATCTTGCCAATTTGGCTTGACAGGAAATCAAACCTGGCTTTTCATTGATGTAAAAGAACATCTTAAATCACTATGTCTCACAAAAAGGAAGTTGTTATAATGTTAATATTTGGCTGTATTTAACGTTTTCTAGTTGGGCCCTCGACATTTCTGAATGGTCAGGCTTAGAAACCACTAGTATTGACCTGTGACGTCCGTATTACTAACATATTTTGATTGACTAGGATTAAAAGTAGCTTATGTCCTTTGCCGTCCTAGAATAGTAACCAAATTTCCTAATAACTGGTTGAGACATTCAGGTGCCAAGGGGTAACAAACAATCTCACTTTCGCATTTATAACATTAGCAAGAACTAACTATATCTCGCGGTTTCATGTTGTAAATCAGTATATAAGTAAACCATAAGTTAAGATATAACCCATCTGTTTAATAATTTTGACTGAAAGAGTAACAAACATCAAAATATACATTTCTGCATTTGTAATAGTATTAAAAAGTAAGGTTTAGTGAAGATAGACGGAAAAGTTATGTTTTAATATTTAATAATTATAACTACTATAATTTATTTCATTTGGTATAGACTGTTGGGGATATATTCAATGGCGACGGTAAGGAGAGACGGCTTGGCCCCAACGAATCCCCTGTCGCAGTCATGATGCTGTGGCCCAACAACAACTCTGAACAATATTGCAGGTATTCATTCATTTTCTATCAACAAATTCTACTGGTTATTTGATTACATATATTTTATTTAATTCCACCACCATTAGTAAACATGTGTGGATGAAATGGCAGTCAGTGATTGATGAATAAATAGAAATGATAGAAAGTTGTGGAACTTTTGCTAATGGTAATGGTGGTCGATCTCGAGTGTTTGCAGTTGCACATGTACTGTAATGGTATGAATTCCAGTTATTATCAGTGATATGGAATTCCACTAGTAAAATTTTAACAAAGTCTAGTGTAGATTATTCAACAATTCATGTTTAAATTTTTAAATATTTTACAGAAAATACAAATAATTTTAACAAATAATAAATAAATAAGTATATTCTCGACTACAATCCTTAATAAGGTAGTTCACCTCAACAAATTCACACAATAAATTGTTGTAAACATAACACTAAAGGGCAAAGTAGTGCATGAAAATACTGGGTATATATGAATTACAGCTAAGTTCTCCGGAATGGCAACGTGTGTATGTCATGGGCATCACAGTGTAATGCCCATGGTACTGTCATAAATATTATAACACCATAATAGGTGCTATTTCTCTTTTTCTCTATATGTGTTTGTGTGTGTATAGATGCCTGTTATGTTTTTTTATCAGGCGAGCTATCAACTTGTTTGTCATTCTAGATTGTATCATAATATGCATATAAACATATAAAACTACTACATGTATGAAGCTTATTTTAAAAGTATATTTTAAAACGCAGTATTTACAATACATATTGTGTATTGTAAACACTGTTTGAGATTACATTTATTACAACAATCAATTGTGGTTTTGTAGTACGCGCGTCTTACGGTCACTCAGTTTGTAATTGTCTAGCAATTATTACAAGTAGCGATAGATCTAACCTTGCATATACACCTGCATATTAATCGGTCGGACGTCGGACCTGTCACTCTGATACCATTGTTAAGTTGACTAATTGTTGCTTAGAAATACCTTGATAATTCCCATATAAAATTTATACAATGTACTATATATTTCTACTTCATTTTGTCATTATTATTATATTATATAAATATGATATGAAGGAAAAAGTTGGTTTAATGATAGGATCTACTGAAAATCCTTCATCATCACAATTTTATATAAAAACAAGACGCAGTAATGCAACTTCTGACACTATCAAGGATATTATGCAGACATCGCAATTGTGCAGTTTTTGATGCTATAGGTAAAATATATTTGGGCAGTTGTAGAATCAACCGACAACTTCATAAAATAACAAGTACTTATTATGTTACATTATAAATTCCCCTACCTAATTACTGTCTTAATTCCTAGACATAAATGAGTTTGAAGTGCATTATTGCTAAGCTAATTATAGCATTATTTAAAAATTAAGTGCTTTGATAGTATTTTTAGGGTTCCGTAATTGCTTCAAGTGAAAAACTTTGTTATGTAGTCATAGATGGTTATGAGAATCGTAAATACTTTTTTTTTTTCTAATGCTATTTCTTCCATACTAATATTATCAGTAGACTGTACTATTGCATGATCATTTAAATGTTCAACCGCGACGCTAGAATGACACATGAATATATTTCTTAATAATGATACAATGAGTACGTTTTCTCAAAATATATATTTAGGTATTTTTTTTTTCTTAAATTATAAAATATATACAGATAACTGCAACAGTTTGTCAATACCGCAAACTACTATACGCACACATTAAATGAGTCAGTTTTTGTTTTGTGTTATGACTCATAATCTTAATTTGAACTAGATTTTTTACTATGCCATAAAAAATATAATTTAGTATATTTAAACTTATCACTTAAAATTGATATCGCTGTGTCATTTCGTATACTAGGTAACTTGTAGAATTTTTTTTATGATACATAATGAATGCCCCAAATTTTGAGACAAACGACAACTTCTGTTGAGCGCCATAGACGTAACTGAATATCCATACATTGTTAATGCATCTCGTAACTTCCTGTGAGTAATCTACTGAATAATTAATAATAGATCTCATACCTATCAATTAACCTAATTATCTAAGATTTAATGAAGGAATTTTGTAAACTAAATGACGATTGTCCTAATCATAATTTCTATTTATATCTCCATTTTTACTTATATTCACTTTTTTGCCGTTATTTCGTACGCGAGATTTCAGAAATAGGAAAAGCAATGATTTTGATCATCTCTCGATGGAGTATCATCTTGATATACCAGATTTTAAATAAGATCTTCTACCATTATTATAACTACAATTGAGTGCAGTAGTTTTTGCGTGATGCCGCAACAAACATACAGACAGACAAAATTTCTAAAAAGTATTGTTGTTGGCGTCATACTACAAACGATACAAGAAAAATAAATATTTAGATTAATAGTATTATTATTCATATTTATCTTAAATATCTCCCTATACAGACTTCGACGAATTACGATTTTTTTTATATTAGTAAGATATATTACTGATTAGGCAGATTTGTCACACTTTAATTAGCTTATTTCTTAATTTGCACTAAATGCTTGTCTTACACAGATTATATTTTATTAAATCCAAAATAATAAATTATTTTATCCTTTATGAATAATCGATATTTTAGATATAATATAAAATTTATTGGAAATTATTTATTCCAGTCATACAATATGAAAGCAATTATAATACTGACATATGTTGTATTCCCTTCGTTAAGGATATAACAGTGATTGGGGATAATGTTCCAATGTTGTGTATGAATCACTCTTCCTGCGCAACCACTTGATAACGCCGTCGCCATCCTGCCAATTAAACTAAAAACATTACTACTCACTCACATCAAACATGGACTCTAAAATTGTACGGCTTCATACAAATATTTAGTTTCAATCATCTAAACATGACTCAAAAGTAATTTTATTTTTAGACTTTACATTGTTTATATCTTTACTGACGTGTAATGAAGTGAATATTTTGTTACTAGGTTCTACTTGCGAGAAAAAATACCTGACGAACCATGGATGGAGAATTTCTCGGTAGACCCTCAGCTGATAAAGGACTATTTCCAAAGGTTTCTGTACCAGCCCAAAGATCGAGAATATCCCGATTTGTGTCAGCTACCAGAGCTCAACGAACAAACGCTGTTAGACAATTTGAGGGCGAGATTCGCAGCTGGATATATTTACACATATGTTGGATCGATCCTCATAGCACTAAATCCATTCAAGTTCTATCCAATTTATAATCCGAAATATGTGAAGTTGTACCAGAACAAAAGAATAGGCTCGAGTCTTCCACCTCACATATTTGCTGTAGCTGATGCTGCCTACCATTGTATGTTACGAGAGAGAACAAACCAATGTATAGTGATCAGTGGAGAAAGTGGATCGGGTAAAACGGAAAGCACAAATTTTCTTCTTCATCACTTAACAGCACTCAGTCAAAAGGGATCACATGGAAGTGGTGTTGAACAAACTATATTAAGTGCTGGACCGGTCCTAGAAGCATTTGGTAACGCAAAGACTGCTCATAATAACAATTCCAGTAGGTTTGGTAAGTTCATTCAAGTGAATTATAAAGAGAATGGCATGGTCCATGGTGCTGTGGTGCAGAAATATCTTCTGGAGAAGTCCAGAATATGTAGTCAAGGGCGCAATGAAAGGAATTATCATGTGTTTTATTATTTGCTGGCTGGTGCATCTGATCAGGAAAAAGAGCAACTGCATTTACTCAGTGTAGACAAATATAATTATTTATCGAGGACTGGTTGTAGTCTTGTTCCTGGTGTTGATGAACAATATGAGTTTTCAAGGTTAAAGCAGTCTATGGACATGGTGGGCTTCACTATGGACAAACGGCGGCGATTGTTTGCAGTTTTATCAGCTGTTCTGTTATTAGGTGAGTGTAATCGTCTAAAAGACCTTTATACTAGAACATTATATTAGAATGAAATATCACAGATTTACATATAAAACTCATTTTCTTATATACCTTTAATGATTACGTGTGAATATATATACATCACCTAAGAAACGTCTGTCTGAAATTGCAAGCTCAGATGTTTATACTGATCTGATATATTTCATAGACAGTGAGTTGCAAAATTCCTTACATCAGGCTATGGTGTTTGTCGATATAATCTTACGAATTATTGGGGAACGACTGCATGGATTCTTTTGAGAATTCTTTATCGAGATAAAAGTATGTGCCATAAGAGGGTGGTAGTATGTATTATATCTACTAACTTTTGCGAATGTTTAAGTAAATAAACAATAATCTATCGTAATAGATGAATAATTGTTAGATTTCGGTTTTGTATATATGTATGTTACCCTTTATTAAAATATTTTTTCAAATATCAATATTTTAACAGGTAATGTGGAATTTCAACCGCAAAGAAAGTCGTATCATCATGATGAGGCAGTTGGCGTAAAAAACCCTGAAGTAGTCTCTCTAATATCTTCTCTGCTACACGTTAAACAGGAGACATTACTAGCTGCTCTGACGTCCAAACGCGCGAGAGCGTCCGGCGAAACCCTCGTCATTAATTATAGGTGAGCCTTTAGGTTTTTTAAGGATTATATAGTGTATGTAACTTACAATATACATTGGAAAAGTGGGATATGGTAATCAAATTGCTGAGTATGTAGGATTATGCCTTATGTCTATATGCGACGATTACCACTTTTCATCAAGTGGGTAAATTCAATTCTATATATATGAGATCAAATTACGACACTTATTTTGATAAAATTAGTATAGGACTTTCAATTAAAGTAATAATCATGCAAATCAGTACAGAAATGTCATAGAAATCGATATAAATTGCTTAAAAAATTAAACATAATTATATTATTTCCTTTTTTGAAGTAGGTCAACGAAAATGTAAATATCCATGTATTTTCCACAATTATATGTGGTTTTGTTGCATGTTGAGTTTCCTCATGACAATTGTGGTGGAATTTCATACAGTTACTGCGTGCTATAAATATATGGATCACTATGCGTCATCGATATTATTAATGAATATTTTAAGTTTTATGTATAGTTTTCAAAATTATTATTTTTACATCCCTCCTTACAATTTTAACTCCTAATTTATAAGAATTATCTTATCTAAATCAAAATTTGAAGGAAATCACAAGATTGTTATTCTAAATGAAATATCAAAAGCGACAACAACCAAAATTATTGAAGTGCATAATCGCAGACCAAAACACTCCATGTCTACCTACAAGGATAATTTCTAATAAATATGATTATGATTTACCTAAAAATCTTATGGACGTTATAGCAATTTGCATGTTTATTATATTGTTTATAGGTTGCCTGAGGCGATAGCAACTCGGGATGCTATGGCTAAGTGTCTTTATGGTGCTCTTTTTGATTGGATTGTGATGCAAGTAAACCATGCATTACTCTCTAAGAAAGACACGTTGAGGGAACATCAAGGCCATAGTATAGGTAAATTGTTTTGAATAATTCTTTATTGATAGTTATTAACATTATCCCTTATTGTTATTAGTTAGGTAATATATACATAATTGCTTAACCAGATGTCTCTCAGGTATATGGTTTACTAAATTATAATCTTTTTCACTAACATAATTTCAAGTCTGGTACTAACAAAATAGATTTTGTTATCTAACATTAAATAAATTTGAATTTAACAAACAAATGTTTCGGTATATATATACATATTCACATCTAGGTACATACCTAGATGTATATTTGTGCGAATACATCTAACTGTGTTATTTTTATTTCCATGTACCAAATTTCATGCCAAATAGTTGAGCTGTTGACGTATCAAAACATAAACAAACGCTCACTTTCATATATTATTATATATATTCTTAGCAAGAATAATTTGTTGAATATATAAATCTATATACACTGAACAGGGATTTCTTATAATTCACACAGGAATGAGAGATGATGGATAACTAGTATCATAATTCAATTAGATCTAAACTTTTGTACATGACTAAATAATTTTACTGTTTCTATCTTTGAGATTTTATATGTGTAAACTTATGTTCCAGGTGTGCTCGACATATTCGGTTTTGAGGATTTCGGCCCCAACAACAGCTTCGAGCAGCTGTGCATTAACTATGCCAATGAGCACTTACAGTATTACTTCAACCAGCACGTATTTAAATATGAACAGGAAGAATACCGACGTGAGGGGATCCGTTGGACGGATATAGGCTTCTCAGATAACACACAATGTCTACAGCTCATTGAGGGTAAACCGAGCGGTCTCCTCTGCCTCTTAGATGATCAGTGCAAGTAAGTTATCTATTTTTATGTCTCTTTTTAAGGTATGGCAGAAAGAACTGAATTGCAAAGGGCTCAATCCAAATGCACATTTCTTATTTGATCACTTTTCATCATTTATCAAGTTGGAACTGGCATATAAACTGAGACATATTTAGTGTGTTAAGTTAAATATAAATATGTACTTATATCATCACCATCATAATCGTTAACTGCCCACTGCTGGACATAGGTCTCTCCTTTGGGTGATTTTGCCAGTAGTTACGTTAGTAGCCACGCTTGGCAGGTATGTTAAATTTACCTATACCTGAAATTGATATAGTGTATGATAATTCGAATTCCTACAGGAATAAATTGCTGAAGCATTTTGTACAACAATCTAATAAAAATTAACTCTAATTATCATATTATATATATATATATATATATATATATATATATATATATATATATATATATATATATATATATATATATATATATATATATATATATATATATATATATATTTTAATTCAATTTACTCATAATCGTATTTTCTGATATTGCTCACAACTTGGGTTACATGTTTGTTTTTTGTATTATATTTAATGTTTGTTATACCTATATGTTATAATGCAATATGCTGTTGGTGTTCCTTAAATAAATAATTAAAACATACAGTAACAACAATAAGTTAATAACAATGTTAGCAAAGAACTTATCTCTAAAAGAGATTTCTTCCAGTCAACCTAACGCAATGGCATAGGAAGTAGTGAGTGGGCAGTAGTAGTGCAAGACAGAAATTTAAATAAATATTTACATAAATTATAAATAATTATATATATACACACATACATACATATATATATATACAATATCAAATACAAGAGAACACAATGTTATCAACCACAGTTAGGCTTTGGTGATATTTTAATAGGGATGCTGCTATCCATTTCTCAACCATTAAAAACCTTTAGTCGTCTCTTACGACACCCACGGGAAAGGAAGGAAGGCCCATAGGAAAATATATATATATATATATATATATATATATATATATATATATATATATATATATATATATATATATATATATATATATATATATATATATATATATATATATATATATATATATATATAAAATATAAATGTAATATGAAAGTATAAAATTTACTATTTTTTATTTTCCTTTTTTAGCGTAGCTATTCACTAAAATAATAAATAATAGACATAACATTGAGTGGACCATGGACTCTGTTATCATGAAAGTGAACGAAGCGAAAATAGGTACAAAGATAGAAGCCATTGGCATTCGGTTCTGTTTGCCCCAAAAACCTGACCTGGCGTTTATCAACTTCTATATATATAATAATTATAGATTTTCATAATTATCAGATGAGGGTTAATACCACACCATAAATTGTTATTTTACACTACACTAAGCACTGAAAATTATAATAAACATATATAATAACACAGACAGAATATTGTAACGCTATATATTATTCAAACAGACATCTGACACTCCCTTTACATTAATTAGTCTATTATACAAACTCGCCGGTTACTAACACTTTTATTTTGGGCCTTTTTCTACATTACAATAGTAGTAAATTATTATCGAATAGTGATTATTATATTTAGATGATAATAAATATTTAAGCTATAAATTTGTTGTGGACGTTGATCAATAATGATGTGTGCGAAATTTTATATCTGGGTTTCAGTCTCAATATACATAAATGGCCCTGAATAAACGCATTTTATTTTTTAACATTTGTTGTTACACTGATAAGATAATGTTTAGATGATATGTAAAACATACAACAATGTGTAGATTGTAGATAACAGATACATTATATAGATATACATCTACATATAATAACAAAACTGAACCATTAGATACGAACTCACTTGTAAGGACTTAACTATTGTACGTTTAGTACATAAAAACATCTCGTACCTGCATGTACTTGCTTGTCAATATTTGTCTTAAAAATAGATCCAATACAACCTCCCAACTAAATTTGTGATAAAAGTTACTTAATAAAATTTGGCGAAAAATGTTCAATTGAACTAAATGTGCCATACATTTAGTTTTGCAGTAAATTGAATTATTTATTTCATCTGTCTCTATCTATAATATATTTATAGCACATGAAAGTTATTAATTTTATCTTAAATTTTATAATAATAAAATGACATCAGGTCATCAAAAATGACAATATTTTGATTTTACAACCTTCGTGGCGCAGTTGTGAGCACGTTGATTTGCGTAAACGAGGTCACGGGGTCACGGGGTTTCTGATAGGGTCAAAAAAAACATTTCTGAATTGTCTGGGTCTGGGTGTTCTGGATGTACCTCCAGATATTCATTCATGCCCTAGTTCCTCATAACGCAGCATTGTGTAGCACTTTTTATTAGTTTTTTTTTTTTTTTTTATCTAAAGCTACTTAATTCTTTGTCCTAAGAGCTCCTTATCTCTTTGCTCTTCTAAATTTTATAATTAATATTTTGTAAATAATTATAGTACAAACAGTGCTGCGGTTACATGCTAATTATAATACTGATAATGTTTGATGACCATTGCCTATTAAAACATATTTTCTGTTACAGTTTTCCATGGGCAACAAATGAAACTTTACTACAAAAATTCAACTCTGTACATGAAGAGAATCCATTTTACGAGAAGCCACAGCGGCGAGAGCCAGCTTTTGTAGTAAGGCACTATGCCGGCAGAGTAAAATATCAGGTAACGAAAGATAAGAACTAAACGACAATTTATTAAAGATGTCTTTATGTGCTACTATGAATGAAATATTCCCTAACGATTCAGAAGAAATTCATGTCAAAAATTATAGGTGAATGTTATAACTGTTATATAAAGACACTAATTGTCTACTTTTCATGCTAGAATCTCATAAAATCTAAACATCCAGTATCTGAAGAGGAAGCACAAACTAGAGTATAAAACAATGTTAAATTGTCCCTATTGCTAACTGACTTTAAAAACTTTAATATTATATGGGTTAATTCCTTTTGTACCAAATTTTTTTATGTAATGTGGTCAATAAAGAATAAATTTTAAAAAATCTATATTATGATACGTAGTTATATATTATAATATCTGTAATGATAATACTGAAATGATGCTGAACCGTGACTACTGAACTGTATGTATTTACTATTATAATTATTATACTATAATTTATAATGTACATGTTGATACAGGTGACAGCAATGAGGGAAAAGAACTTGGACTTGATGCGGCAGGACATAGTGAGCGTGCTGAAGAACTCGTCGTTGGCATTCGTGCGAGAATTGGTGGGCGTTGACCCGGTTGCTGTATTTCGCTGGGCCATCGTGCGTGCCTTCTTTAGGTAAGAAACTCCTTGCCATACATAACGTCTCATTATCTTTCTTGTATACAGTGGATTAAACTTGTTTTCTACGTTTAAAAAAGAAGTCATTTATATATAAATGACAGTAATAACCCATCAGAATTAAAAAAAAGATAGTTTAGTTGATGGTTTAGTGTTTTTTTTTTTATTCCTTACTAGCGAACCGTCTCTCTTGCGCACTAGGTCCAACCACACGTACAAGTAGTATATAAAAAAATCTAAATGGTAGGGGAACACGTATCAAAACCCTTCGCTTGGTTTAGATGTAAGTGGTGAAGAACAGAGGTAACGTCTCAAACCTGTAGAGGGACTTGATGTTGTCAGTGTAAGCAAGGAACATATTCAGTCTACTAGAAGTATACATGAGAATTTTCTTGTATTATTTCTAGAGGATACTTTGCATTTTTGGAAGCGGGTAGAAGACACCGAGTGCACAGGGTAGACGGAGCTTCAAGGTTACCGCGCGCTTCTATCCACGCACCTAATGAAAGCATCGTCAGGTCAGTTTATTGAAATAATATATTAGAACGTTACTCGCTACGTCGTTGTCTCCAATATGCATTAAAATAAATGCTTTTAAATGATAAAATGTACTAAACTAAAATGATAAATGTACAACTAACTTATCGCAAATATTTGCAATATATTAACTGTTCGAAGGCATGTAATACTGTTTATTATACAATACTATAAGCAAAAGTGTCTATTTTATATAGTTCTTATAAACGTATTAAGACATATGACATTAAATTGACGCTATAAAACAGAAACCCTTTGCATGCAGTCAGCGTGCACTGTGGCCACGTTTATAAAATATCTGTTATTATCGTTTCTGTGAAATTCCTCAAGCTTTATCGAACAATTTCCACGGGGTGTATCAATAAAAGCTTTTGCAATTATAGTTGTGTGACGTAATGAATTGTCTTGTTGCTCAGCCAACTGGTGACGGTATCGTCAATCAATCTCGCAATCAACCGCATTGCGTAAGTCACCGTCTATATGGCATGCTTATTTTTTCTATGTGCACCTAAACGCATGGATGTCGATGTTTTATTTCCCATAAAGCCGTGTCATCAACGGCTGTGTTTAGAAGTTACTAATGTATTTACAATAAAGGTTCTACATTTATAAATTAAAAAAAAAAATACAATACAACTAAAAACGTGACAGTCAAATTATACGAACTGCCATCACAACCTAAACACAGCCTATTCAAATTCCGTCTGTTTAAACATCTCGCTACTAGTTTCACATCACCGTGACCTTTGACTGTAAGACTTCCAATAGTTTAGTACTAGCACATGTCTGTCAAACACCTCAACTCATGCATGACACTTAGAGATTTACTTTGAGTTTTATTTTTGTTCATTAATTTTGTAATCGTCCTCGCCTCTCCGGCCCGCAAATGTCCCGTAACAGAGCCCCGCAGCGGGGGTCGCGGGTGGGCAGTACGAGCGGTCCGGCCGAGCGCAGGGCCGAGGCCCCGCGGCCCGCTAAGCATTACAGGAGCGCGGACACGCGAGCTCGTCGCGCCGACCGCGACCGCGACGACCGCCCCTTCGACGACTCCGACGTTATGCAGCGCGCCAGCCAGATCGTCATGTACGTGCCGCGCGCCGCCGCGTGCTCACTCTCTCTCTTTCACTCGCACTGCTCTTTTCATCAAACAAAAGTCGATCGATCGAGCGATAATCTAACCCCCAGGCTCTTAGATCCCCGATCACGCCAGTCGCAGTCCGCCAAAGATCGGTAGTCGTCCTGGTGTCGGTAACGGCGACTGGGTGCTCCGCTACTAGGCAACACCCGCGTCGTATGCGACTACACGATTGCACGGACGCGACGTCCTCCCTGACGCTAGCACCGCATGTCGCTCTAGGGATGTCTGTGTGAAAGGATCTAAGACTTTCTCTATTTAGATTCAAAAGCTCAATGTTCCTAAGTTTGTTTGATGAATTTAGATTTCCGGTTGGGGACTCTTCTCTCTTTTCTTTTTCACGGTGATGGCTCTGGTTTCTCATAATTCGTTCTTTTATTAATGTTGGTTATTGTGTTTATTTATGTATATATTTTGATACAATTACTATTACATGTTTTCTGGGATAATATTTAGCTAGCTGCTTACGAGTGCCATGGGTAATTAGAAAATTGTTAAATATAGTTTTATTTTTAATATATCTAGATAAGGTTAAATACATTTTTTTGTGTTATTTGAAGCTATGGTCATTTAAGCTCTAAAAGAACATCAATTGCAGCTTATGTTTTATTGCAATTTTTCACACATTCAATCATTTCAAGTAATTATAACATTCAAATTTATTTCCAGAGATTCAGCATGTTGTTCACACATACAAATCTAAATCATAAATCGAGTTGTTTAACAATTTTGGTGTCGGTATATTAAAGTCTTAGCCAGTACTTGAATTTCTCTTGTGGTCGGAGTTTTGAATTTCTGATTACATTAATAGTATAATAATAAATAAGATAAATATATGCATTTTTGTAATTATCAAATTTAAATAAAATAATAAAAAAAATATGTACGATGATTTTTGTAGGATACTTTTGGATTTTAGTGAATATTATCTATACATTTTAATTATTGCACTTCCATAAAGAGTTAAATTATAATAACCTTTCGAAATTCAAGTGTCGACTAAGAAGAAACCTTTCGAAGAACAAAATAAAGATTGTAAGACCTTTCATAGGAAAAACAAGTCATTCAGACCACGCGAGCGAGCGAAGAAAGGACTGAAGAACTTGCAGAGCGTGAAAACGCTCGCCGGGAGGACGGCCGCGCCCACCGGCAAGCGAAAACAGCCGCTCACCGTCGCCGCGCAGTTCCAACATTCGCTCGCCGCGCTCATGGAAACGCTGAATCAAGCGAACCCTTTCTTCATAAGGTGAGACAGTAGTATATTTTTTTTTATACTTCTAATTCATAATCAAATTCCAAAGTTCATAAAAAAAAAATCTAAGAAAAGTAAATATTATTGATGGATTTCTGGACACTTTATTTGTTATAAATTATTCTTAGTTGTATTTATTTATTATTTATTTGTTGTATTTTTTATAGATAGAATGAAAAAAAAGTTAACGGCCCGCCTGATAGAAAGTGACAACTATCGCTGAATTTGATTTATAAAATTAATAAATAGAGAATTGACGAGACTATCTAATGATATTATACCGACATAACATTATCTATTAAGTAATATTTTAAAATAAATTCACAGATGTATAAAGTCGAATAGCGACAAAGTTCCGAACGTGTTCGATGAGGAAACCGTCCAACGCCAGCTGCGATACACCGGTATGTTAGAAACGGTCCGCATAAGGCAAGCCGGCTACAATGTGCGACTCACCTACGAGGAGTTCATACAGCTGTACAGGATACTGCTACCGAAGGGGCTGCTCAGCTCGCAGTCAGATGTCCGGCACTTCCTCGCAACTCTCAATTTAGACAGGGATAATTATCAATTAGGTGAGATTTTTTTTATATTTTGGGGAGGTACAAAAATAATTTAGGAATCTATTTATCTCGTATCGGGTATAATACAGTGTAATATTTTTTAATAAGGTAATAACGACAAGTCCCTTGATCGTTGCAGCTACTGGAAAATTTTCTAAATATGATAGATATTTTCCTAATCTGGTAAGAGATACCTATATTCACAGATTTTGAAAAATAATACAGTTTATAAAAAAGTCTTTTTTTTATTTTTGAAAGAAACCTGCAGCACTATCACTACTTCTTCCCCCTCCCCTACTCTTATGTATGAAGCCTTATAAACAGTTTTTGCTGATATAATATTATATAAACTAATCATTTTTAATGTAACTAGAAAACTATTCTCTTCATGTTTCTTATGTTAACGAGTTATAAATGTACAGGCGCAACAAAAATCTTTATGCGCGAGAGCGAGCAGACGAAGCTCGAGTACCGCCTGCACCAGCAGATCATGGCGTCGATCATCGCTATCCAGCGCTGGTTCCGCGCCGTGCTCGAGCGCCGCCGCTTCTTGGCGCTACGCCGCGCCTCGCTCCTCATACAGGGCTACTACAGGTAAACAAGCACTACTCTACATGTATGTTTAGCATGTCCTAAACGATTATATGGCAACTCGGAACGCAAGGCTCTAAATGTGTTCATTGGAAATCTTAATTTATTATTCTAGTATATAGAATTAATGTTACCTGTTCCTTCTCCATACGGAACTCGGCGTGAATAGACTGACCTGTCATGCTAGAAAGATTATTAGATAGTGTTTATATTCTACTTAAGAGAGAAGACAATAATTACAAACACATTAAAAAATTGATAATATCCTTTGTTTTATCTAAATACTTAACAATTTAGAAAGACCATCAGCTTAATTGATTGTTTGCCATTCTAAGTTGTATAAAAAAAAACCTGGTTTAAAGTAATATGTAGTAAAATGTATTAGTAAATTTTTTACTTGTGTTTTTTTTTTTCTTTTTTTTTTATATAACTTCAAATGGCATACAACCTGATGGCCCATCTGATGGAGTGGTAACCCTCACCTATAGACATGAGCAATACCATGGGCATAACAAAGTATATTGTTTCGCCCATGATACCCCTCATGCGTTGCCATTTCTGGGAACCCAGGTGTTATTCCTCTATATCCTCTTATAACAATATACGCCAATACATGAGAACCTCCAAAAAGTATAACTATTATCCTAATATTTTTGCCTTTATTCTTCACAAGGCAATGGCAAATGACCCGAAATGAAGCAGCAACGAAAGTTCAAGCTTGGTTCAGAGGTGTTCGAGTGCGGTTATGGTACCTGAGGCTAAGAAAAGCGATAGTGACGTTCCAAGCGGCCGCCCGTGGCTACCTCCTCAGGAAATCCTTGCCCAAACCAACGCAACCGCTTCCGCTACCTGGCGTCAAAACAGAGGTAAATTCTTTTCAAACTTACTTAAACTTTAGATGTGTGATTGATGTGAAACAGTTCCATTTAAAAATGAATTTGTATTGACAATTAATATTCTGACAGATTAGATGTCAATACATAAAATAACAACACATAGAAATAAGAATTTGACCATTTTGTTTATAAAGACTAACACTTGTACAAATCTAATATATCGTAATGAATTTAGCTAAAAAGATAACAAAACAGCTCTATAGCTAAAATTGATTTTTTAGATGTTTGATTTATCTTTACGAATAAAAGATTTGAGAATGTAAATTCCTAAATTGTTTTGAATGTTAAATAACCTTTCCATTGTTGTTTGTTGTCACTAGATAGCTTTTAATAATGATTATTATAAAGTGTTGCTGAACACATGTAAATATAATTATACAACGTTGTGGTCCGTGTTTGTGTTGACAGCATGACAGTAAGACAGTGCTTGAAGATATAGAAGATGAATTTTTTAAGAACCGACCACCCAGTCTGGAAGAGCTTAAGAATATTATTGACATACAGCTGTAAGTATAATTATTAAGTCCAGTTTTTAATTGTTTTTTTATACTGTGATCAAGGATAATGTACTATTAGTACTAGACATATCTAGTACTTAAGTCATAACTTAAGTATATTTCTAAATGGGTAAGAACGAAATGGTAACCCCGTCTATCCTATCAGTATATCCTGATGGGCCATCAATGAGAGACAAATTCCACAAGAATTAACCATGATGGGGGAACTGGGTGGAGGTCGACCTAGTATATAATATACCCTATTGCAAGCAGTGAAGCTGTTAGGCTCCATTGCTAACAATCCCTTTCTTCCCAACTTCATATATTGTCTCTCATAAATGCAGATGAGTAATGATATATTCATTACCTTTTTTTTTTTATTTTATCTATAAAGGTATAGAATGATTGTAGCACAAGATATAAATATGTATATTTCTTTCTGTACCATAACGCCTCTATTATTAAATAAAAACTTTGAAGGATTGATAAATTAATTATGATCACACTTTACATGTATTAATTTGAAGTAACACTAAATAAAATGACAACTTAAACCATTATAAAGAAAAAATTGACGATATCTAAATATTGGTCATTTTATAAATGTTAAAATTATACTATTTTTAGGGATATGCTGATACATCGCGAAGTGGAAAATATGAATATGAGACAGCTACGAGCTACGCAGTCTCTGCCTATAGCAAGGTAAATTTATATTTATACAAGTTTTTTTTTTTATGCAACTTAGAATGACAAACAGCCCATCTGATAGAAAGTGATACTTGTTATAGTACTGTATACATAAGCAGTACCATAGCCATAACAGTATATTGTTTCGCCCATGATACCCCCATGCGTTGCCATTCTTGAGGACTCGGGTGTTATTCCTCTGTACCCTGTAAATTCACTGCCATATTCCATCCTTCAAACTGAAACACAGCCATGCAAACAAGTGCTTCACGGTAGAAACACGAATGGGACAGAAGTGCCCAAACAAACGACTTTTGTACAGTCTCCATTTGGTGACTGGTGGTCGTATATAAAATCACCATCTATGTGATTATTCAATAACGATTTGAAACAATAATAGTGTTTTAATGGTGAGTTGGCTTTCTACCCCAAAAAAAACTTATGTGGATCAATTCAGGCTACTTATTATTCTGCATCCTATTTGTTTATCTTATCTGAACTTATCTCATTTCAAAATTAGTTTTACCCAAATATATAAATAAGAATTTGGCTTGACTACAGACTTTAAATTAATTAAATTTTAACCCATATAACCATTATTGTTTGTTCCATTTCACTTAAACTTCAATCACATAAAAATTCTGTAATAGTTATTTTATAGCAAACTACACTTACCAGTGTTGTATACATAGAAGTGTGACATTTCTCAAAATCAAATTAATTGGTATCAATTCTGTGATCACCTAATCATTTATCTCTTTTCATTCTAAACTTTTTTGTCTCACTATGCTTTGAAATGTCTTTTTCATTATATTTAAATTTACTTCTAACAAATGACCATTTAGTTATCTCACACCTATTATCTCACAGTTTGGAGAAGAAACGAGATGTATACACAAATTCCGGTGCCACGCCCTATGAGTGCAAGGGTGAAACGTTTTCGCAAATTAGAGCCATCAAGCAGCAACATCATCCAAATGAAATGTATGTAATAATCTATCTTCACGTCCCACACAAAATAGTACAATATCCAGTAATAACCAATATTTTTTTTTGTGGCATTAGCCAAAATATTTCATTGCTAGAACATCAATATTCCTTACTGAACATTTTTATTATATACACCTATATTATAATTGTTCTATTTTATATCCCACAGTATAACAGAACAAGAGACGAAAGCACCGCTCGAAAGGAAAACGTGGAACGCTAAAGCGGGCGTAGCCGTGCCGAACATGATCACCGCAGAGGACCTCGCCGACGAACTGGTGTGGCTCAGGATAGATCAAAACTACATTATAGCTAATAAGAAAAAGGTCTGATATACTATTTGAAATTACCTTTGAATTACATTACCATAACATAGGAAATAACGTCTGATGTTGTTGTCTCATTACTAGTGATAGTAGGTCTAATTTCCAATTCCGAAACAAACAAATACTATAATAGAAGTATTGTTCAACAATAAAGTGAAACTTAAAAAAAAAAAAAAAAAAAAAGAACAAGAAAAGTTATAACACCGTAAGCCTGATAATTGAACGAAAAATTATTAAAGCCTCAATCTTGCCAACAAATTATTGTAAAGAGCAAATGACGCTGTTCTTTTTAAAATAAACAAGAAAATCTAGATCTTGTAAATTTAAACATTTTTCTTAATTTCAGTCGTCAGAACCAAATATAGGGGAGTTACTGGACCGAAATATCGACAATGGCAGTCAAACAGAAAATAACGAGCCGACAAAAAGTAGCAGTTCAAGGTGAAAATTGTTAATATACTTTATACCACTTAATAAGCATAATTTATCAATGACGACTAGTACTCTGCTAATACTTAGTTATTACTGTAGAAGTAACAATATTTGCAATTACGAAAATGGTATAAAAATGCAATAATTTATTATATTAAAAAGTAACACATCATTTTTCTTTTTTTTTTAATCAGTGGTTCTGATTATGTGAATGTGATGTGTAAACGCAAAATAATGAATTTAATTGGCAAGTTAGTGAATTTATTTTTAACAGTAGCAATCCCATCAAACTTTTGCCTGCCGAATGTTGAATCTTCAAAAATAAAAATAATATGTGTATAGGCAACGTTTACCACTTTCCCCCAGATGAACTCTAGCCTCGTTTGCGATTCCGATTTTAAAAAATGTTGATGTGCCGCAGACGGAGCTCCCCGCAAGTGTACCAGCGCAGCGCGTCGAGCACGAAGCTGGAGGCGGCGGCGGGCGCGCTGCACAGCCTGCCGCCCGTGCGCCGCGACCCGCGCGACCACCGCCCGCACCGCCACCACGCGCCGCTCGCCGCCGCCGCCATCGCCACCACCACACCCACCACACCCACCACACTCACCGCCGCCGCCAGCGCCGCCACCGGTCAGTATACCACTGCTTAATGACTATGGTTTTTAGACACGACGAACAATTTCACTTTACTTTTTTACTTCATCTTCAAATTTACTTCTCCAAATAAAAAACAATTCTTGATATAGTTTTGGTGCAGTTGTTATAAAACACAAAAAATTTATATTATAAAATACATACTTGTTGTTTCTTTGTTGCACACATAATTTCCATTGTCTGCACAGACCCCTAGTGCACACTGTGATAAATTTACGATATCAAAGTTTTATCTCTAGCTTTAGCACCGTATAAGCACTGTCGGCACCGATACATCGCGACGCTATTGATAAGATCTCAAAGACAAGTGTCTCGAAACTTTTAATAGGGAACAAATTGTAAAGTGAACAACACAAAGCAAAATATACTTAAGATCCCCTAAAATAATTTGAACACGTTATGAGAACAACTGCCGTAGCTAAATAGAACTGCAGATGGGCGAGTTCTGATAGCAAAGCTGATTCATTCCGAAATGGATATAGGTGTGAATTTACCACAGAACGTTGGGTCGTCGGCTTCTGAATCAGTGATTAGCGCCTCGCCTCTCTAGTATCTACTTATACAAAATAACATACAATAAGAAACGCCAAAAGATACTCACCATACATCGCTATTATCTTTAAGTTAAATTTTATTTTAAAATTAAATATGCAGTGACATATTTTTTAAATAAATTAAATATTATTACTTCATTACATCTACTGTAATCACTAATATCAACTTGACAATGCCCCACTAACTCAAATTTGATCATTTGTTATCTTACTCTATTATAAATAAATACCATCTAAAACTTCTAATTCAACATAAACCTTTGTACAATTAATTGATGACGTAAATACAATTTTGTTTATGTTGAAATAAAGCAAATTAATTCAAACTAAAACTCACTCTAAAAGCGAGTTGATGTTTTTTGGTGATTTTGACGCATTAATTGAATGTCTAGTAGTAATGATGGTGATGCTGATTTAGAAATCGGGCGCCGCGTCCCTCAGCCTTTTTACACCCCGGTTATTCTACGTGTTTACGATCGATAGGCAGTGCTTGCTCACCATGCCACCAAAATATCAAAGTTGTAAGAGTATCTTATGACTTAATTACTAGAAATAATCCATAACATAATTTAAACTGTGTATAGAATCAACATTGGCAACATCAGCAATTTTATATATATCAGCAATAATGTCATTAAGAGAGCAAATAGCTTTACTTTGAGTTTTTTTTTTTTCAAATCTTAATAATGTTTAACACAAGTTTTTTTTTTGCTATTTTCGATCGTCGAGGGTATATTGCTAGCAATGGGGCTATTAGACCCCTATTACTAACAATCCCTTCCCTTCAATAACCGTTTTAATTTTTGCCAAAGTAAGCTACCAAAAATGAGCTACCAAAAATAAGATGCATTTGTGTCTGTATAAACATCTTAATTTTTGCTTTCCTTATGAAATTTTATAGCTTCAATATATTTCCATGAATGTACTATTTTTACTTGTATAAGATTTCTATGACAGACATAAGGCGTAACTGTAGTAAGTTGTTGCAACTTGTTGCAATAAATCTGTAATAAATGATTACAACAAAAAAAATAGAAATCGTAACAAACTACTCACATTTTTTTTTAATTTAAAAACACTGAAAATAATATTAAAATTATGTAAAGTTTCTTTATCTTTTCCAAACCATCTTTTCTTTACATTGTTCTCGTAAATGGGCTTTTCAATGGGATAAAAAAAAAACCCATCGTTGAAAAAGAGGAAAAAGAGATTGTTAGTAATGGGATCTAACAGCTCCACTCCAGCAATGTACTCTATCAGGTCGACCTCCACGCGGTTCCCCTGGAAACCGTCGTAGTTGATTCTCATGGAAATTCTTCACGATGGACTAACTGACCTGCTTTCATCCTCACCAAACACCTCTCACTGGTGCCCTGCCAGTGTATACCGATAGCGCAAGCGGGCTTACCATTCCATTTTCATAGATAAAAAAAGAAAACCCATCGTTAACAATGGTCAGTAACGGACTGAAGTCCGGATGCGAAGTGCAAAATGTATACAAAAATCTTTGTATGCATTTTGCACCCCGCATCCTTTGTCTTGTCTTTCTTAAAACAACAACTGTTTATTGTTTTAAAAAAAATATTGGGCATATTAAAGGGTTTTCTTAGTATGTAACAAAATTTGAATATTGAATCAATGCCGTTACTCTGTAAAATATAAATCACTGTATTCTATTCTTTTATCTATTACAAATTTTATCAATCATAACAATGGGTAAAATTATGTTAACAATATGATAAATAAAAGACAATAATATCAGTTCAAAATGTTTCGTAATTGCTGAGAACTATTCAAATTACTGACGGCAATATTTGCGATTCGTCGCCTTAATTGACCATTAGTAATAATTCGATAATTACTTGTTGACCAAAAATATGTACAGATACTCATTATGAAATTAACTTCTTAACTAATGTGTTTAATTTTATTTTCATAATCACCTCATAATTTCGAACAGTTATTGTTTATAAATCAATAATATTATTAAGATATATGTACCATTTGCCGTCGAGTTCTTGAAAGTGTAACATGTGTGTAACGCCGATAAAGATTTCCTTCATTATGAAGCCTCCACGATATAAGTTCTTAATATATTTATATTGTGCGTGGCTATTTTTAATGGTCATAGGATATGTTGACGTGTGTGTTAAGATTATGTTTTATTGTTATTGTAAGTGAATATTATTTTGTGATTTTCCTTCAACATTGGCATAAAGTCAAAATTTTAGCATATAATGATAAATCTTATAGTCTTCATAATTAATCACGTATTATTAGGATTTAATTTTTTTTTATATATTTTTATTGAACTATGATTTAAACTTATAATAATTAAATTATAATAGAAAGATTGAATTAGAGTTTTAATTGCGCAATAAATAACTTTTAATTATTTAGTCAGATTATTTAAATCCATATTAATTATTAATTTGAAGCCATAATTCCATTCATTTGTTTTCGATTGAACTGATCTATATTTAATCTTACATATTTTAGTAATCTGGAAAAATATACAAGTCGCTGTAATATAAATAAGAAATTGAAGTATATTGAGTCATAAGACCTGTCCTTTAGAAACCAAGATTAAGTTCCACTAGGTTCCAAAGTGCATGTCTTATAATACTTGTATTGTGTACCCAAATTCACGGAATCGTAGCCAGCCTAGCCCAACGATTGCTTCATGATGGTCGTGGCAAGATGTTGAACGTTGAATGTTTGTTGTCAGTGTGTGCGGCGACGGCGGAGAGCACGGGCTCGACGGCGCCCGCGCCGCCCGCCCGCGCCGCGCGCCGCTGCTCCCGAGCACCGCAGCCCGACGCCGTCGACGCCTCGCATCCGCTGCCGGACCTCCTCGACATCAAAAGGTTATTTTTTTTTTTTAATTTGTACTTTTTTTATCATACTTTTTTAATGGCAAACAAGCTGACAGCCCTCTTAGTGGAAAGTGTTACCCGTTGTATAGAGAACGGGTATTATTTTCCATTCATTTGTCAGTCATAACTTAAACGTTCTATAGACAACGATTACAACTTCCTACTAGGAGGACCATGTCTATAGAGACATAATTAGCACTTATGGTACCCACACATAATGGTTACGCTACAAATTTCACTGATTCTCATACGTTTCCTATAGACATGAACAGAGTATACTATAATTATTTAATGAGTGCTGTTGTATAATCATATAATATTGTATCATACTCTTAAACATTAAAAGTTCTAAATGTTCAGAGGATTTTTGCGTAAGACATCCTATTTTCATTATTTTATGCAGGTGACGAAATTCTTATTTTTTGATCGGTATATTATTATTATTATTAATAATTGCGAGGTTCAAAGAAAATAAAGCTGAAAATATATATTGACCTCGTGTTTGTACCTAGTTTACACGACAACAACTTAAAGTTGCTATTATGTCCATATTCACATGTCGTATGAAATCCTCAACGATTTGCCAACAAAGGCTGCTAACATTCTCATTTTCTCAGTTTGAAAGGCGTTGATAAAACGTCACTGCGTGCTTGGCTTTAGATCGATATATAGATGAACCATTGAATATATTTAATCTCGTAATAGGCGAAAATGATGTTTTTTTATTGAATTGGCCCGGGTCGGTAGTGTGTGTGGTGTGTGAGTGGGCCACTAACACGTGGTGTACATGTAATCAGAGCGTCGGAGCTGGTGCCGGGCGGCGCGTGCGCGGCGGGCGCGGGCGCGGGCGCGGGCGCGCTGCGGCGCCGCAACTCGGACCCGGCGCCCGGCGAGCCGCGCGCGCCCGACCCGCGCTCCTCCGACTACATTGGACAAACGGGGAACGGGCTCTTTCGAATCGCCGGACACAGGTACCGTTCTAATAGTTTCTCCACCCGTTTCCGTATTTACCCTCGTTGTTGAATCACCACGTGTGGGCACATTATAGTCACGAAATTGAGGTACTTTTATGTATAAGATACAATTGTGTGTTCCTCTGTCTGCTTTCTGCTTGTTAAACAGAGACCGTATTGATGCCTATATTTTTCTTACAAACTCCAAAAATGTTTTTAAACTTGGTAGTACATCATTAGTCAAATATGATATCCGTGCCAAATAACTGATCTCTGACATTTGATATCTTGTTTTGCTATATTATCATCATATAACTCAGGTTTTATCCTATCTCGGGAACCAGACCATGATACAAATGTCGAATTTTGTATTGTACTACCTTTTTTGATTTGCGTAACTATTTGTTTAGGTATAGTAAATATGTACAACATTGCTAAGTATGATGATGCTAGGCCGAGTATATATAATAGGCATAAGAATAATACATTACTGGCAAAACATATCCACTTTATTCCCATTGCAGCCCTGTAAAATAAAAGTTAAAATTTTATTTACTTAACTTTATTTCGTTATAAGAATAAGAATTTAATCCAAATGAACTCAATTATTAGTACTTTTAAATTTTTTTTTTTATGAGTCTATCGCCACCGCTTTTATTATCAACTTACCATAGACGCAAGCGCGAAGCAGTTTATTTAAATACATGATTTTTTTACTCAGGTTTCGCAAAGGATCAAGATTTGCAAAAGACGACAAATGCGTATATTGTCACCAAGCGATCGACGCATTTATCACACAAGGGCAACGATGTATCGACTGCAAGCAATTGTACCATACAAAGTGTATACAAAACAAGGGCGTGATCACTATGCCTTGCACTAGTCCCGTCGCGGGCGGCCCTAGGGCCCGAAACAAAAATAGAAAACGAAACATGTTGAAAGAGTCCAACCATTATAGTATGCTCGCAGACCAGTCCAAAGGGCCAGTCAGTTCTAATTTCAATTTAACAGGAACCTCCGAGTTCATGGATAGGACTGATAAAATTATATCGGACGCGACTGAGTTGCAAGCAATGCAAAACTTTATCGCAAAGAAGATTTATCAAATGGGATCGTCAGACAACGAGAAACAGTCAGAGGTATTTATCAGTTTTCTGTAAAATCTATTATAGCAATTTTTTTTTAGCAAATTTTAATGTTATGATAGTATTTTATACAATGAAAAGTGATATTTATGGATTATAAGCAGCCTGGGCCCAAACAATGGATTATATATAATCCAAAGCACATTCGAATTTACAATATCTTCTCTCAAAATTTTGTTTAAATTCACAACTTGACAATTGCAGCACCATAGCTTCCGTAATATATATTATTTTTATTGAATAATTAGGAATTATATGGAGATCGATAGATAATTGTTGTAATTCCATTTTTTTTTTTTTTTATTTCATGTGGAACACGAAATAATAGATAATGTTCTCAAATATAATTTATGGTATCCACAGGTCGATAGAGTTTTCAAACATGCGCTAAATGAGTTTAAAGACAACCTAGTGGCGACATACAGTGTAGTAGAGACCAGAGGTTCAGCTCTCAAATACAAAGATCTCATTGGGAACTTCCTACACGTGATGGAGACGGTGTGTGCGCGAGAAGATTCCACATTAAACATAACAATGGGAGTCAACGCTTTCAGAGGTTTCATGGATGAGTTTATGAGCCAACATGAAACAGACAAAGCAAGAACGAAGAGGAAAAAGGATAAAAAACGAAAAGTAAGTACCATACAGTTCTGAATAATTTTTTGTTCAACCTGGAAAATATTAGTACAAGTGATTTTTACTTGTGTATTGTCATCATTATTTTTTTTATTTTTTATTAATTTTGCAACTTCACTGATGATGATTTTTCAATCGATATGGTTTATACTCACATTTGTTCCATTCGAATTTTGTCAAAATTAAATCTTGTAGTATTGTTATGTGTAGCTTTTTTATATCCTTTTATCTTTTATTCTGTATAAAATAAAATATTTTTTTTTGTTTATATTTCAGGTTGACGACCCTATACAATTCAAGGGACATACTTTTATTTTGTCAATGATTAACATTCCTACTGAATGTGAGATCTGCAAGACATTCTTCATGTGGCCTATTGAGCGCTCTCTAATTTGTCAATCGTGCAAACTTGCATCACATAAAAAGTGCTACATGAAGGTAAACAACTTAATTATATTTTAATCCTTTTTGTACATACATCCTAATGTAATAGATAATTGTGGTAAAGTGGTAGAATGTTGATGTGATAATAGTTTGCTAATTGAAGCTTATAACCAACAGTCCATTATTTGGTTGTTATAACAATTATGTCAGAAACCTTAACTTTTCCAATTTTGATAATAGTTTTTGCAATTAATAGGCTTTACTTTCACATTTAAATCATATATATATATATATATATAATGGTAACCCCGCCTGCGCTATTGGGATATGCTGGCGGAACACCAGTGAAGAATGATAGGTGAGAATGAAGCAGGTCAATTTGCCCATCGTGACGAATTCAACAAGAATTGTTCACGATGGTTTCCAGGGGGAACCACGTGGAGGTCGACCTAATATTGCTAGCAATGGGGCTGTCAAACTCCATTCCTAACAATCACTTTCCCCCCATTAAAATCAGTTTAATTTGTCACAACTTACATTATTTTTTTTTTTGTAATAAAATATAACAAAACCAAAACCAATCTTTACAAATCATTGAAGCTTGGTCAAGTAGTTTAATCTGCTGCTATGGCTATTTCTTTATTTCTATTGTTCAATTTGTTCGCTGCACAAATATGATTGACCATTTAAACAAATATATATATTTTTTATGATTGTAGGTAACAAGTCAGTGCCGTAAGGACTCCGGGTCGCGGTCTGCCGCCATCGTAGGCGCTGTGGGAGCGGGCGGTCGCGAACAACTTGGCCTATTGCCCAGGGGGAAGGTAACTTGACAAACATTGAATTATAAAAATAGACAAAAAAAAAGAGAGAGATCTAAGTATTTCCAATAACATAAATTTATTGTATATTTATTAAATAATTTTAGCGTAAATGTAGATTACATTTGATAATTTCTCGATACAGTAAATAACAATATCAATGCTCAGTCAAATTTATCGGAACTAAGTCTAAAATCTTAATCGTTTTTATATGCAGGTATTTGGCGTGCCGCTTAGTGAGTTGCCGACCGGAGATAGCAACATACCGATAGTAGTGGATCGGCTAATTACGACTATTGAAATGACTGGTCTCTACACAGAAGGGCTCTATAGGAAGAGTGGACTTAGTTCGAAGGTTAGTAATTATGCTAAAAATTATGAGAGCATAACAATAAATGAAATAACAAATAATCAGGGCGTTTCCACTATTAGACTTGTCCGCTGAGGGTTCTTTACTATTCTAATAATTACTGTATAAATATAGTACTCGAATGCAAACAGTGAACGATCCATGCTGTAAAACGTATTAAGATATTTTTTATACAACTTAGAATGGCAAACAAGCTGACGGTCCGCCTGATGGAAAGTGGTAACCGTCGCCTATAGACATGAGCAGTACCATGGACATAACAGAGTATACTGTTTAGACCATGATACCCCCCATGCGTTGCCATTCCTGAGGACTCAGGCGTTATTCCTCTGTACCCTGTAAATTCACGCCATATCCCACCCTTCAAACCAAAACACAGCCATGCAAATACAACTGTTTCACGGTTGAAATACGAATGGGACAGAGGTACCCAAGCAATTGACTTTTGTACAGTCTCCCTCTGGTAAAATAAAAAATTTAAAAATAACAAATCTTGTGTCTCGTATATTGATTAAACAGCTAAACGCTGCAAGGTAGAATAAAAGTTTTTTGGTTTTCGTTTTATCTAGTATTTCTTTAGTGAAAATGTTCTGTTTTACCAATAATTTCTATTTGCAAATCTTTCACTGTTATACATATACATTACCTAGGTAGTTATGTTATAAGAGGGAAATGCTACTTAATCCTGCCTCTATAAAGTTAATATTTAATTGATAAGTATGTGCAATGCTTAATACAGGTGCGCGAGCTCCGTCGGTTACTTGACGAACGGCCGGCAGAGGGCGTGGAGCGGCTGGACTCGTTTGCGGTGCACGTACGCGCTTCAGTTCTCAAGGGATTCTTCCGCGAGCTGCCCGAGCCGCTGCTCACCTTCGACCTCTACGACGACTTCATCCTTGCCGCCGAGATCTCCGACCCGCAGGTCTCGTCCCGCATTTGTACACGCACTCACACGCACACGTAATCAATCACACTAGCAAAAATTTGCGATTACAAGATGAAGATATTTTTAGAAACATATTTTTTACCCGAGCATACCTGATATTGCCATCTACTTGCATATTTTAGCACAATAAGAAAAAATATATTTATGATATTCAAACAAATTTCATTAAAAATACAAAATAAAATTAGTTAATTAATTTTAACTATTTTTATTTTGTAAATTACACTTGATTTACATTTCTTTTATGTACAGATATTGTCATAAAATTTATAAATGCTCTAAATGATATGCACAATCTACTCCACATCAAACCATTAACATTACTCTCTCTTTCTATAAACCTTTTTTATGGCAAAAAATAATTAATCATAATTAATTATATTTTGCCATAAAAAAGGTTTATAGAAAGAGAGCATTAAATAACTTATGATTATAAAACTTAAAATACTCCTTTATACACTCTTTGTCAACTTTTACATAGTATTATATTACTTTTACTACTCTATTTTACAAATCAGATATAAATAAATATATGAACATACAATCTTCATACAATTGAAGCACTATAAAATGTTTATTATTACAGGAAAGGGTATCAAGTATATTCACGATATTAAAGAAGTTGCCTAAACCTAACTTCGATCTAGTGGAACGATTAATATTTCACTTAGCCAGAGTAGCGCTGGGCGAAGATCATAATAGGTAAGCTAATTTATTATTTTATCGATATCAAATAATAATTCTAGTGCAGGAATATTTTTAATTTATTGACAGAATAAATTAGAATTATTTGTAAAATTACAAGCTTATAAATTTTATCGTTCAAAAGATTATTATTATTAAATTAGTGATAAATCAGCGAGAGGTATTGCATTTTGGCATTACTGTATAATTTTTACATCATTATAGGTATTCCATTACAAATTTATTGATCGTTAGAATTTACTAATCTAAATTAAAAAGTGAATTATTGACTATCATTCAAAATATTTTTGTTTTTAAATTCCTTAAAAATGTTATCTTTGGACTGGCCGTGACATTTCTCATGTGGTAATTTTTATATAATTTTTTTTTCTATGATGCTTAAAATGGCAAATAGCCTAACGCCTACCTTTTGGAAGGTGGTTACCGTTTATAAACATGAACAGCACTATGAACATTACAGATTGTACTATGATGTCTTTAATATTTTTCATGCATTTTCATTCCTAAGGACTATGATCTTATTATGGATTGTTTTTGATGCCGAGTAAATGAGAGATATGTATCTCGGTGGTGTGCAGGATGGGACCGAACGCGCTGGCGATCGTGTTCGCGCCGTGCATCCTGCGCACGCACAAGGTGCAGCCCGCACAAGACTCGCTGCACGACATCGCGCGCCAGACTGCCTGCATCGAGGCCATCCTGCACGACAAGATGCGCACCGTCAGTATACCACGCAAACTGCATACCACATATACCAACACACGCTGCAGTTTTTGTCGTGCACTATGATTGCACTATATTACCAGTACACGAAATATCGTATCTGAATAAAGGGGCGTTCCTTCGACGCTGTGAAAAAGTCGACCTACCCATTGTTTTAGTTCAGACTTGATACAGGAAATTTTATTACTGCTGTTTTAAAGTATTTAAATATCACTTTTTCATAAAAATATCAAATGTCTCAATCATATTTTAAGTATTGTAAAGATTTGTTTTTTTTTTCTTTCACGTATTTTTTTTTATTCAACTAAAATGACAAACAAGTAAACGGTCCACTTGATGGAAACCGTCACACAGACATGAACAGTATCATGGACATCATAGAATATACTGTTTCGCCCATGATAACCCCCATGTGTTGCCATTCCTGAGGTGTTCTATGGTATGAGGTGAACTAAGCTGTTACACATCTGTACCCTGTAAATTCACTGGCATATCCCACCCTTCAAATCGAAACAGTCATGCAAACAACTGTTTCACGGTTGTTATTATTTAAATTCTCAGTTTGAAAAAAAGTGATAAAATAATCTTACAGTTAAAGCAAGTTTTTAGGTTTAGTTTTTATTAATAAGACTTATCATATATATCTTCTTATCATCCAATAAAAGTATTTTTAATGAGTCATAATTGACAACTAATCGTGATAATAAATCGACATACGTTGGCGAGGTAGATAAGTGGAAATATTGAAAAAAAAAACTTTTTAACGAACTTTTGTGAAACTTATTGGCACCGGTACTTTGTAGCGTAATTAGATCCTGTTGATTACGATTCTGCCTGGTGCTATCCCCTCTGCCCCCTCCTTACCCCTTACCATAAATTGTGTTTTATTTAATTTTGTACAACAACTATTGGAGATAGCTAACAACTTTAAATATATATAATCTTCATTAAATTCTCTGTAATATTTAAATATATTTTAAAAGGACTAATAGATTATGAGATATGCCCCCGCTCGTAATGTATGACATTTCTGTTATTTACAAAAAAATTGCATATGCTCTCAATTTTCCGAAAAACGATCGTTGCGTGATAAAACATCCAAATAATGAATTTGTCTATAAAATAAAATCTTATCTATTATCGTACAATAACTGTGTTACAATATACATATACGCATATATATATATATATACATAACACGCAGCGCAGACGCCATTAAAAGTTCCAATTCCAATACTCGACACATAGTAAACTTATGCATGTAATAACTCCATTATAAAAATATGATATATGCAACACAAAAACTCTATACTTTAGTAAAATAAAATATATGCAATAATCATAACCAACTTAAAAAAACAAACGACCAATTGCTTGCGTAGCATGAAATTTTGTTCAAAAGTTGTCTACAATGGCATATTATGACGGGAGACTAAGAAATATTAGTTCTAAGAACCGACAACCGACGGTGAAGAAAAGCTCTGAAGTGGCGATTTCATACAGACAAACGCATTGTATCCTGTATGATGACCGCCACTAGAGGGAGCAATGACCTTAAATGTTGTAATACATTTAAGGTCATTGCTTAGTCATTGGAATCAGTGAATGTAGGACAAATAATTACAAAGATGTTTCTTTGTAATTTTTTTTTTTTTTCAGCAATCATTTTAATCATACAGTATATTGTATAATTGAAACTGCCAGATTATTTTATTGTAGTTACTTTAATAGTATACTGACTAATGAAATATTATGCTGAGGTAAAGCATCCGACATCCAAAGCATATTTGCATTACAAATAAGTGCAATTCGTGCGATTTATTCTCTGGGAAGTCGTGAATTGCTAAGAGAAAAATTCAAAGAAGCAAATATTCTCGCCGTAGCTTCACAATACATATACGCAAACATTTTGTATATGTTCAGGTATTTCTTAAAAACAGCGTTCTCTATAATCTTGACACTAGATATAAATATAAAGTTGCGAAGTATCGTTTCATTATCATTATATGAGCCGCTATCTGTCCACTGCTGACCCCCTATATCCCCTGCTATAGCCCCCCCCCCCCCCCCATCAATAAAATAATAAGGCGATATCAATGTTTTTATTTTTACTTTGTAGTAATCCATATAATTCCATAAAGCAACAACATTTTTTTTAGGGTAAATGTAAGACACTAGGCACACTTTCTAAAGTAACAAATAGTAGATTTGATATGATTTTATATTTCCTGTCACAACTCATAAGATATCTATCGATTTTCCAACGTGCATATTTCCCATTCCCCATGAAACATAAAAATTTGTTCAACAAATATGCAATCGAGCAATATCTTAAATTGTGAACAGTACTTCAGGTGTGATGATTTTAAAAAAGACAACGTGTCTTTTTTAATATGTTGTTTTAATATGAGATTTTATTAAATGACATGGGTAGCATGTTATTAAATGACTTGGGTAGCAGAAATAACATGGATGAGATGGATTCCTGATCACTGGAATAATCATGAAAATGTAATAACTGACCAATTAGCAAAAGAAGGGACTAGAACCTTATTGTGGCAAACCTTGAAGCCTAGACATCTTTATCTTAAAAACTTAGAAGCAGCAAATAATAATCAGTTTTTGTTGTCAGAATTAAACCACTCAAAAGCCATGATTTATTAGTTTTTAGAAAATTGCTCTAAGAAATCAGTTCTTTTGAATAAAAATGTGTGCATTAACAAGGGCTCTCACTGAACACTATAAACTAAACGAGCATATGGCCAACTAGGCTAATCCCTAAAAAGTGCAGATTTTGTCACAATGAGAAAGAAACGCCACAGCACTTAATGTGTGGCTGTGACCCGCTTATACATAAACGATCTTCTTTGGAAAACACACTCTACATCCTGAGGAGATAAAAAACATCTTAAAATTCCTATCATTGATAGGAATTAGCAACGAACTTAAGGGCGAGCATGGGAAAGATGGGAAAAATCGTAGTGTCACAGGTTTTTCTACCTGAACAAGCTCGTCTTTTAATAGAATACTTCTCACCAGTAATTGATACTGAGAAATATAACTACGTGGATTTTGAAAGTTTTTTGTTAATCTAGTAATAAATCCCAGCAATTGATTGCTTCTGTATATGATAGAATTATAGCGTGAATTAAAACACAGTTTATCATAGTATAAATAACAACCAGATCATTAGCGACGTTTCTATGCTCCAGTATTTGTTCATTAAAAGTGTAATTGTAATGTTTTGATCTGTAAGTGAAAGACAACACAAAACATTTTCACAAACTTAGACTCATTAAATTATTAATACTCCACTCGGATATTGTATCTAAATCGTGCTGAAGCAATTGTGACTCATCGAGATCTCTTATAGCACAGAAGACATTTAAATCATAACGATACACATACATATAATAACGATGGACATTTTAGTTTTTCTGCTGGGTTATTAATGAAGAGAATAAAAAAGAGAAGGTTAAAATTACTCCCATATTCAGCTTGAGGAATTCCTGAGGTTACAAGAACAAGTTACCATGAATATCAAATTGTGCAAGTTTATTACAGACAATCATGATTATGAGTGAGTCATGGTGATGAGAGTCAAGTCAGAATATTATTTTACGATCACATTTTTCTAGATTATGTTAATTATTATATATAACATTAGGCAAAACCGTAATCACCTTACCCTAAAAAGTATAGGTGCCAAAAAGTTTCATTAAACGCCATTCGTTTAATGATTGAAAAGGAAAGTGAATTTGAAATTTTTCTCCTATATAAATAGTGGTGAGCAAATGAGTTAGCTTGTCCGTGTAGTCTCAGCATAAAATAGGCTACCCCCCTTCCAATCCCGTGGATGTCGTAAGAGCCGACTAAGGGAGGGCAAGGGATGGGCAACAGCATCCTTCTTGAAACATTTTTAAAGCTTGACTGTGATTGCCAATCCGCCTGCCAAACGTGACATCTACTGGCAAAACCGCCCTTAGAGGAGGCTTATGTTCAGCAGTGGACAGTTAAAGGCCGATATGATGATGAAATGAGCTTGCTCAATGAGAAATGGTGAAATAAAGCTATAATCTCTCGTGCGTTGTACGGCAGGTGCGCGGTATGCTGCAAGATATCGCGACGCTGGACACGGCGTGCCACACGGCCACTAACCGCCTGTCGTCGCTGCGGACGTTGTCGCAGTCAGCCGCGCCGCGACCCGAGGAACAGATCCTTGTCGGCCACATCCACGAAATACAGAAGGAAAAGGCCATCCTCACGTCCAACCTGCCCACTCTCATCAGGTATATACAAATTTATCACAGCATTATATACGTATAATATTTCGCCTAGTATAGCGCAATAACTTCAATGTAGTGTAATAGCACAACCCTTGTAGTTATTTTTGGCAGTAACAAGTTAACAGTTTGTATATGCATTTTACAAGAGGGCCACCCTAAATATTTTCCTAGTAACCTATAGACATGCCATCCGTCATCATCCACATCACACAAAGATTGTTATGATTTTGTTTTAACAGAGGTTAACTTCACTGATTGTATAAAATAAAATATTTGTTTTCATTTTAATTCGTAATCACTTATCTAATTGCATTAGATTTTTATATAATATTTTCATAAGAAGACACTTGTCAATAAGTTAATAAATCGTTGAGCAGAGCGACGTCCGACGACGACCTGCTGTCTACGACGGATCACGACGGCGAGTTTGGCAGTTCAGACGACCTGAGCGCCGGCGCCGCATCGCTGCGCTCCCAGCGTCTGTTACATCGCCAGCTCTCCTCAGACGACCCTATCATGGTGTAATGACGCCACCGCCACCGCCGCTACTGCACCACCCCGCCATCCCACCTATCCATCACTCATTCAACAAGCCAACCTGACTATCCGTCACCCAGACAACCTGCTTATCCGTTACCTAGCCAATGTACCGATTCGTGACCAGTACAATCTACCAATTCGTCACTCAGCCGACCTGCCTATTCATAATTCAGCCTACTTGCCAATTCGTCACCCAGCCAACTTGTCAATCCATCATCACATCAATATGCCAACTCATCAACTTACCGCCAATAAAAATATTTACATAGTGCTATTCTCACAATGCAATATAACTATGACTGATGTACATAGAATACCAATTCTTGCGTACAACTTGATTATTGTAAGTTTGCACATCATATCGATGACGTCGTGTCAACACTTGGCTTCTGTTATTTTTTATATACACTACTATTGGACACCAGCAGCCTGTCTTATGGTCGGGTCAATTAGTCATGTTTACATTTTAATCAAGTTCTGTTGAAACAGGCTGTAATGTTCCTCATCAGTTCCTGTAAGTGTAAACTTAATATGACCGAGTTGTACGATGTTGATACATAAACACCTACATTTCTAATGTTATTAATTCTCAGAATAGGATAAAGCATTACTATTATAAAGCGTTAAGTACGAGTGGTATTCTACAATAGGAGGCCCCATCTCATAAATCATCAGATAACTAAATTATCCGCCTGTGATTTTAAAAAACTAATATTAAAATACTTGTTGATAGATTTCGAGTGATTTTCATGTTTTTTTTTTTTTGTAATAAATTTATTATCAGCAATAATATTTCTAATTGTTGAGCATTATTATAATGTCAATCTATTGCAATGTTTATACGACCATAACATTAATACATATCCCTATTGTAGATGTTTTGAAACGGTCATTCATTTATGGTATTTTACCTTTGTTTTGTAATTCTAAACAAAGAAAAAGGCCTCTTAAGAGATTTTCTACTAAAAATTATGTAGGGTCGGAAGAAAATATAGAAAAGGTGAAAAACATAATTTTGCTATAGACAATTCGTGAACATTTATTCTACTTGAAAATGAAAGAAAGATTTATGTAATTCAGCATTCCAAGATTTTATCCCAAAAGAATATCTTTATTCCCCGTCCTTACAGTAAACGTAAGCGATCTTAAGCTGTTGATGCTGATTTACAGTATAGAAAATAAAATATATTTTAACTAACATTTTTAATATGTAGACGGACTGTTTTCAGAAACAACATTTTAAAAGTATAATCTTCCATATCGATAAAGAGTTTATTGTGTAGAAATCTCTATAAAATAATTATAATTATATTAATAGAGACAGGTGTGCATTTAATTTTTTCGTGAACGACATTGACTTATTTAATATCTTCAACTTTAATATAAACAAACCAGGTAGGCAGAATAGGAATTGAAATTTTAAATACTTATTTTCTAATTTACCATCTAATCACTATGATGTTATTACTTCTAAGTAATAAATAATATATATAAAGTTTTAAATTATCCATGAAAGATCTTCATAAACTGTAGCTAGGAACCATCTTTATCTCGTCAGCTTTCAAATAAAAAACCTCATCATATTCGGTCCGTTCGTTTAGGAGCCATACCATAAATACGCCATACTTGAACAACTTTCTTTTAGTGTGTCACTTTTAGTATGTTAAAAAACTTAAACATACTAATAGTAATACATTGAAGTGCACTTTAATAAAATTTTTCACTATACAGTTTCCGTAAATTTATTGTGTATGTATATGTATATTTATTTACTTTCATTTATATATGCATACCTTGTCCATGATTGAACGATATATGATTTATTCGTTTTAAATATAAATAATTATTTAGAATTCGATTTAGCTTATTTTTATTTGATGTTATAGTTGTTGATAGACATACTCGACGTTGTTACTGTGTTAAGTCTTCTTGCCGTTGATAGCTCGATTTGGAATGAGTAATTGAAATTAAATTATATTTTAAGATGATATATTGTTGCTCTGTATAGAAAGGCAAGTGTGGACGACGCCGAAAATGCTATTATCTGATATATACTATTATTGTACTTAAAACCTATGAGCTTATTCGTGTAGAGTACTGAGGCTACACCCTATTTCTGGTACTTTAGACAGAGAATGCGCATTTGAACAATAATATTTTAACATAATACGACATAGAGTAGATGGATAACTCCTTGAAAACGGCTTGTTTTCAACCGACTTCAAAAAGAAGGACGTTCTCAATTGGGTTATATTTTTTTTTTTGTTACCTCGTAACTCCATCAGTTCTAAATGATTTTGAAAAATTATTTTTATCTGAAAGGATATACTTACAAATAAAAATCGGTTCAATTGATTAGTTTTTAGATTAAAATAACTGGTATTGTCACAACTGAAGTCGGTTTTTGTGAAACAAACTTTATATTACTACAAAATAACAAAAAGGGCCCTTTGACATCTGATTCCGAGGCATTCGTCCTATTAAGTTTAAATATTCAAAATCCATATGCGTTTGAAAGCTTTTTAGACTAAAGATTTATAACCTGTCTACCTAGTAAAATATCATTACTGTCATGTTTTACGAAAAATGTTTTTGAAAAGTACTAATTGAATGTGATATTATATTTTACAAAAAATGATTAAGTATTAGAAAAATCTGGTAGTAATTTTAATTTACTCAGTATATAATAGACTGCGAGGTAACACAATGAGTGAAAAGATTTTTGACCTCAAATTCTACAAAATTTGCCTATAAATATTCGATTAAGATTCTAATGTTCACGGTTATGCTGTCTTTACACTGATTCAACATAGGCTCGTAATGTGACGGCAATTATGCCGTAATTTGATCAAAAGTAATTTAATTAATTTTTGATTAAATTATAGTTTGTTGAAAATGATGTTTTGTCTCAATATTATTAGCCCTCTCTTACAGTTCTTATTCATGACAGAGTTGTATGGCTTTGAGGTATTTTGTTCAATATTATACCTATATTTATGATTAGATTTTTATCAGAGTAAGGATATGTTTGTACTGGGATGAAAAATTTCTCTGAAGCGGTTGACTAGTCCTATCCGCCTCTATAAAATTAAAGCGCATTTGAAGCCAGATTTTTATTCGAAGAATTTATGTTCCTTGAAAGGGTATGTAACTGTACATAAGATACGATTTATTCTGAATATCCACTCTATAAAATATGCACTCAAAATATCGCGAGTATTTAGATTTGCTAGAGCTGCCAATCTCTTACTGATAACAGACTTGTTTTGATCGTTGAACTGGGTTTCATTATTCACGAGTATACTGGGCTCGGGTCTGATTTCTCTATTCACCATGGGTGATGTGGCTTGTCGATGGTATTTTATTTATTTGTGTACAAGGGACTATACTATGCGATCTTTAACTCTGCCTATCTTTCTCATTATTAGCATAATTTTATATTTTAAAATAATCCATATGTTTAAAAAATATTCACCATTTATAATAATCGGCAATTTAGATATCTATAGTCACAAAACTGAAAAAAATACCATGCTCATTATTATCATTCATATTATTCAACACCTATTTTTAATTATATATATTCGTTCCTTATAGTTGCTTTATAATTTACTGTTTTTATATTCAAAAAGACTGTCTACTGATAAGCTTAAATTTATCGTTATGTAAGTCACAAATATTTTACCTGCTCTTAAATTAGTTTGTAACTTTTACTGTCAAAAACAACGAATATCTCTGTGAAATCATTATATGCTTATAATTAATGAACTTCTATGCGAAATGGCATAACATAGCTCAATAAATTAAGTGACAAACAATGTCTAATAATATTCTTTTTAGCTTTTTACTTTAATCAATATAATCATACAAAAAGTATATGAATAATGAAATAATTATGAATTAAATATACTTATTTAAACAAAAACGCTCTTTATATGTAACATTTTCTCGCAAATGTAATTCTTAAGCGATCGAGTCTAACAAAACCAATTTCCAAATAACCAATAATTCTGCAGGCTACTCTCCATAGTTCGCAAAGATTGTCTCATGATCTGCAGTGATTATTTGATTTCTGTTAGACTTTGTTGTTTCGGAGACTGCTTTTCTGGCAATAAAATTATCTTCAATTGTGATTTTAAACTTTGAAAATATTATGAAAGTATGTATAATATATACGCATATAGCATAAGCATATACAGATGCCGATAATGTTCTGCATTGCGAATGAAAATGTTTAGTTGTATTTATTGGGGTTGTGTCGCAGTAATCTACTGTATTTCTGTGCCTTCAACTAGTTTGCTTTCAGCAGTCCATGTCTAAGAACGTTCAGCTGTTAGTTAACTGTTGTAAACCTAACTATAGTGCTCTTATAAGACCCGTAGTACTTACTATTAATATGTATCTATTGATAGTCTGCTTTGAAATATTATTTTATGGTAGTGATTCGATTAATTAGACAAAATTGAGATTTTTCCATCATTTTAATCACTCTTGAGAGGAACTCATGATAAAAATATATCATAATTATTATTTTTAAAGATTTAATTAAGCGTGCAATCTGGTAATTTAAACACTAGAAGTGTATGTAGATAGTTGACGAGTTCCATGCAAGAATTCTGTAAATATAATTAGATACTATAATAAAATCCATAGGAATACTTGTTCATGTTACTTCCTAAATTTCTATTTTTATTTATGAAAGCATTTGAAGTTGTATTTGTTGTTACGTTACAAAATTGAATTGTGTAACAACCGGTGCCTAATCATTTTGTCTATAAAACCTAGGATTATTTTTTATTTGTTAAATTTTACCCAGTAGTTGATTAGAATGTAATAAGTATCCTTAAAAAGATACTGTGTTAGATCTGTTGACATAATAATGTTAAATTGTATAATAATACCTTGTGTGAAACTCTGTAATTGATATCTTTTGAAGAGATCAGTTGATCGAAATCTGTTCAAAAATCTATTAGGGTTACCGTTTTGTTATGGTAGTTGATAATAAGACGATTATAACAAAAGTGATGGAATTTTTACATGATATTATCTGATATTCCTACTATATAGAGATGCCTCTCTGTTTACTATAAATCTATAGTTGTATCTGCTAAGGACCAATACTATATTATACTGTTTACAAATTGCCGTCGTGTACTCATATGTAGGTATGTATGTTATCGATTTGAGATTTCGTACAATTATCGTTAATGAATCTTGTATTATATTATAAACATGTATATTGTTCAATTTATTTTTAGGACTCTATAATATTGTCAATATAATGAAATGTAACCAAAACATTGTACTGTATACAATATAAAAAATAAACAATTGCTGTGGATATATCTATAGCCTTTTATTAAAATATTCACATGTGATATTAAAAATTCAATTTGTTCTATATAATATTCCCAACAGGACAAGTCGACCAATCAAATTCTTTTGAAGACAATTTCCAAATACCCCCTATAGATAGTTCTTGTTTCTCTTGATTAATAACTTCCACATCTGATGATTGATCCAAATCAATATATGAAGTTTCGTAAGAGTTACTTGTATTTTCCTGGTTCTTTATATCATCTACAGTATAAATTTTTGATGGAATTGTCATCGATTTAAATCTACTGGCTGGAGAAGATATCAAATTAGCTATTTTACATATTTTTTCTGTAATTGGTTTTTGTAGAGGTGGTTCAATTAAGTTTAATAAATCTGTTATGAAATATGTCAAATATGGATTGTATGCTGTTATAATTGGCTTCACAAAATTTATGTTGAGCAATGGCAATGGTGGAGATTTTCGTAAATTAAACAAAAGGTTGTTTTTGTGTTCATTAGGAAACCAATGATAATAGAGTGACTTCAACTCTTTTCTTTTCTTAGAGCTTATATCTGTAGCATTTTTTCTGAAACAGAATTTTTAATTAATAACCAAATAAAAAAGCATCACTAGCTATTAGAGGTTTTTAATGGGATGAAAATGGTATGGTATATTATATAATAACAGTATATTTGCCTACTGCACATCCTCACTTATTATTTATAGGGGGGAAAGTGATTGTTAGTAATGCCGACTATCAAGCTCCATTGTTCTTTTTAATGGGTGAAAATGGCATGGTAAGCCCACCTGCGCTATCGGTATACACTGGCGGAGTACCAGTGAGAGATGATAGGTGAGGATGAAAAGGCAGGTAAGTTACCCCATCGTGACAAATTCAAGGATAAATTAGTCATGATAGTTTTCAGGGGAAACCGCGTGAAGGTCAACCTGATAGGATATATTGATAGCAATGGGGACTAACCTCTCCATTACTAACAAATCCTTCCCCCTAAATGCCCATTGTTTTTTTGTAATGGGTGAAAATGGAATGATTACCCAGCCTGCGCTAATGGAAATGCGGGCAGAGCACCAGTGAAGGGTGATAAATGAGAATGAAAACAGGCCAGTTAGCCCATCATGATGAATTCGTCAGGAATTAACCATGATAGTTTTCAGGGGGAACCGCGAGGAGATCGACTTGGTTGGGCATATTGCTAGCAATGGGATTCTTAGTCTCTATTACTAACAATCCCTATCCCCCCAATCCCCATTAGTAATATACCCTGTCAGGGCGACCTCCACATAGTTTCCCCTGGAAACCATCGTGCTGAATACTAGACATCATTATGACAGGCTAACTGACCTGCTTTTCATCCTCACCCCTCACTGATACTCTGCCAGTATATACTGTTAGTTCTGGCAGAATTATCATTTCATTATCATCCATAAAAAATCTTATTATTTATTAATACTCTACCAATGAATAATAGGAGAGGGTGAAATCAAGTCAGTAGGCTCATCATGACCAATTCTGTGTTCTAGGTGAAGAGCTCCAAGGGTTTACTCTGTTGGTTTTTAAAGCCTAAGGTTGGTAAAGTATAAGACTGATCCATTTTCATCCCAGCTTCAAAATTTGAATTTTGATGGCAAATAAGTTTTTGAAAATTTCAAAAGGTACAATATTTTGTTGCAAATTAATAATAATTATAAAAACAAATAACTTACTTAATTCTAGAAATAAATTCTTTAGATTTTTTCAATGCTTTCAATATTTCTGACACCCAAAATGCAGCAAGGTAGCATTTTTTTTCATTACAGTCAGACTGAGTTATATGTATAAGTTCAACTAAAAAATCTAATATTAATTCATTTGTATGAAGAAATGTGAGCAATAATTCAAAACACTGAACATAACTTGCACTTAGTTTGTTTTTGTGTTTAAAATCATTACCACCTAAATATTGGAGAAGATCTAACGACAGAAATATTGAGTCTTCACCGAGTAGAACTTTATTTACATATACTGCAGAATCTTTGCCTTTTAGTAACTTCTTAGAATGTGCATTCATTATATTAACCAATGACATAACTGACACAGTTTTCAATTTAGACAAATCAATTAGATCACCAAATAAATCAGCTGCATCACATACAATGGATTCTCTCATATCAATTGGTATTTGAGACAATGTATTGATATTACAATTGTGATGAGAACATATACTTAAAGATAAACATAAATGCATTAATGCTGCTATCTGATTCTCGTCAGAATTTGATGTATCTTTCTGTCCAGCAATGTAATCTCCAATGCACTGTTTGTATTTATCCCAATAATTAGTCCGAAGCCAATGTAGACCTATTACTGAGGCCTCTCGAAGTAACTCTAAAGATGGTAAATTGTTGCTATGTGCAGTGTCATGCCTCAGGTCTATAATCCAATCAGGAACACCTAGACTTTTTGCTGCATGATATAAGCTAGTGCCCTTAGAAGTTTCTGCGTCAAGCATGTGGTTCACAAAACGCATTATCGCTGCAGAGTATGCAAGACGAAGAAATTGATCACATCCTACATCGACGGCGTTTTTTTCATCCTGAACTTGTACTTGTATCAAAATAAATGTTGATTCCACACCAGATGGGAGTAAAGGACATCTTGCTTTCCATATTTGTAATATATTAAGAGCGTGCTCTTTATTTGATGTTATAAAAATGTTGTGATAAACACTTTGCCATTCTTCTGTGTTATACCAAGGCACAATATTATAATATTCACTCATTTTTTTTAACGTTAATTAACTAATAACCAATAAATTAAATACCGCATTCAGACAAAAGCCAAGATTAGTTAGAGTAGAAAGATACTACGACCACAGATTAAATTTGATGCGCGTTTAAAAACTGACAACAATAAAACAGAGTAGACTTTGACATTGGCTGTCAGGCTGAAAGACTGTCAGAAATTACACAGAATTTCTGTGACAGAAGGAATGATAAAATAAAAACTTTGAATCATATGGTTGTCTCCTTTATTCTTATGCAAATATAATTAGCAAAAAGAGGAGGAGAAAAGCGATTTTTACAAAATGTTTTATATATATTTGATAGTTATAAGAATAGGTTTTAGGTATGATAATGAAATGGTAACCCCGCCTGTGCTAATAGAACATGCAGGCGCGGTATGAATACACCTGGATTCATCACGATGGTGTCCAGGTGGAGGTCGACCTCCCCCCCCCCCCCATGAGACAAGTGAGTCGAGGTCCCCCAATGTGAATAGGTTATAAAATATAGTTCATACCGCTAAGCGATTAGGGTGTCTTTGATGTATTAAGCCTTTAACAACTAATTCTTTTGTACTGATCTCCTATAATCTCCAACACTCTTCAATTTTGGGTAATCAAAGTCAAAATTATACTTCGAGACTTTCATAAAGTCACTTTTTATTAGTGTATTTCCTATAAAGTATTCTGTAATCCTATGATATCCATTTAGGCACAGCTTTGTACTATGAATTTATCTAGTTAGATAAAAGTGCCACTAACTACAATTTTTATTTCTTATACACTCACCTAATTTACTACACCTTCCGAATTCATTTAGGGTAAAGATTTCTCTCCGTTACCTTTTAGACCATGGCTTTTGTCATAAACGAAACTTAAGTTTCGGCTCAGAAAGTGAGTACCGGCAAAATGCACTGGTTTTGCACTCAGGCTTTGATATGATTATTGGTGTTCATTCTAAACACGAAAAAAAAAGGATTTTGTCTTTGATTTTTTTAAATACTAAAATCAGTTATATTATTTGACAATACTTATTTATAATGAACATTTATATTGATCTACACAAATATCAGCAATATATTGAAATAAAAGTCATTATTAAGAATTATGTTTTATTAAAAAAATCGTTTCCAAAGCAAATGTTGTTCATATTCACGTGCAGTCAAAACGCTACATCATGGGTAAGAATTTTTAATAAAAATTTGAAACGCAGGAAAGCAATACTGATGAATAATCAACATTAATAAAACAAATAAATAGCCAAATAATTAATAACGCTATGTATCTATGGTAATCTACGTATTTAGGAATCACTTTTGGCACTAATAACTACGAAAATACTTAAATTAATACTTGTAATAAAATAATAGTCATGTTGCGTTTTCACTGCCAGTGAAATGGATACTGTTTTAAATGCACATTTCTAAGTCTCGGACACTGACGACAAAAAGCATTTACAAAAAAGTAAGCACAACTGAGAAATCCTGTAGTTTATAATTTGCAAGGACACCTTTACGGACAGCATTTTTGTTTATATTATTTGATACAGCTAAATTGGTGTTATTGCGACAAAGTTAGTGACGTAATTGTCACAAAAAAAAAATCTAAATGAACCATATTTTAGTATTTGTGTGGAGTGTCCGTGCAAGCGAAACTAAACCGGTAAATCCAACGATGATGATTTATGATTCCACCATACATCGCAATCACAGAGTAGGAACTCTATTCACATACTAGTACACTGCAACCGGATTCAGATTCGACGCGGAGGATACAAAAAGAAACTTACGTCGGCGGTGCTCGTGGTCGACACAACTACGTCGTCTATACACGTAAAGGAACGTCACGAAATAACTAGCTATGCTTTCATCGATATAAAAGAGTAATCTTAGTACGTACCGTAATAAATATCTATCAATATATATTCTCGATCAACAAATATAATTTAATATAGGCAATAATATAATACGAATCTTTAAATCTATCAACATTATCACAATATGAGTCGCGACGACACTATGCCGTCGAAGATTACGGGTTCGGTCGTAACCCTGCTAAGTATTTACAAAGTTTTCGAACCTATATTGTACATTTCGTCTTTTAGAGGGGGAGGCGGGCGGTGGCGCGGGCGCGGGGGGCGCGGCTCATAAGTCGACCGTGTCGAGGTTCTGCGTGGGCGCGCGCGGCTCGGCGGCGGCGGCGGCCGAGGTCGGCGGCGTCGGCGGGCGCTGGTGGAACTTGCCGGGCAGCGAGGCGAGCGCGGAGAGCGCGGCGTCGGCGTGCGGGATGCGGCGCATGATCTTGCCCGAGGTGATGAGGCGGCCGAAGCCCTCCTGGTGCGCGAAGGCGTAGCCCGAGCGCACGGAGCGGCGCGCGCGGCGCGCGGACGGCGTGCGCGGCGCGGCGGCCGGCGCGCGCCAGCGCTGCCGCGCGCGCAGCCGCTCCGCCAGCGTCGGCCGCGTCCACGAGCACGCCAGCCGCCACGACACCACCGGCACCATCAGGATGATCATCTGCCGGACACGCACCGCTACGGTCAAACCTACTACTTCGTGCTACGCGCCCAGCGGCGCGCACAAAAAATAACAAATTCCAATTTAGAATCAGTAGCGCGGTTCTCCGGTGACCTTTTTATTTCTTGTTTCCCGGGGGGACTAGGTAGACTTTACAGAATAATAATGCGGATGAATCGCCGCCGAGTAGGTCACACAGTTAAAAGTATATGTCGGGAAACGTTTCTGTGTAACGACCCATTAATGCCACCCGCAAGTGGCCCATTCATTATCCAATTATTACTCGTACTACACTAACCAGGTAGGAATTTTACAATTTATATAATTATACAAACTTTCCAGACCTACTACACTATACAAAAGTCACAATCGTACATAACTTATGGAACTCAAATAGTACTTACAGTAAGTACGGCAGTGAACCAGAAGGTGGGTTGCGTGAGGGCGACGGTTAGTGAGCCCACATACGGCCCGCCTATCGCGTAGTTATAGAAGTAGTCCAATACAAAATAAGAAACTAGTGAACCCCATATTGTGATGTGGTTGAACACTGTCCAATATGTTGTATCTAAAGCAATCTGTAACAAAGTGGAAAGTTTTTTTTTTATTTCGAACCAATGATAATTATATGATTTGTTTAAATATAACCATCATCACATACTTCGGTTTGTTTACTAAATTAACTGAAATTTTTTGGCAAAACGAAAGTCATAGCCGCACGACTAGCAAAACGTTTATTACATCTAGATAGGAAAAACCTCAAAATAATGATAGTGACAATAATGGGCCATTGTAAACAAACATTTATACACAATAGGAGCCACAGACTGCCCTCTATGTCGAGGCTATTTCGACGCCGAAGAAACGGCTGCTCACGTAATCCTGGAATGTGAAGCTGTGGCCCATCAACGTTTAATCCTCGAAATGGTGAGGTTGCTCCGTAAGACCTGTGAAGATCCCAGAAAGCTTCTGTGCTTCTGGGCGAAGCTAGGTTGGCTGTACGGCTAGTACTAGCCACGACTCATACGCACAACGGCTCAAATGAGAGGCTAAGCGCGGAAAATAGAGTCCTATTTACATTACATTACAAGTCATAGCCGCATCTGACATTTATTTTCATATATCTACATTACTTACTTGAGTAGTATTGTCAATAATTAATATCGTTGCTACTACGCTTCCTAATAACATATGATCTGATAATATCTTCCCATCAGGTGCTAATCCATCTTTATATGTACCTGAAATAAAAATATATTAAAAATTAATATATAAAAATTATAATAAATGGTAATTAGAGATTATTATTAGATTCTATTCTATAAATGTAGGATAACTCAAAGTAAATACTCGTCAGACAAATTTAAAAGCACCTGAACATTTCACCCTTTTTTAAATAAAACCCTATTCCACGAAAAAGAACCCTATTTCACGTTTGCACAGGTCCTATATACGCAATAATATTGTACTATTAGGTGTGTGAACTGACCATATGGTATGAGAAAGAGCACGAGCGACGTGAAGCAGCCATGCAAAGTGGACTTAATGAACTCTCTCTTGTTAAACAGCTGGCTAGTGTGTCCGGGCGCGTACAGCTTGGGGAACTGCAGCGAGGTGGCGTCCGACACGTCTTGGTCGAAGATGCCCAGCGCCAGGACGGGCAGAGACGTGTAGAACAGGTTGTACACCGAGATGAACATCTCGTCGAACACCGTCTGTTGCAATTTACAGTATAAATTGTTATAACAAATTTTCGTTGATGATATATTAAGACTAACAAATATATAAGATAAAAATGCACAATTAATATTTGAAAAATGTTTTAAAAATGATATGGCAGACAATCATACAGCCACCTGATGGTAAGCGGTTACCGTAGCCTAGTTTAGGAATTATACCTTTTTTTATACAACTATGGTGGCATACAAGCATATGACCCGTCTGATGATAAACGGGGTTACCGTGGCCTGTGGATGCCTGTAACACCAGGAATGTAACGCGCGCATTGCTGACCCTTAAGAAACCTTAACGACTATTGGGTGACAACAAATGTTGTTGTCCAAGTACTTATACAATCTTTAAGTTCACACATATTTAATCCCCTTACCATGTTACTTTCATGTATTAGGACCAATCAATATCATCTGAAGCACACATTATAGGAGCATCGGTAATTTCTGTACTCTGATATAAAATGTAATTTAAAAATTTGAAAGCAAGACCATCGAAATAAAAAGGATTAACTAAATGTCTTTGCTTTCATGTCGTTTGCTTTTTATTAATAAGTGTAAAAATTCAAATAAATTTAAGAAAAAAATAAATATTTGAAATAGTGACCTGTGCACTAAATCCACAGAAGAACGCGAACCAAAAGTGACACACAGTGAAGGCGAAGTTTTTGTAGAAGAAATATCTGAGGAATTTGCACATCCTATAATAGGACCATCGGCCGTGTACGAGTAGCAGCCGCTGCAGGAACCGGAACTGCGCTATTGAATAGTCCGACGCCAGCACTGCCTGCATGCCCTCTTGACCCGATATGCCGACGCCTATGTGTGCCGCTGCAAATAAAAAAAAAAAATTAGAAATAGATCTCTGTCAAAATTTTTTTAATATTAGTAATTTTAAATAGAATTTTCAAAAATAATAACATTTAAATTAAAAAAAAAAAACATAGCCTATGTTCATCATTATCATAATATCAATTGTTAATTATCCACGCCACATACGCATCCCCCATAAAGGTGGATTTTGCTTGACAAACGTGTTGGTAACTGCAGCTATGCTTTGGTGATTTTTTAAAAGTAGTGTCCGATCGAAACAGATTTTACAGTCGAAACCGAAACCGAACTTTCGGCCTTGGTCTCCGTTTTGGCCGAAATCGAAACCATTGAAACATATTTTAAAGTTCTCTTCTATACTGAAATCTAGTATTTGTATTTTTTACACAAACACAGAAATAGTTAAAGGGTAATAAAAAAATCAAAGTATATAAGAAATATGTCATATATATTTATATTAAAAAACATGTTAAAATTATGACTTAGTCTTGGAAGTATACTTAAAAAAAAAACAACTTTCAGTTAGACACACAAACAAAGTTTCGACGCGGCCGAAAGTTTCAGCTAATTTTTGGCCGAAACCGTAACTAAGACCGAAAGTAGAATTTTTGGCCGAAACTAGCCGAAACCGAAAGTTCGGTCGGACACTATTTAGAAGACGCTTTTGTCCATCCCTCGACTATTAAGTTCTCTTAGTCGCCTCTTACGCACCCACGGAAAAGGAAAGGATGGCATATTCTTTGCCGGGACCACAAGGCACCCTTCTACGTCGTATTAATTAGTAATTTGAAATAAAACTGTAAAGTTCATTAGTGCAGATTTTGAGATAAAATTATGATCGACGAACTTATGTATACGTTATTTAAAATTTTTAATTCGACATGATACTACAGCAGTATAACAATTATTACAATCCATATAACAACAATAGTTATCAGGTATGGAGTAATTATAATTTGGAACATTTCCTATGCACAGCTCTTAACAAGAGTCTGGTGAATTACATATACTAAATTTCAAAACCATACAAATGTTTATGATTGAGTAAAAAATTTTTAAACATCAAATCAGATTTAGAAACTTATATATTATATATATATATATATATATATATATATATATATAACTGCACCTGCACTCACCTTTTATCATAGAAACGTCATTGGCGCCATCTCCAATGGCTAACGTAACAGCTTTTCTGCTCTTTTTAATGAGTTCCACCACCATTGCTTTCTGCAATGGAGTTACTCGACAGCATATGACTGATCTACACTGTAGTACTACGTCTAAGAATCTGAAACAGGTCATAATAATAAGCTGCCTATGTTTGATCACATTGAACTCATCGAACAATTAATATTATCTGAAGAATTTCTAACATTTGAGCCTTACAACTTTACTCAGTTAATTTCATATACATAATTATCCGGCTCTTACTTTACTCGTTTTCACATAGTATTGTTTAAAGGGTAAGAAAAAAAACTCTTGAAAATTCAAGAGATTTTAAAATTTTTGCAAGTATTTGTCTTTTTCTCTCAGCCTTTTTCTACTTTATCTCTAAAGTCGTCTTTAGTTTACATTACTGTATTTCTCTTTTTTAATTTTTTATTTTAATAGTATCTAGGAATGAGTAATATGGATACTGATTCAATATCAATATATTAGGTTTCTCTGGACATTGATGACGGAAAAAGGGTCATCACCCATTTCGATATCGTCCATATCGGTCGGATATTTTCGAATATGTTAAAAGTCTGGTTAATCAATATTATTTTTTGGATAATAATTTTTTGACATTTTCATTATTGGACCAGTAAAGTATATAAAGTAACTAAAGTATATAGATATTGCTATATATTGCCCACCCCTAATAGTGGCACGTTTATTCATATAAAATTGGGTACTCGGTTCGTTAATATATTTATTTATGATTTCATTAGTCATTTGAAATTTTTATGAACAACGGAAAATTCTTTAAAATATATTCTCTGTCAGTATTTAACTTCCATTAATTAATATTAATGAGATGAATATAAAACGGCATGAAAAAAAAAACAGTGCATGATACTGACCTTTCCTCTAACTTAGGATGTAAGCAATGCACCAACGAGTGTCCGTTGACGACGATGGCGAACCCGTTGGAATCGTCATTGGTGGGCTCGTGCGAGTCCGCCGACTGCGGCCCACCAGACATGTACTCGTTGCTGTAACACCGACGGAGCCCAAAACTCACCAAACATTGTAAATACACATCATTCATATACATTAATCTATGGAGTCTATATAGGTTACCAATTAATATATGTAATTACACGGTATACAAGATCACGTATTTAGTAACAAAAAGAGTCTGTACAAGCCTAAATACATAATAATATTTTTGTAATTAAACAACTTTTTTGAATGTTTGTTACGACATAAAATTTAGAATACAAAAAGCAAACAAGCTGGCGGCCCACCTGATGGAAAGCGGTATCCGTCGCATATCAACATGGACAAATACCATGGTCATAACAGAGTACACTGAGTGCCATTTTTGAGGCTTAAGATGTTATGCCTCTGTACCCTGTAATTTCATTGCCATATGTCACTTTTCAAACCGAAACACAGCCATGCAAACACAACTGCTTCACGGCAAAAACGCGAATGGGGTAAATATATCCAAGCAATGTTACCAGACAAAGACTTCTGTACAAAAGCTCTCTTTCTGGTAACATTTAGATGTTTATTAGTCAATCCCATTTAAAGAGCAGAAAGTATTTGAACTATATTCTACGCATAGAATATTTTTTGTTAATTTTTGCGTGCAAACCCGCAAGCTACAAATAATATGAAAAAATTTTTTGACTTTTGATCCATACTGCGCGGTCAGATAACTAATCAATTTAGTATGAAATATTCACAAATAATTTTCATACTAAAGTATGAAATGAAAAAAACTTCGGAGAAAGTTGTTTAATTTCATCAATACCTTCATTATAAATTTCGGCCAGACAAACAAAGGCCAATACTCAATTTGGAAAGTGGTAATGTAACACAAAAACTTGGATAACACAGTTCATCATCAATTGATGGACAGTTTGTTGAAGTTCACGAGACTGTGAATATTAAACATGTCTCTAAGAGCTGGTTGCCACTTTACAGATTAGACAATGACTGAAAAGCTGAGTGAGGTCGATTTTGAGGTGACATTCTCTAAACCTATCTCTAAAATTAAAATTTTAATTTGATATCACATCGAAATCACGTATTGGTTTTTACAAAAACTAAAGACCAATAGGAACTATTTTTCGGATAGATTTAAGTCCAAATTATTATAATTTTAGTTTATGGTAGTCCATAAAGCAGTAATTCCACGAAATAATGAGATGAAAATATTAGGTTAAGATATAAGTTTAAAGAAATGGCATCTCAGGGTTGGCCTCATTATGTTATATAAATCCTCTCTAGTCATACCTTGAGCGTTGGCATTATAAAATTAAGATAATTTCTTAAAGTGGTTTTTACATGGTAAGTTTACGAAAGTATGCTTACATTGCAGTATAAATATTAGTTTACATATTTAAATTATCTGTTACCAACATTATTATATTTTCAAGTAACATAAATAATAGTTACACAAAGATACCTTGTACAAATACAGGAATCGAACCTGTTTCGGATAGTCATTTCAATTTACTAATAATTCTCAATTTAGTTGAATAAACTTAATTAAAAACAACATTATTAAGGTATAAAGGACATCACACCGGACTATACTATTTGGGGTGACGCATCTATAAACTATATTAGCACGTGATGTGAGTGCATCCGGGAGGCTTGTCTAGTGGTGTCGGGTTAGAGAGAAATATCAACACAGATTAGAGAGAGAAAGAGCACTTTGGCTGGGTGTACAGGACAGTCGGAAAAGTTGAAACACTACGGTGGAGTTAGTATTTTTGCAACAGTAATAGGTGATTTCAGTTCACAGGTTTACTTTGTTGTTCAGCACTTTGTAGTAATACATATTGATTTTTTTTTATTAAATTTAAATACATAAAATTACAATTAAATGATTAATATTTAATTAAATTGTAAGTCTAAACTATATAACGACCAGTCCCACTTACAAATAAACAAATCACATAAATACAATACAATGAGTAATAAATAACACACATTTGTCACATAAGCTCATAATAAAATTTTGCAAACTATTACTGATTAACATCGATACAGTATACACAATCTACGTCCGAAAAGTAGTTAAATAAAATATAGGACAAAATCACTACAAATACTCGCATGTTTTCCATCTTTTGTCAGGCCATGTAAAACAATTTGTCTTTATTTAGAATAAATAATACGTATAGTTTAAAACCACTTCAAATATGGACAAGTTGCGTGTTATGTTAACTGAAACGGTAACAATCAAGAATAGATTCATTAATAATATCTATAATCTATTACATATTCATGCGAGAATTATTAGTATAAATAAGTCCCTATTGAAAGAATTTTTTTTAAATATATCCATCAGACAATGTAATTTGTTCTATTGTCAGTACTTTTATGCGTAAAAGATTTATAAATTTAGAATATTATTTTTATCAATAATATGTACTGAACGAACGAGACTGTGTATACTTGTTGTCATTTACTATCGATGCAAACAATAAATAAGCCAAATATATTGAGCATGTCACCTAATAAATTTGAAGTAGATATATATTATCTATATTGTACGACAAATATTACATTACAGTTATTTTTTAAACAGAATGGTGAGAATTGCCCACTAAACATACATATTACATATGGTATATAACATTATTATGTGGACTCTAATGGTAAATAATAAATGAATATCTATAATAAAATTATGTGTACACACACGTGTATTGTACATAATATTTACTCTGTATTTAAAATAAATTTGTACACAACAATATTACACAAATTATCCTACATTATGATCTAATAATGCTTTATTATTTATTTCATTAATAGATAGAATCTTTTCCATTACTACAAATAAGCAATGCTGACAACTACATAAAATTAAGATACAGTAAAGGGTACAGTCACAAAGAAAAGTTTGATACGAATCGCAAATTGAATTAAGAACTAATATAACATGTGTAACAATGCAAATGCGTTTTAAAACGAAAAAAAGAAAACAAATCAAATTTATTAGCTCCAAAATATGGCATATACGATCGAGCAACGTGTTAAATACAAGAAATATAAATTTTCATCAAACATTTTTTAATCACGCCAAATCAGTGCGTCATAACAACACTTCGACTCAAATCGCTTAACCATCCCGGCAGACATTGTTAATGGCTGGTAATATTAAAGTTAACAATAAATAAATTTTGCTGTTAAAAAAAAAAACGGGATAAGAATTACATTGCGATTGGTATCAAGACGGACAATGCAATCAACAAGTAATAGGGCGACAGCGCATGAAGGAGGCAGCGGTGATGTATACAAGTGTAGCTCTTTGTCTCTCTACCTGTGGTGTGGTATTGTGTTATGTTCCCACCTAAATGTGACGACGGACACGGCGGGCGCGTTCAGCTTCACGTTGGCGGCGCGGCCTGGCGACGGCCGAGCGCCGTTCGCCGCCTCGCCGCCAGTCTTGCTCGCAGACGGTCCCGCTGTGGGCACAAACACACGTACAGACATCACTAGTAGTTGCTTTTTTTTATATATAGCAAATCAATGTAATAAACAACAAATCGAAACAATCAGGCAGTAAATTTTTAATTTGTACTACTAATGAACATCGGCAGACTGTTTTATGGTCGGATCAAACATTTTTGTATATTAGTTTGTTTACATTTTCATTATATTGAACTAGAGTCTCCTGGCGGATTATTACAACTTTTTAAAAACCTGACAGGTTTAACGTACAAGAGTTACAACAGGCCGTTTTTTATAAACCATATAACATGAAAGTCTTATAGTCAATATTAATAGGTTTAAATCACATGAGTACAAACTGGCGTGTTTTGTCCATGATTTTAGCAAATTGCAGGGCAGCTAAAATTAATCTGTATTAAATTGTCACCATTTGAGGGTTCACAATAAATCCTTTGAGGGGTATTAATGGAGAGTAATGAGGAGGTCTGTTATTGCTGGCAATATGTATTGTCAAGCCGAGCTTAATTCTTCATAAATTCACCACAATGGGCTAGACGATCAGACTTTATTTCGCACTAGTGCCCTTTCAGCATACACCGATAGCACATGAGGGATTACCATTCCATTTTCATCGAATAAAAAAAATAAAACCTTACCATGCGGGAGGAATGTGTTGACGACGCGTATAGAGTCGCGGCACTTGGCCAGCTGCCGCTCGACGTCGTCGTGCGACACGCCGTCGATCACGAACACCTCCGCCATGTCGTCGGTCAGCAGCTGACACGAGTAGCCGATATTTATTGCAGTCTCTGCAAATAAAGCGAGCTTTTAAAATGGATACAGACCTTCATAAGAGATTCTATTGTTCGCGCATGAAATTCAAAAAGATGTTCGGGTATATGCTACTCTAGAACACTAAAAGTAACAAATATAATATATTAACAAATAAATAAACAAATCTGATTTGTATATGAGTAGTCTGGATAAGTAATACCTTAAATGAACATCTACGACACTTTTATACTAATTCACGTGGACAATGTTGCGGGTTACAATCAGTTTTGAATATATTTCGTACATAGATCGGTTTTATATTAAATAAACAGGAGTTACTTTTAATGTCGGGAAATGATATGGTTTCTTAACCAAAACATCACTGTCAAGTAGTATACGTACCTTGTTTATCACCAGTCAAAACCCAAATCTTAATGCCTGCCATACTGAGATTCGCTATCGTTTCCGGTACTCCATCTTGTAATTTATCTTCTATTGCTGTTACACCTGGTAAAAATATACCAAAGTACATTATTAACCTAAAACTTGTATTTAAAAACAAGTTTGTAAGCGAAATGGCTTGAGTGAGATATGTTTACAGTAAAGGTTACATACCTCTAGAAAGAAAATCTCAATACAATTTCTCAACAATAATCCAACATTTATATAACTTAGTGTGTAAATAGCGATCCGAGATTATATAGAGTTACGTATTACTTAATAAGTGGTAAAACAATACAATATTGTTTAGTTTATATTTGAAAAATTTATGTAAACAGAGTAACAATTATTTTCGAAATTAGAATAAATTTCATTATCAGTCAAAATGACTAAATGTGACTGCCCTTTTCATTACAACATATTCCATGAGAAAAACAGTTATCAATTCATACTGAAAACAATCCATTTGATCTAGGAAATATTTATTCTAATCACTTGCAATATTAAAAAATTGTAAACTTTAAAAAAAAATAAGGTGTCTACCAAAAGTGCCGCTCCATCTATTTCTATATTTTTTATAGTAGACAAGCGTGGTGGTGCTGTGACACGATGGCAAAGTGGCGAGGTGACGTAGAGAGAGACGTGGTACATACCCATGAGTAGCAGGTCGGTCTCGATCTCCTCGTAGATGGCGTCGAGCTGCTCGTCGCGGTCGTGCAGCGCGAGCGCGGCGGCCTGGTGGCGCCGCTTCCACTCAGCGAAGCCGCGCTCCTCCAGCGGCCGCCACGCCAACGCCAGCGTGCGCAGGCCTTCGCCCGCAAATTTCTGGAACGTTCACATCATGTTATGCAAAGAACTCATATTACACAGGACTAGTTCTAAAGATAATTAGAACCTGCAGAGGGAAAGTAATGTTTTATGATTGTTAGAGTATAAGTAGACCTCCATGTGGTCCTTACTAAAAAACCATGATGGTAAATTCCTAATGAATAGACACAATAGGCCAATTGAGCTGCTCCCATCTTCACCCAGCATCTTTCATTGATACTGAGCTAGTGTAAAACTATAGGGACCAAAATCCAAAATGGGACCCTATAGATTACAGAAGAATTGTAAAAATCTGTTTTATATTTGACGAAGACATCATACATCATAAACTAAAAAAAAAATAAGGCAAATAGTTTGAATGATTAAAATTAAAAATATTCTTTTTTCAATGTTAATCAACATATTTCGCTTACACGGCATATACGCTATTTTAGTTGTGTGGAAGCACAAATTAATACTTTCAAAGTTCTTATGACACACGATTTACAAATATTCTAATGTATTCAGAGTTATTGACATATTCCACTAATTCTTGGAACAAGCAAACAAATTTTAAAATTTCCTATTACTTCAATAGTTCTATTCAATAAAAGTTTTAAACGTTTCTAATTATTAGTTTACAATATAACTGTCTAGTACAATATTATACTAGTATTAGCTGTGTAACTGTTAAACTATTACAAAGAACACTAGAATATAAAAGTCAAAGTTTAATAATTGGTTTTAACTTATAATTTTGGTCAAAGTTTCTTTATTAGAGATTATTCAGAAATTTATTCAAAAACTCTAAATAAAAATTACGGAATATCTGAAAATGTTTAATAATAATTGACATACATATAACATAGCAAAAAGTAAATGATCAATTGATTTTATTCTAACAATTTATTTATTTTATGTATTATTTTTTTTAAATTGAAGGAACAAGTACTGTCGTCCTGTATGGGTGAATATTGACTCATAAAGACAATGAATGAAAAATAAATACACGTGGCCGAGATGCGAATGTTAGGATGGATGCATGCGGGGACAAGGAATGACATAATAAGAAATTATTATATATGAGAAAGTCTGAATCTGTCTTGGCATAGTCATATCATGCGAAGAAGTGAAAGCATGTTTTAAAGGTGTTAAGTATGAAATCGGATAGATGTAAAGGAATGGGACGAAGAGAAAGTGGATGGACTGTATGAAAGATTATATGTATAAAATAAGAGGAAGTCCAGGTAAGACGGCAAATAGGGATTGGTGCAAGAGAAATAAATACTGCACTGACAGCAAATTGAAAAGGTAAAGCAATAATGATTTACTAAGATTATTTTACTATTAAAATAAAAAAAAAAAAATCAACGAACTTACGTTCAAATGCTCCTGCGTTTTCGACTTCACATCAGCTTGATTTGATTTTAATCTGTCATATATTACATTATCAGCACCTTTTGTATATAACCTAATTTCTCCATCCTTCCTCAATATCACGGACATTCTTTTTCTAACATTATTAAAATCTAATATACATAACAAATCATACTCCTGCAACAAGAAAAACAAAAATCTAGTTTACATTGCCCATGAAGTGGCTTAATAAATGAAAATACATAAATGAACTAAAGTTCACATTACAAATTTCCATATTTATTATAAAATAGCACAAATAAACCACATTCTTCGAATATATACACGTTGTCTATATACACGTTACTACTATGATTATAATAGATGCCATACAATCACACCAAGTGTCTGGCATTCAAGCTAGGGTACCTTCTGTTAAGAGAAATCAAGAAATAAGTATCTGTGAGAAAGACCCAGAACATCCAGGGATTGTTAATAATGGGATCTAACGGACCCATTGCATGCAATATCAGGTCAATCTACATGGGGTTCCCTCTGGCAATCATCATGGTTGATAATTGTTGAATTCGTCACGATTGGCCAATTGACCTGCTTCATCCTCGCCTGTCATCGCTCACTGGTACCTCGTCAGCGTGTATCGATAGTGTAGGCGGAATCACTACTACATTTTCACGCATTACAAAATTTCAACAGATTCTCTTTAAATTGGCCTGATCACAAATCAAAACCAGAACCTCATTTACGGTAATAATTCATAAACTGTATCAAGTTGTAAACAACATGATGTAATTTTAAACAATATCTAAGACAATTCAAAGTAAGCATATTAATTGTGGTCGATAGACTTTGGTTTTCAGCCTACACGTGACTTTTCAAGAATTTATCACACTATAACAACTATTTAGTATTTTAATTTAGTAACTAAAATGTAGTTAGTATAAATTATTATATATTATATTTACCTCTGTATTACCCATTACTTCTATTGTAATACTATTAGGCGAGCGTTCTCTGAACACAAAACCAAAATTTCTGGCCGCTGATACCAGTGCCGCCTCATCGGGCGATTGCGCCTACAAATAAAAATAATTAGGTATATGTAATTATAACAAAAATAATGACAAGAGTGATATTAAATCATATAATAAAGACATAAATAATTTCGCCTCCATAAACTTACATATTTTCACTATCAAATAGAATGTGATCTGGCTGTGCCAGATGCATTTATGATGGATTTTAATATATAATGTCTATCTATAAGTAGTAACATAGACATAAGTATAATACTGATATTCTGAGATTTGAATGTTTAGCACCTCATATATTTTTTAGAGATTTGTATGTCATGTTGGTAATACAAGATGCAGGCTTCGGCTAATGCTCAATCCGGAAATTAATAATTCATATAAATTATATTTCTATGCGTCAACACGTTCTAATCCAGATTGCGGACTGACGTAAAAGCTTCAACTCTATTACTTACACTTCTGCAGTAATAATATTAATAGTAATATTACATGTATTGTTTATTGTATAAGTTCTATTAAGGTAGTATTAGTATGCGAAGTGCATAAACGTGCCCACCTGGTACTCCAGCCGCCCGTTCTTCTCCTCCGGCATGACGGTGTGACAGAGAGCGAGCAAACGAAAAAACTCGTGCACCTCCTGATCGCCGCGCTTCACCGCCTCCAGGAGGGTCGAGTCGAAAAATTTAAATTCCGGCTCGTACTCTGGATTGAACGAGAAATCCAACGGCTCCGTGTTCTGTTGCGCGCGGAAAATAAATAATATATTAAATGACGCTATATTTACCAGTAAAGTTTTGATATAAGCGAGACCCTGACCGTATGTGTAAGATTCGTATTCTACCACAAGCCTCTTTTTAGCTTTGGACAATGAAAGACTAAAATGATAGTGATAATGAAAACACAGTACTACCTCTATCTCTGTTTAAGGGTCTCACTTACACACAGTTTTCATCAAACAAACGTTCGTAATTTTTTTAAATATACACTTTAAAATTTAGAAAGTATAACATTTATTACCAATTGATTTGGATACAAAAATTTAAATGAATTAACGAAGATTTGTTTGCATTTTAACGAGATATTAGTTGTGTTATAAGCGTAATCATAAATTAAATGGGATGCGAAGCAACACATGCACGAGTCGAACAAAAACAAGACATACAGTTAGTGCACAAACAGATACATTTCAATTAACATATCACCATACATACAAATATAGCATTTTGTAGAAAAACTATAGTCTGTATGGACATTACTATTATGATAAGAATACGTATAATATTAATACATACATATTATTGTCAAACAGGCTATAGTTTTTGCTAAAATCATTTTAAATAAGAAGTATATACATATATTGTATTAAATAAGTACATAAAGGAAAATCTACATTTCTGGCAAAATAAAAAGAGTGTAAATGTTTAAAATAATATAATATAATAATTATTTGTAGATGTTTGATGACGGCAAATAAGATTACGTGTATACATTAGTTTTATAGCTTTCACCTAGATTATCCGAGATTAGATATATCCGAGACGTGAATAACAATAATATTATAGCCATTACACTTGTTAGCTTAGAACCATTCCATAATTTAATAAATATATAAGTATTAAGGTACATATATTTGAAGATTACAGAAGGATACACTTACATCGATACTGGTTAATATATTTTTTTTATTTATTAAATACTTATGTGTTCTAAGTATGAAATTATTAGCATCAATTACTCGGTTCAGGTGCATTCTTAGCCATAAATCGATGGATTTCACAATTAGTTCATACTTTGAACATAAATACTTGAGCGAGCGGATATACATAAATAAAATGATTGCATTTAATTAGGACAATAAAGAATATTGAAAGAAACTATACAATATTAAATAGGGTCTCATAAAAGTTTTAAATCCATAATACCATAGTCTAAAATGAAATCTCATTTCGGAGCTGTTAAATAAACACGAATAAATGCAATCATATATTTTATTCAATCAAATACACCTTCATATCTGGTGATAAATATTATTAATACGTAACAAAAATATCCCTTAATAACAATTTATTTGTTAACATATGATTGCTTAAAAAGAAAAAGTACAGACTTCTTGTTATTAAATTATTGTCCCATAATGAAAGTGTATCTGTATAGTTAATTGTCGCAAGACGTTCTCTTCGAGCATGATAATTCGTGATAGAGCCTCTCAGGGAGACCTCGTTGATTAGATTCCTGAATTTAATTTTAAAATTTCAATGTCACATAAAACATTCGCTTTAAAGTTTTATCTGCTTTTGCATTTCGACCATTTACAAGAACCATAATTAATTTGACAAAAGTAGGCTGTATTGGGCTTTGTCACAAAATGTTTTAAAGCATCTATGTATGTCGCTGACTGTACAACTAGATCAAAATAAGAATAACTTTCTACCACACTGTGACGTTTTAGCTGTTCAGAAATGATTCCAGGATTTATTTAAATAATATAAAAAAAAAAACAAATTATAGCACCAAAGTCAATGTAATAATAATACCTCAATGATTTAGCTATACAAAACATTTTATTTTTTTCAAATATTACATTTGACTGTGATCCTATCCTTATTTTGCTCGTGTTGTATTTTGTTTATCGTAGAGAACGTGATGCGTGCAGTAGCGTCGTATATTATTAAGGGGCACATTACCCTATTAAAAGTGTAGGGTCATCATCTCAGGCCTTAGAGTATAAATAAAGGGTAGACACATAATCTTTAAGTTTATTCCCAACTTATATTGCAAAACAGAACATTAAATATACGTCCGTAGTATAAATGAATAAGATTATAATTTAGACATAGATAGCGTAATATGCCCTTTTATATGCCCCTAATATTTGTTCATCAGCGCGAGAATAAGGGCGCTCGCGCTACGTGTCCGTACATCGTGGTGATTGGTGGGCCGGCGCGCGCCCGGCGTGCTGCGGCCCTGCTCGTGCTCGGCCTCCAGCAGGCGCGCGCGCGCCGCCGACCGCGCCCCGCCCGGCCCCCTGCCGGCCCCGCCGGCCCCGCCGCCCCCGCCAGCCCCGCCCTGCGCCACACACACGTCACGCACATGGACCTAACGGCTACCATCTATCACCCACCTCTAACTCCACTGCGCCACACCAATCGCTTCATAACTTACTCAAATGAACATAGTCTGAGACGTCGTGAATCCTTCTCATAACTATCATCAAAATATTCCGTATCTCCCGTACACGTAACCAATTAATACAAACAGCTATCTTAACTTAAATACATACACATGCACACACACACACGCACAAACACACACACGCATATATACACATCGACGACCATATTATTTTGAAATTGCTGCCTTAGAAACCATTACGAGTGTGTTCGTCTTAAGGTGATAGCTGCTTTCCTTGTATACGCAACACTAGTAATGATCATATCAATGTAAAACTACTTGACCGTGATCGGTATTTTCATACACAAATCGGCAAACATCAGAATGTTTACATTGTAAATATTAAAAGGACTTAATGTTTACAATACAATGCAAAAACTATGTAATCTAATATAAATACAAAATTAATAATAATAATATTATTTTAGACGTCTATAAATCTAATTCTAAATACTAAAGTACCTCAGAAGAAAATACTTTTTCGCAGTTATTGTTCTTTTTATTGGGTATAATAAAAACCTAAATATCTTATCTAAATAATAAACAATACTATACTATGGTAAATAAAACAATACTCCAAAACGCATGCAAACACTGTCATCAATTTATATGAATTGTGGATGGTAGACCAGTCTAATGGGAAAAAGATGTGAATTACTTATATAGGCACATTATGTTTTTAACAAACTAATTTTTAACAAATTTCATTGTATAGGTATATAGTATCAAATTATAGAGATTATAATCCGTGCACAAACAAGGACACAAGACGGTCACGAGACAAACTTCAAACATTTCACAACATTACCCCAAAGCGAGGGAGTTATAAGTATAATAATTATACTATATGTATTGTTCCAATGTCATCCATTTGAAATAGGATAAAAAATATTTTCAACTAGAAATAAATTCAAATTTCATGCAAAATAATCTGTGGATGCTGGAACGTGCGAAATTCCATAATCTTATCGCAGTGTTCGGTGATATTCAAAATAAAATTGCATCCTACATGCACTGAGGTGATATCTAAAAATATACTATTTGCATTGTGCTTTGCTAATTCGATTATCAAAAACTTTATAATATAAAATATATATTCAATTTTTAAATAAAAAGTATATCAATATAATAAATACCTCGTTGAGCTCTATGGTCTCTCCTGTTGTTTCATCGATAACATCACCGTAGCAGACGCCCGCAATAGAACATTTGTTGAATGTCATAATATTCTGTGTCAGTGTGCCCGTTTTATCTGAGAATATGTATTGAATTTGACCTGCAAACAAAAAATGTTTTATAATGAGGTTTATTTACCACAGATTTTGTTCACTATCGGGGTAAAAAGTATCCTATATCCTTTTACATTTCATAATAGAGTAAATGTGTACCAAATTTCATAGTGATTGATTCAGCCGTTAAGACGCTAAGAGGCAACATACAAACAAACAGACTTTCAAATTTATAATATTAATAAGAATTGTTGAGATATATAATTGCTTCTTTTATGCAACTTAGAATGGCAAAGAATATTATCATAATTATTAATGCTCAGTACATTTTTTCAGATCCATATTACATTTAATTTTTTTTTCTATTTCATAGAAACTAAAAATAATATAGAAAGAATTATCTGTACAGGTACACACCAAGTTCCTCATTCAGTGTGGTCGTCCGCGCTTTAGCTGCAGTGCCTGTCTTTTCATAATACATCTTCTCATCCCAATTTATTAGAAAACTCTGTGCAAATCTTATTACCTACAAAAAAGAAAAAATAGCTACATTGTTTATATCGAAGTAAAAAAACCTTATGTCCAATCATTTGTTCATTTTAAGTCTTGTTTTCTTACATGACATGATAGCATTATTTACTGAATATGACCAAAATTGTTAAATTTCAAAATAACTTAATTCTTTCATTTATTAATACACATGTGTACTGTATTATTTAATACAGTACATATACATACAATAAAACACGTGTACCAAATACGCACGTCATATTTATTTTTTAGTCATCACCCGCCAAGTAGACTTATGAATTGCGATAAAGATATTTACATAGGTACATTACAACAAACATTACTCACGTGTTTGGTATTCGGATATTTACTTATATAGAACTTACTATAAAAGCGTAACGTGGCTCACCTCGACGGAAACGTAAAGTGATATAGGCACGACAGTGTTCATGACGATCGCGTACGAGAACAGTACGAGGAACGCGATGACGACGGCGCCCGAGGCGGGCTCGGCCGGCACCAGCGTGTCCCACGGCAGGTACGCCTGGAAGTAGCGGCCGACCAGCCACTCCCACACGCCGCACGCCACCGTGCAGAACACGCACATTGACAGCAGAAAGAATACTATCTGCAAATACAAACGGAAACTTAATAAGGTTGTTAGTACTAAATTAACAGCCCTATATTGCTAGCAATCTTGGGTACCATCGTAGTTAATTCTGAATACGATGGGCCAAATGACTTGCCTTCATCCTACATACATACATACATATCTGTCACGCTTGTCTCCCATTAGGATAGGCAGATACAATGGAACGCTTCGATTCAAACTTCATCCTCTTCTATCATTTCTTACTTTTGCTCCAACAAGTACATAGCGCAACTACTATTCCATCATTACATATTAAAAAAAAACACGATGGAAAATGGAAACTAGCCGCCTTATAAAGTAATATAAATATAAGGTATTATATTTTATAGCCGCAATATAAGATATTATATCAGGTCAATTTCCACGCAATCCTAACTGATATAACGTTAACCAATCAAGCAGGTGAGGTTTTCATTCTATTTTCATTCGTATGAAAACAAAAAATATGCTAAGTTTTAAGATATAAAATGAAATTCAATAATTTATTGTCTCCTATTGAAGACCCTCCCCAAATACTACCATAAGGAAACAAAACTATATATAATAATATGTAAAGGTTACTTACCCCTATAATAAGAAAATTAAGTAGCCTATCTATGCTGGTGCGCTTAAACTTGGTCTTGCCGGAGTTCTGCATGAGCTTAGTGTCCTTCCCGGCGAACACGACCACGCCGTAGCACCACGTGGTGTTGCGCAGCACGCAGCCGCGCAGCAGTATCTTGTCGTTGTCCAACGAGTGATGTTTGTCACGCCAGCTCAACGTGCCTGCCGTGCAATGTTCGTATATATTCATATACAGTCATAAAAGATATGCAAATAAACAAAAAAAAAAAATTAATATGAAAATACGTTTTTTTAGTATGAAAGATGTTGTCATTTTTTATATGTAATATTTATAAACATATTTCTTAAACGATCAAATAGAAAAATGTATGTATTTCCGAAAGATACATGACGCCCATTTATAAATGTTATTTTTATTATTTAGGGATACATCTAGAAGTCAATATATAAGCTTTGCTAATATTAGTAATTAAATAGTTTAAAACTGTCAACTTCACAACAGCTATTCATTCATAATAGTTATTGCACTATATTAAATCTTAGGTATATATATTATGTATCGTAAACAAAAATTAACCGTTTCCAAAGTCAATAAGTAGCAATTTATTATCATAAATTATCTGTAAAGGCAGAGAGGAGTAATCTGTGCATAATGTAAGAGAGAATTTTAAACCACTATAAATGGATTGACAGGCATAACCTCTATGAATTTTAAGAGATAATTCCGTTAGTCAGATAAATAAAATAATAAAACTTGACAAATATAGTTAATACATTGTTGAATCTTAAAGATAACATAATCGACGGCATTCAATGTTAATTAAAACATTGCATTATATCATGGCTTAGGAATAAGAAGTTTCATTTATTATTAATAATGTTCACGAGATTAATAAGATACACAAATTACATTTAGGTACAACGAGTGCAAACAATGAAATTTATGATTACGACACAGATGAGAAACGGTATTGTGGTGAATTGCATAAGCGCATTGCAACGAATACGCAATATTATTTGCAAGGGAATAACCTGCATCTATACACAAAGTAATAATAAATGAGGTTTATAAAAGACTAGCTGTATCCCGCGGCTTTCACTCGCGTTAACCAGTATACAAAGTATCCTATGTACTAAGTTAAGATAACTTATGCATGTACCAATTTTTTTTCAAAACCAGTCAATAGCTTTTGTGTGAAAGAGTAACAAACATCCATTCATTCATAGTCACAAACTTTGTTCTATGGCTATGCTCGCGTTCTACTGAACTTAATCTGTTATGCAGGCAATTCACGGACTATCATTTCCTAGTTTAGATGAACGTAGTTGGTTACCGGCAGATACGTATAAACACGCTCAGAATTACTAGTATTTAGCGTTTTGAACAATCGCAATCGAATGCCAATGCATCCAATTTCCCGCGAATGCATTTTTACACGCCGTTTCGTATAGTTTGATGTAAATCTTCAATTACAATGTCAGTTCGTCTATATAGTCCCGATGCAATAGTACCTTCAAATTTATTAAGTAGATTGTTGGGCGTCTCGCAAATAATGACACCGTCGAAGGCGCCCAGTTGTGCGTCGTCTTGGCCCATCGCAGCCGTTTCCACAAGGCACTGACGACATTTTAAATTTGTCTCCCTGTAAACAAAATAGTATATGGTATTAGAACATTGCATTCAAACTTCATTTCTAAATACATATATAATTCTTAATACGTGTATAATACTCCGCTGTTACAGAGTATATTTGCTTGTTTGTTAACTTAAGTTGCATTAATAACCATTTCTCGATATAGCCACAAAATTTACACATAAAGAGCATGCAATTACGACTGTTGTCTGTGTAATAGAAATAAAAAAATAGATGTTGAGAAATGAATCCCCATTACTTCCTTCTTACGAGTGTGAGGATTACTTATCATATCATTTGCCAAGTTATATAACAATATCACGTTTTACCGTCGTATGTTATACGGCTAATACTTTATGCATATACCTAAGAGGCTATGTTTGTAGATTAACAAGACGCAATAAGGTTTATAACAATAACATGTTGATATTTCTAATAAAACCTTAATAATTATGTACAATGCTTTTCACGTTGAAATATATTAAGAATACTATGTAATACGCCTTTAAAAAATAGAGAAATTCATGTGTGCAATGGATATTTCTATTTGATTTTTCATAGAGACCGAACTCAACAATTACACCGACATTAACATACCTTTAAATTAAATAAAATTCCTTGATAAAAATATTAATGCATGCCTAATAATTAATAAAAACTAGTGTTCAAATATCTTTGAGTTGATAATATTTTAAAATTGAAATTATGGATTATATGATTCTCGGCGAATATTTACAATAAGTGTATTTCACCAAAGATGTAAACTCTGGCAACACTACAATACAGTTATATGTATCCCGGAACAATAAGTAAACGCATTATAGGTTACTAGTTTTTAACTGCGACTTCGCGTGACCAAAATTTTATTGATTAATCAGGATGAAAAGGAGCCTATGTATTTCTCTATTCCAAATACTATGCATAAACCAAATTTTATGATTATTGGTGGAACTGACCATGAAGAGTCAAGAGGTAAAAAAACAAATTCACACAATAGACCCTTAGAATCTATAATGCGAGAGAAAGTTAGTTCGTGTAAATCATCAATTCATGCATACGGAAAAAAGAAATATCGGAGGTCTAAAAGGAAAGAGGAAGGCAATGCGGAAGAGGAAGGATGCTGATAAGGTAGATCTGATATAACAGCATACAGATAAAATATTTATATATTATTTTTACTATTACCTTTTATTGCATTCCTGTAGTATTTACGTATATGTATATGTTAATAATACACACAGGTATGTATTTTTATTATTATTGCAATTAATATAGACAATTTAATTTTATAATGCACTCCTATTCCCCTATTCTATTTTCTAACTGATAGCATTCTTTCTTTGCGATAGAAATTACATACATCATTGTAATCTGCATTTTATTTCACAGATTTGAAACGATTTCTATGTAAATTTAAATAATACAGTACAGTAGACAAACATTGTTTGTATTTATAGTACTGTTTGTCTCTCTGGAATATTTTGTCAGGATTAAACTACTATACGAACGTACCCATCCAACTCGGCAGTCTCTATGTAACAGAGGCCATTGGGCTCCGAGCTGCTGAGGAGTAGGATGTCTGCGGCGACGAACTGGTCGTTCTCCAGCCGGATGACGTCTCCCACCTGAACAGACGCCCACTTTTCCTCCACCAATTTGCCATTCCGCAGCGTCTTTGCTCGACGGTGGTTAACTTGGGAATCATTTTGATGACGTTGCTGTAACAATGAGAACGATGAATTATTATTACAAATGTAAGCTTATACACGTTTAACCAGTGTTTCCCAACCTTTTTTGTGCCATGCCCCACTTGAACATTTCTAAAATTTTTATGCCCCTACATAATTTTTCCCGACAAAGTTTACTTGACGACTCTAATCGCCCAATTGATATTTTGGCAACGTCATACGAAATTATACCTAAAAAATATTTACAGCAATTTTTTTAATTTGCTTTTTCTGTTAAATTTGGCACTGATATCTACTCGTAGCATTGCATTTAAATGGCTCGGAGCAAGAGGGTAAAAATCGCTTTAAGTCCATTTTTTAATTGCCCCCCCTTAACTATCAAATTGCCTCCGTGTGGGGTGTGGGCCCCACATTGGGAAACACCGCATTTAACTATGATGTTTCCATCATAGACTAACACATAAACGGACTATACTGTATTTTTTTTTCCTGAGCTAGTAACACGAAATTGTTTGTTAAGTCACTTAATCCTATCCTTCCTTATATTAGCACAAACATAGGTACAATTATAAATACATTACTTCTGCTTTTAATTTAAGAGTTTCCTCTTGTAGGAGCGCCTAATTACATTATATACTAATTCAAATCATAAAGTCTTTCAACATGACATCGTACTCATTATATTAGCAGTGGTGGTAGCTTGGACTTTTACTCTGTGATCATCAGTAACTTGACCACTAATTCATGAGTCTGTTATGTAAAATTCTTTAACATATAAGCCCCATGGGCTCATAAACTGCAGTATAACGTAACAACCAGTAAGATCCTTTCAAATTCGAGTGTTTATGCTTCTTTAAAGCTACCGCTGGCTTGGCCGTGTGGTCCGTGGGCATAGAATGGACCAACACTTCCTTTCCCGTAAATGTCGTAAGAGGCGACTAAGAAAACTTAATAGTCGAGGGATGGGTCGCACCAAAGCTTAACTGTCATTGCCAACCCGCCTGCTAAGCATGTCAACTACTGACAAAAGCTCCTTTTATGAGGGAGGCCTATGATCAGCAGTAGACAGTTAACGGTTGATAATATAATAATAAAAAAAAAAAACAAAAGTTTAATCCTTTCTAATACATATAGTTTGCAATGGCCGTATCAAATAACTTATATAGATATAAATAACAATGACTTCTGTACACCATATGCAAATAAAATCGATTGAATTATACAGGATTTATGTATTGAATGACCACTGCGTGACGCACTGACAAGGGAATCGATTGTGAAATTTTTGCCACAAAACGTTAATTACGTAGCCGTCCTTGGTTTACAATAAAGGTCTGTTTGACCGGCGGCAACGTCACCACAACATGCTGCTAAAGTGAGTCAATGTGTTTAGCTACGGAATTTACAATACAGGGCTTTACCCACATTTGGTTCTCGTTCGTAATCGTACAAGAAATACCTAGGTGACAACTATGGATATAAATAAACATTAAAGCAGCTGGATGTCAATTGTTTGCTTTATGTCATTGATGTACAAAATTAAAACAAGATAATCTGAAACTAATACACACTAAAAATAATTATACTTATCAATAATTTCGAAGCAGCTAGTGACGTTTGTTGTCAAAAGTGACAATAAGACAATAGGGGATAAGAAATTTTGTAATTAGGATAAACATTCGACTTTAAAATTATGCCATATCATAGAATAATAAATTACAATCCGGAGTTTTTACATAGCTCTATGATGTACGAACATTTAATCTTATATACTAATAATAGAGTTTCTCTGTTTATATCCAATTTGTTAAGTTTGCTATTGATTGTACCTATACATTATGACCAATAAGTATTTTAATTTTTTTCTTTCTTACATGAAAACATTGAAAGGAATATATAGAATTGATGATATAACCTAAAAACTTTAGTATGAAGGATAGTTTGCCTATAAATGACACTCTTAGTTTTAATATAAATTGAGATACTTGCATCATCGATCTTCCTTATATCAGTGATAGCAACTATTATAAATTATCTTAGTATGTTATGTATTAACATACTATGAAATTGACATGGGTTATTCCCAAATTCTACTAATTTTGTTTTTCTTTTGCCAAATGTTATTTTCAGAAATATTGTAATTCCGTTCTGATTGTACTACCAAGACAAAACTTTACTGGTAAGTACTTCCCTTTATGTGCCGAGAAAGGGCTCCAATATAGGATGGTGGTTAAGCCAAATGTTAATAGTTTGGTTTTGGCGTATTCCAGGAATAACATAAATAGAATTCACGTATTGAAATAACACCTAGGAGTTACAACGTCAACGTTTATCAGTATTTTGGCTTCGAGCTGTTGGATATCCTTCTTATATAGCTGAGAGGGAAAGAGAGATCATACGCCATACTACGCCTACCTACAAATACTTGCATTAATGTGGGCAACCACCAACACCACCCGAAGCACAGGGAATATAGGACTGCAGAAGTGATAATAGACAAAATTGGTAGATCCTGATATGATAGAGGTTTTGTGTGTGTTTGTGTCCTGTTTACTGTGCATTTTTAATTACTATACAAATTATTAAATTTATAAATCGTATAACTATAATTTTACTTTATCACTACCTAAATAATTAAAGATTGTGTCCCACCGGGTTATTTTGGTCTAAAAATTAAACTACTGAACCGATTTTGACAAAATTTCTATGGGACTAACTATAAGTATATTATTTCAAATAAAAAGTAATTTTCCAAATCGGTTTAGAACTGACTAACTCAGTCAGATAAGATAACAAATATAAAAAAAATACAACCGAATTGAAAAATCGGTTGATAAAACTATTGGGTCTGGACGGTACAATATACATAATCTATATAAAAAACTACTGGCGAATCAAGAACTCTTTCAAGTCGCTTAATAATAGGCTAGTATTACGTAGCAATCATATAAGTATTAATTGGATAACAATAAAGATTGGTCTAATTAATTCGTGTTATTCTGGGGTCTTTCCAAAGAATTTAACCGTAAAATACGGAACGGATTTTTTTATGGATGATAATGAAATGATAACCTCGCCTTGGCTATCAATGGAGAATGAATTCAGGTCCATTGGCCTGACCTGACAAGGTATACTGCTAGCACCTAGTACTAACGTTGCCCATTGCTAACAATCTCCTCCAAGCGAAGTATTTTTAATTGTGACACTCTATCTTTGTACATGTTGTGAATATAGTATAATTTCGAATATCCAAATCAAATAAAACCATTCCGTATAATCGAAAATCTGGATATTCGATTTCAATTCAAACAATAATTAAATTTTAATATGTGCTTTACATACGTTATTTAGATAATACGATATAAAAATATTACTAGCTATAAAGATAGTGGATTATATAATACCCAATTAACAATTAAAAGTTTACCCAAATAATATACCATATAGAACCATTTCTAAATCGGTAATTAGAGCCGTGAAGAATAAGTACGGATAATCGAATATTCGGATAATCAATGTTCAAATAATCGAGATTCTACGGTCGTTATATTTTCAGTGCCCTTTATGATCAATTAATACGGTAATTATAATCGTAACAAAGGTCAAGATTTTAAGTGTGTGTTAATTAAAATCGTATTGAAAGATTCCGCAAATTTGCAATTGTTCAATCTCGTTGTCATAAAAATTACATAATACTTCACAGTAACAGTTTATCTTATAAACGTCATTATCGTCATTAATGGTAATATTGAGTAAATTATAAATCAATAATCACTGTTAATTATAATAATCTTCCCATTATTTATTATTCTATGTAATCTGTTCTAAATAAATGGGTGAATATTAAATTATTTAACTATCCAAAAGTAAAATTAGCAGTGGTTACATGGACTGATCAAGGGCAATGTATATATTTCAGGAAGGAATCTGCCTGCCAAATTTCAGTTCGTAGGTAACTATTTGAGCTGAAATTAGTGCTATTCGAGATTTCGTGATTAGTCAGTATACGAGTGATTGAATTTAACTTTTATATTTATACTAGCAGTATTCAAGAAAAATCCCCTAGACAGTACGTACTAAATAATTATAGTATATTTTACGAATTAAGTAACGTAAACGACAACAATAGTATGATACGCTATAGTAGTCGCAGTCTACACTGCGATCAGAAAAACAAATACAAACATCAGTTTGTTTGTCATTCTCAGTCGCAAACATAACTTCGACTACCATTCGTAACTTAATATATAAAAATCACTGTCACGTCACAACGTTTGTTGACGCTAATCTCCGAAAGCATTCAATCGATTTCAATGAAATTTTGTAAATATGTGTTATTTGCTCCAACTTGAAATATAGGATAGTTTTTATCTTATAAAGAAAAGAAAACAAAATACTTGGTAGCTGGTGGTATGCAGAACAACATTTACCAAGTTAGCTAATATATTACAAATCTAGAATGATACATACGAAATCGTCATAAGCGTCCTTGACGGCAGTAAGTGCGAGTACACCGATCAGCGGTATGGCAGTGGTGATGGGTGTCAACGATGAGATGGCCGGGATCAGCTGCAGTACCAACAAACACAGGAAGTAGAAATTCGCTAGCCGCTGGAACTGCTCGAGCAAGTTCAACGGCAGGAATGTTATAATTGAGTACTTCGATGTTTTGATGTAGTTATTCTGAAACAAAACATAGTGTTTTATGACTTCTTCTTATGTCATTCTTATAAATTAAGCTAGATTCGTACTATAAAGTCGATCACGGTTTGTTCTCGGTCCGATCTCTGTCTGGTAAAATATTATCAGGTAAGAAAGAATGATGTATTTGTACTATTTATAACGCTAGATTTACATTGTACTCGTAGATGGCAGTCATGATATGTATTTCTTTCTCCCTCTAATTTAAATTTGATAAAGCATTATGAAGTAGATTAAAAAGAAATTTGTAAGTAAATTCTAAGTTTATAGAGTTTACACTGTCTGAATTATATAAACAGAATCTTCTCGATGGCTAGCCGTTACACATTGTGGTCTATAGTCATTCATTACTGAAAGGGTGCCGTAGCCACTATCATTTATTCTACGTCGTTGCAGTGAGTTTACGGTGCCCATTTATCTCATATTGTTGCCCTTTGGGTGCACACGTGACAGAGAGTAATTTAAAGATAATTTAACACGAAGATTAATTGAATGGACATTGCGTATGTGCTTTCTTGGATATAAAATAATCATTTATTATTGTGGTATATAGTATATCATTAGATAATAAATGATATCTAAATTTTAACCGCGTATATGCGAATTTTTGTCCTTTACTTATGTTTTATAAAATGACTGTAAATAGACTCTATACATTATCTATAAATTATATACATACAATACAATTGTAACTATACGATGTCTATATATAGGGTATATACTCGTAAATGAAAAATTGCCTTTAAGAATAATAGAACTGAAAACATTTTTAAAATTTGTTGAAATAGTTTTTCCATGATGCCAAAATATATTTTACACAAACAAAAATTTTAAAAATGTTTTCAGTTCTATTATTCTTAAAGACAATTTTTCATATACGAGTATATACCCTATATATAGACATCGTATAGTTACAATTGTATTGTAGATTGTAGATCAATCTTTAAATTTCATGTTTGTTTTATAAACTACTTCGAAAATCCATGCGTACAAAGTCGCGATTAAATGCTAGTAACGAATAAATACGAATAGACAACATCAATTTATGGAGCGGAAAACAAAGACGAACAAGAAAATGATGTCACGACAGTTACTACTTACTGCATAGCGGAACTGCGCGTTGTACTCCCTGTCGTTGGCTTTGATTCTCCTTTCATTCTCTGAAACAACATACGATACACGTTAATCTTAATACACAGTTTACATAGAATATTTATTAGTTTAAATACCTAAGTACTTTTCAAGATTTAAATTATGATTTTATTTCATTGATTTAACACGTGAACTACTAATTCATAGGCGTTGTGATGTCACCACGGTCACTATACAAATTTTATGATCTCACCATATTTTTTATGTTTACGCAAAAGTATGTATGTATAACATCAAGACTTCTACTGGTCGTCAAATCAAAAGAAGATACGTAAAAATTATGTACTGAAATTTGTACCTAGTGATGTTTATATACGAAATTATAGCTATAAATGGTTGCATACCATTTATAGATACATGGTATCACTCAACATGTTCATAGCCGATTTTACAGTTTTCAAGTCAAATGTAGAGAAACCACTTGAAAAAGATCTAATTCATCATACAATACGTGTATTTGGTAAATTATTTTTAAAAGCTACATATATACAAACAGCAACATAAATGAAGCAAATAAAGTTTTTTAAGAAGGTAATTATAACATATACACTATAACTTGCCCAGTTACTGAATGTTTAATGTCAAATAAATTAATTTCTTCTGAAGACTGAAAAAATCATTAATGAAAAAACTTTTATACAAGGTATATCGTTACACCTTGTAAAAAAGTTTTTTATATATAGGTATAACAAATAAAAATCTACTTAATATTCGTGGATTTCAACCTACGGAGAATATTATATGATAACAGTTTTTAAACTTGCATACTAAACTGATGACGTCACTACAAGACTACACTACAAACTACAAGGCGAATATAACTGTATGAAAGATTCAAAATAATTTTAATTTTTTTTTTATCACAATTTTTAGCCTTCTTATTCCCTTTCCGTTACATGCTATATAAATAGTTATAGACATAAATCCATAGTAATGTATGCGCATGCGAAAAGATGTTTGTCTAACTTAAACGCCTACTGGGCTGAATTGTAAACAAGTTTGTACCTATATTTAGTGTACTCTACGGTAGTGAATTCAAAACATTAATTTTATTTCTAAATACGGTTTGCAGAAATTTTGCTCCGTGTAAAAAATTTTATACACGGAGCAAAAATATAAATATGTACCTAATACTATAGGGCATAGATAATTACTACCATAAAACATAATAAAATAATTTAAGATATTCCACAAAAAAAGGTTTCAATGGTTATTTTTATTTAAAAACTACTTATGTTTTATTTAAAAACTATATTCTGGAATCGATTTTAATAAAATTTCTATGGGGTCAATCTGAATGTATATTCTTTTCGATACAATAAAATAATTTTCCAAATCAGTTTATAAGTGACAGAGTTATGAGGTTGTGAACATAAAAAAATACAACCAAATTGAGAATCTCTTTCTTTTGAAGTCGGTTGATAAATACATTTCTTCATCCACTCTCAAAATATTGAATGTGTTTGTTACCGGCATAATTTATTATCAAAGATTGTAATGGTTGATTTTTTTAATTTAAATATCGATACAATTCTTAACCGCATTTGAGACTCACCGTACCACGAAAAAATATAAAAAATATAGATATATCTCGATACCAAACTATAAATGTATGTACATTATAGTTTACAAAGATTAGTTCAGATGTTATGACACCAAAAAGTACCTACCAAAAAAATAATCAAACTCACTTTGAAATTATTATTTTATATTAATTAGTAATACACATTATTATGACACATTGTTCGTAGTTAAGACATATCAAACACAATGTTTGGTGTTTTGGTAAACATCAACGATAAACTCGGTCATCGGTACAACGAAACTTATACAATTATATAATTTTTATAAATAAAAATATAGGATAGGATAGCTAGATAATTATATAAATAACTTTATATTAAGGAGTACGTACCAATTAAAAAAAGTCTTACTCCTTTCTACTACTATTAGTAAATAGTAGTAGAAAGAAGTAAAACTTTATTTTCTTAGTAAAGAAAAAAGAAAAAATCTATACTTATAATAAATATGTAGAGAGATCAATTCTGTACGTGATAATATATTTCCAATATAACTATCAGGGGGTGACTAGTAATCGATACTGATGCCAAAAATGCAATCAGTAAAATTTTTCTGTTTGTCTGTCTGTATGTTCATTATAGAAACAAAAACTACTCGACGGATTTTAACGAAACTTGGTACAATTATTCTTCATACTCCTGGGCAGGCAATAGTATACTTTTCATCACCATATGATCAATAGGAGCAGAGCAGTGAAGGTAATTGTTGGGAAAATGAAAGAAGTTACTCCATCGTTACTCCGTCGCGTGTGCAGCCTTAATGTCCACCCGTGCGACGCCAGGACGGACCGCTAGTAATCTAATAAACTTGCTTTACTCGCACTTTTATAAAAAGTAGCATTGTTTGACAAATGCATTATTTGTTGGCCTTTTAAACAACTCTTTTGAAAACTTACTCAGCAGGTATTCACTGGTTTAATTCGTTTTATGGTTCTATATTGCCACTTGAGAGTGATAATCGTAAAATTAAATGCACACTGTGCTCTTCACCGGGAAGTCATTATAAGGTTCCTATTGAAATTTCAATAAATAACAGGATGTAGGTATGTATTGAACACTGTTGCACTATAATAATATTTTATGTTATTATTATTAACAGGCACTATATGGCCTATAAATAAATAAGTACTATTTATTTGTCTATTTATTAGATTAGCAGCTGCATGTGATCACAATTAATGAACTGTTTTTTTTTGTTTATAGAAATATGAAGAAACAAAACATATTATGTTGTATGAATAATAATAGAATTAATTTTGTTTTTGTTCTTTTTACAGTATCCTGGGTTTATGGGGAGAGGCTCATGCCCAGAAGTAAAACCATATTGGGTTTTTTGAAGACTCACGTTGATTAAATCACTCCTATAAACCCAAATTGTTTAAGTTGTAAAGTCGTTCAATAAAAGTCGTCGTTACGGATTTCATAGTATTGTATTGGTAGGTAGATATATACAGATAATAATGACTCACGTATGAAAATAAGATTTTCCAGTAAGCGTTAATATTGCTATGAAACAAACGTTATGTTCTTCTACTATTGGAGTGCTAGTAATGCAACAATTTTTTTTTCTAATTTCAAAAGATACCATTAATAGTATTAATACTTTATTTATTTTTTAATAATCAAACTCTGAGCCTATAATACTAAGAACTTAACAATAACACGAAAAGACTTCTTATTATCATCATGAGTGATAAACACGCTAAAAGATGGGTAAAGGGGAGGAAAAGGCTACTTAACGATAATTTCGAGTAATAAAAATTATTACACGAAAACTATTAATTTCCGACATAAACTTTAGCTTTGAGGGGACCACAAAGATGTAGCCACAATTTCAACTAACACAATTGGAACTAAAAGTAATTCCCGAAAAGTAATATTTTAGAAAAATTTTGAGAGAAACATAACGTCATACAAACTCGAACGAATCTGTACGACTGTACAAGTTGCAATTTGTGGATTCTAATATTCCCCTATTCTTTATTTGACTTTTAAATAAATTCAATTAATAAATTGAAATAAACTATGAGAAATAACCATTAACAAATATTTTAAAGTTTAATTCTTGATATTATGGAAAATTACTCTTAGTAGTGGTTAGGGAATATAGAAAGGCGCGACTACGCTCGACAGAGGCGCCGGAGGGACGCTGATCGATCTTCACTTCTGCTTTATGACTAATAACATTTTCAGGGGCAGTTTCGAGACACGAACATCGTGAGTTATCTTCATAAATATAATAATTATATTTTCTACAGGTTATAGTCCACATGTTGCCCTTTAAGTATCACTACATAATAATTATCAATCATCATCAAACTTAGACTTTTCTTCATTACGGCATTTCATAGACAAGCATTATTTTCAATCTTAAACGTGGTACTGCGGTGGTCTTAGATGAAATGCACAAAATTTTCACAAACAACATTATTTATTTACATTTCAATGCCATAATTTATATCATTCCGTTAATATCATTAAAAAGTGGAAAACTTTATATCCTGACCATGACAAATTATAATCACATAATTTTAATGGACAAAGTTATTGGCAAAAGACGAGTCTGTCACAAAAAAGTTATTTGACCTCCGACATTCATAATAAACGTTTTTATTAATAACAATAATAGTTTTGTTTTTATAGAAAATTTGAAAAATAAATGAATAATAACAAAAATATAATGCATCACGTCAACAGATGGAATTTTTATTTAAAATTCAATTCCAAATTAATTACATCCGGAAGAGGACGGGTATCGCTAGTGTAGCTAAACTATTTCATCTTACTCAAGAAAAAAAACATTATAAGAAAATAATAATCGTATTGATATTCATCCTCACAGCAGATTTTCATTGTCAAGGGAGATTTGTCTGTCTGTTTTTAGAGCTACAGTCAATGTAACACTTTTTGTACTTTTACAACCTGTTACATGACTTAATAATTGACACCCGAAATTTTTTTGTATGAATGTGTACTTTAATACGAGTAGGTAAGAATGAATAGACATAATCTATTCATTCTTACCTACTCGTATTAAAGTACACATTCATACAAAAAATTTGGATTTCATAAAATGAGGTAGGTTTGGCAATCTTGGAATAAAAAAAGTTTTTACTAGCTACTCTTAATAATGAAATTAACTATGACATAACAATGTCTAAAATTAAAACACTACAATATAAATTTCAAAAACCATAAACTCCCACGCGATAGATAATATCTAAGTTTAATATAATGATGTGCTCTCGCGGCCCTGACGTCTTACTTTATCAAGTTTTTAGCTAGTCTTAAAATAATGAAAGTACTAAAATGAAAACATTGTAATATAAATTTTAAAGATAATAAACTTTAAACTCCCATGCCCTTGACTGCTTATTCGTTTCATTCAGGATGGTTTTGTGAATGTTCATTTAGATATATGGGAGGCG